GAGCCTCGCCACTACTAACTAACTCACTAAGTATGGGGGCGCGGAGGAAATAACGCAGGGCCGCGGAAGAAGGATCGGATCCTTCCTTTTTCTGAGGTGTTTGGCCAGGTCTTCCAGCTGCCGCGCCTACAACTTACAAGCATATGGGGGTCATGGACAGTTGGACTACTCCGTAAACGAGATAGATGGATCATGGAACATTAACTGGAACAGATAATGATAGATCTGCGCTACTACAAGACAGGTGTGACTGTGAGCTGGTGAGGTGATACATACAGTAGAGTCAAAGTACCTTGTACCAGCCACAGGTCAGCCAGGTTCCATATTGATTGCTGCCTTTGGAGGTCTAGCCCAAGTAGTTAAGTACGGAGTAGTTCGCTCTGTCGCACCGCCGCACGCAGCTTACCATGAGCCCTAAGGATTCATACTCTGGTATTTGATATGTTCGACTGAGCTCAGGCTGTATGTTACCGCGTTTCTTCGGATGAACAGCCTGGATGGCGAGATCGGATCAGTGATTGAGTAAATGCATGATGACGGTGGTGATGGTTCTTCTGCTCTTCTGCTGCTACTGGCTTTTCGATGCACCCTGGTAGATAACTGGTACACAGTACACACCCTTCGATCGGGGATTAAAAAGGACAGATCTCACGATTCTTTTCCTTTTGTTTTTTTATTTTTTTTTGTACCTAGATATATCTTTAGATGAGTCATCCATATCCGATGACAGGTAGACCACGAGGTGAGGAGAATATCATGGAAGATGACATGTACCTCAAATAAGACCGACTTTAGACTAGTAGAACGTCAATATTAAGCTGCAAGTAGGACTGTTGAGCCATTCACAACCACAAAAATGTACTTTTGTCCTCTCGAGTTCTCCGATTTCAGACCAATCCCAGATGACAGGTAGAAGTGACAGGCCAGTACCTACATAGTAGGCCACTAAGCACTCCCCTTCCAGTATCCGTAGCTCCGTCCGTACGGAGTATTGCAAATTGGCCTGGAAGTATTCCGTGTTCCCGGAACATCCGATAAGCCTGCAGTCTGCTGCAAACTGCAAACTGCAAAGTGCATCATAGGCGTAGGACATCTTGGAGTTGGGGGTAGGGCGATCTACGGAATACGGTAGGCGACTTCAGAATTCCGGCGTTCCAGAAGTATTCTAGAAGTCCCGTCAGGATGGTACTGTGGTTCACTTGGGTTACGGAGACAGAGATCGTACCACGCGTCTTAATTTGCTGTTACTGTTAGTAGCCCATACGTAGTACTCCATATTCGGATACTTCATACTACTCTTAAATAATCAGTAAACTTGTGGGCGGAGAAAAAAAAGCATCTGATGGGTCGTCGTTTGACACCAAAAGTCAGATTGCATGGGTTCTCCTTTCAAGCCATTATTATTCCATCATCGTTCGCCTACGAATCTGGGAAGAAGACAAAACAGGGTAAGCGAGATTCTTCATCAAAAGATCGCTTATTTCAGGGCACAACACTCAGGAAACTCAATTCTTACTGCTCACTTAGCCGAGACAATCCAACAATTAACAATCCTGGAATTTTTTCAACCCCTATCAAATCTCACTCTGGATGGATAAGAAGTCAGGAAGCTGGCTCAGAAGAGGAACCATTGAGCCTGCTACGGTGCCACTTTTGTCGGCCGTCTTCCCCTTTTCCGCAGCCACTAATTTTAGCTTGCCCAGACAGAAAGTAAATCTTTTCAGGGAATTGAGTATGCACTATTGCAATAATGCGCAAATGGTTCTCAATTGACATTACATTATTGCTCTACTTTCAAAGGTGATCATCATTCTAAACGTCTCAAGTCGCTACTTGCTTGAATAGAAGTACTGTCTTTCTATTTGCCAAATGAGGCATTACGGCGGATATAGGCCATGAGGACCTTTATCTGAAATTCTGAATTGATTGATTGATCGATCCGTCAATCCATGATATAAACGCCACGGAGGGCAGGAGGACTCCGTACTCCGTACTCCGAGAAGGATGAGAGTATCCACGCCATGATTTGCAATCGTCTCCAAATCCGACAACAAAACAGCTCTTTCGTCTCCAATTCTCCAATCCCCATACTCGCGGCTCAAGGCATTAGTCTGTCCATTGGCAATCCTATTCGACGGGGCTGGTGATGACCATTTCCCGCAGGAATGTGAAACATTCTCGGGAGTAGTACCTAGTCGTACTGTAGTACACTTGTCAATCAGCCAACGGCAACCCGTCTGGACACTGAGTCAAGCAGCATGATTACTGGGCAATATTCCTCAATATCAATGAATCAAAACCACCTTCGGAAGATTAATGGCGATAACCGTCTGTCGTGAGACAAACAGGTTCGCAACTGAGCCTTCCCGAGCGGCTATTGCTCGAGACCTTGTGGGAATCCCTCCGCCCCAAGTATTTTGCTCAGAAGCAGGGGGAAATGTCTGTGTTATTTGATCTTCTCCAGCCAATGGGTCTTATCGTGGTTTTCACCGACAGAGATAGAGACATCTCTCAAACATGCTACAGGGGCTCACGAACCGGGAATGGCTTCCTTCGGTCTTGAGCTTGGAATTGGAATGTCTTTTGTCCAGAATCCAGAATCCAGATCCCAGTCCCCCCAAGGTATCTCATTCTCATGGTTCATACGATATCTTTGCCGTGGCAGCATAAGTACGTAAATACGGAGGGGGTATATTATTTGGATTCTGGAAAACTCCAAGGGAATCACTCACCTCTAGCCAGAATCAGATGCTCCATAGCTTGAGTGAACAGTGGCTCAGCACGCCACGATTGAGGTTCCCAGTAGTCGTCCCAAAAAGCCGGTAGATATATACTAAAGCAGATAACTACTAGCCATCCGCTATGGAGGCAGATAGTGTCATGATCCTCGCCCCCAGCAATTATCAGGATTAACTAATTTGCCACTTTGCGACATTCCTAATCCTGTAGTAGTACGATTACCTACAGGCTACAGTACCTACTACCTACCTACCTTTGTAGATCCTTTCTCGTATGGTTATACGTTGTATATGGCACCATACAGAGGGTACTACGTATCTTTGAAGCTGCCGAGTACACCAGCCACTTTGGTTAGTTAATCTGACAACCAGAGATAAATATCCGTATGAGCTGCTACAAAGGCAACAGAATCACGATTGCCGCCATGGGATGTGTTTGAGCAGGTAGATAGATAGATAATCCTGTAGATATCCTCTCAGATGATTCACCTCAATGCCGATTAAACCCATGAAACCTGTGTCGCGGAACATGCAAGGAAGCGAGCCTCTAGACTTCGATCGGCCTATCGCATTTCAATTGAGATTGATGATTGCATAGATGGTGCATACTCAATCTATCAAGGTAGATAAGATGCATGATGCATAATGCGCGGCAGTTATAGTGTTAGGGCTCGTACAAAGGTCCTGGAAGCTCAGGGAGAAGCAGCTCAAGCAGCAGCTTTGCAGTGCTAGTACAGTAGCTAATAATACGAATAATAATTGAAGGCCGAAGCAATCAAAGATGGATCTGAGGGCGAACCACTTGCCGACATAAACATCGTGCGTGAGACAGACTCTGAAAATTCGGATCCATTCGAATCACGAATAAAATACAAAGAAAGAAAAGAAGAAGAAAAACAAAGCATATTCCGGGCTATCGGTCGATAACTAATAATGGGCCTCACATGCAAGAAATCCAAGACTTCATTGATTCCATTTCCATCCACTAGAGCCGGGGAACCGCAGCCGACTGCCGAGTCTAAGTTGCGGGTGGGAAGTTCTAGAACAGGAACTGATCAGTCGGATTCATTTGGGGGCCACGATTGGTGATCTCGGATCTTGTCATATACTCATATCATCATATGTCGATGATATGGATCTAGTCGCTCCGGACCAGCAAGCCACTGGAAATCCGTTCCTGAAATCCAGACACGAACGATCCAGCGCCAGCCATCACAAAAAAAAGAGGGCTGAGTCCGAAGCTGAGAGTCAACTCCGACACATCCACCCGCCTGTTCTTTCTGTGCCGTTCCGCCTCCTTCTCCTGCCACACTATCATGAACTCTGATCGCTCTTGGCTGGGTGAGTCGGGGTGGAGCATGTTCTCGAACCTACCAAGCGTTGGGGGCTCAGGGCCCATCAGTTTAACTTCACCTGGCACATCGTTGACCGATAGAGACGAGTAGACAGTTACTGTCTAGCAACGTTCTATCTATCTGGTACCGTTCACCAAGAGGAAATAGGTAGATGCTCTAGGTAGTGCCATCTTGAATACTGTGAGTACAACAATATCAAAGAGCCTCCAGATAGGGACCTCGTTCCCGCAGATCATGAACCGTCGTATTCGCAAGTTCTTTTTATAATCTGGAAAATGCTAAGTAACCTATGTATACTCTTACTCACCCGGTCTAACTGTCATAACTCCTCTCACCCAAACATGTCTGGTCTGCGTTCAAGCTAACACGTTCCAGATAGGTCCTGGTGTCCAAGGCCAGCTCTGTACCGCATAGAGCGACCCGCTATCTGTCTGGTGGAGATAATAATTGGCATATGAACATCGCAGGACTGATCACGATGGAGACTAGTGACATTATGGATGAACTGCTATGCATGCCTATCTTCTTCGACTATGATTCATTGGTAGGTTAGATCGGCTATGACAGGCTACATGCAGCAACATCTGGACATTCCACGAAAGCGATGCAATGTAGGCTAGATATAAGACCGTTGTTCATGAGGGATATCAAAGCTAGTCGCGGGATGGCTGTCACTGAAGCGTGAAGCTCAATCGGTTTCGCTCTCTGGTTGGTAGCGAATGGATAGCAGCGGAGGGCCAAGAGAAGGTGTCCGGTAGAGGCTCTGCGGATGGAGGAGTACACACATATTCAATCGATTATATGAGCTGCTTCTGAGTTCAAGTACCTCAAAATGAACGTCAAAAAACAAATATCTTGCACGCTCCATAATTCAGACGGCAATGGAAGGGAAGAAAAACAAAAAGAATGGTCCCGACGAGGGTCGAACTCGCGACCTTGGCGTTATTAGCACCACGCTCTAACCAACTGAGCTACAAGACCATTGGTGAAAAAACGGCGCTTTTTCTATTTACATAGCCAAAAAATCACTTGCAAGAAGAATTGGTGAGGATGAACCTCTTGTAAATGCTCCTATCTTCTAACCTCACTCACACTAGACCCATTCTATCACATCTCATTACAAGACATTTGGATTGATCAGTATCCCTTTCTAGAGGCATGATTGCATCATAATCTCTGCTTGACTGCAGGCGCCCCTACAGTTTGGTAGCAGATGCTACGCTCCGGCCTGCCCGTCCACAGACAGGCTGCAATACTCTCTTTACTGACTCTCTCTACCTCAACACATACGACTGCCACAACCAGAGTGGCCACAAACGATAGCCAGGCATCACAATATACTGGTCGGCCTGCGTATCCACCAATATCTACTAGCTGACCCGCCTCAACCACTGCGCAGCCTGAGGGAAACAAAAACTGACTCTAGTCTCTTTGCACACCCCCCTCCAACCGCATCTTCTCTTTCAGCCACACGTTGCTCATCTACCCTAGCAACACCAAGGAAGTAACGATGCGTCGTGGGTTGGCAAGAAAGCACTAAATTGACTGACAATAAAAGGACCGTACCAAGTGGTGCATTCTGATTGAGGCTTCCGGGTATTCATCGATATCAGAGCTACCCACCCAGGACTCTACGTGGAACATACCGAACGGTTCACCTCATGGGTGTTTATCCCTCAAAGTTACTCGGTGAGAAAGCAGCCACGAACAAAAAGAGCAGAAGGTCATGCATAGGCTTTCTGCTCAGGGATGGAATTAATCCAATCGCCAACGGTTCCAGCGCTGTACAGCTTCATACATTTGCTGCAGGACATATTGCCATCATCAATTCTATCTTCGCCATGGTATTGATATCAAACCCATGGTCTATAAGGGCGAAAAATATCACCAGATGTGGATAAGAGTGATCACAAGGCTGCAGTGCGGTCTGTTCCTCAAATGAGCAAGGGTGGTATTCCATTATCAGATATGATGACGGCCTGGCTGCTACTGTCCTAGTTGCTTTTATGGCCTGCCTCGTTGTTATCGTTCCTACTACAGCAGGAAGCCTGGCATTTGATCAGACACGGACGATGTCAAATTTCAATGTCTCGAGCTACTGTCGACGGCTAGGGAGTCATCATGAGACTTCCCACAGTATGCATACGGCTCTGAACTCAACGTCGTTCTGGCTTCGTCGTTCGTTTCTGCTGTCAATGGTTGCTAGGCCATTATTCAGACTGTTCTTGAGACGGGAGAGTTCTTCACGTCAGCAGGCCAGATACTGATACCTGCAAATCTCTGGTCTGAACGGTCAGTTTACTGTTGTTCAACTGTGGTTGGAATGCCAAAGCAGCGTGGCTAGACCTAGCACAGCGGCGAACACTCGCCATGTATGAAACGGGATATTTCCTAATTTACTGATTTAACCGGCCAGCCTCCGGGAATGCATCATTCTCCTGTGTGACGCAAAGGGATTATAAGTGCCCGATGCATTACTAATTATGAGTGACGAGGTACGCTGGTGTCATCCACCACACCGTCAGCTCTGCCGGTTCAAAGGCAGGCGAAGAGTAAGGAAAATCCTGTCGCAGAGCTCCTAGCTGACGTCAACCTAGTGTCCAACGCTTCTGCATTGTCGAGAGCGGCATCTTCGTAGATTCCAACTCGGAAAGGTACGAATTATGCCGGTGGGCTTGTACGTGCTGGAGTGAGTAGCTTCAAAAGAGCACCCGATGGCAATGACCTATGACGCTCATGGGATGGTTAGATCCAGCGCCAGTTCTGGCTTGGCTTTTGTAGGCATGTTTTTTCCGATCATCCATCAAGCGGGTCTTGTAGCTCAGTTGGTTAGAGCGTGGTGCTAATAACGCCAAGGTCGCGAGTTCGACCCTCGTCGGGACCATCTTTTTTTTTCTTGTCTTGATCTTTTCTGACATCGAGCGGCTGCTCCATTTGAAATGCTCTGGATAAGCTGGATAAGCTGGTTGTTGGTAGTCTATATAGACTTATTGAAACTCCTGTGGATCGCTAGTAATGCAGGCAATGCACACTTCGACGTCCTACATGCACGCAGGAACCGATATCAGTATGAAATGTGGATGGGGTACCCGAACACCGGAGTCATCGATAGTCCACTAGTACCTGCTGATAAGTAGAGTTGGCGGAAATATATTGACTTCAAAAAATTGAATCACCAAATACTGGAAGTGTGCACCGTAACCAGCATAGTATGCTCCTAGGTTGGACACCAAACAAAAGAACAAGATATGGAACATCAGAGCACGGATGCATAATAGATCGACACAGTATTGCTGGGAAGAAAAAAAGTGGTCCCGACGAGGGTCGAACTCGCGACCTTGGCGTTATTAGCACCACGCTCTAACCAACTGAGCTACAAGACCCGCTTGTTGAAATGCTGACGTAGTTATGTCAACATAGTCCTGAAAGGTCTGCAACTGTGAGATCGCCCAGCCAGAATCGATAAATCCCCTCAGACCAGGCCTGGGCATAGTTGAATATAGTCATGACCCCCAACAAGTCGATCGTTCGAGTCTATTGCGTAATGATCACAGATATACTTCGCACGGTCGATGCGCCAAAATATGCCCATAATTCAAAAAGGGAAAAGCCATGGTGCTCAGATAATGTCCTTCAGTCCTCGCTCAGAGGCTCAGATCCCGCAGCGTCAACAGACAGTACCAAAAAACACTCCTCTCTGAAGCACGCCCAGAATAAGAAAGGACACTGATACCAGTTGCATCCAGCAGGGCTGCCCGAAAGCAAAAAAGTGGTCCCGACGAGGGTCGAACTCGCGACCTTGGCGTTATTAGCACCACGCTCTAACCAACTGAGCTACAAGACCCGCTTGATGGAAGATCATGTGATTTGAAGCTTCAGAAGCCAGCATGACAATAGTAGCATGAATTTCTACCCACTCGATAGCAGCTAGGCATGTGCCTTGACTCTCGAGCTTCGTGTTGGCAGTCAAAAACTTCCGATCCATAATGATAGAAGTATGCGGCTGTGATGGTGGAAGGAAGAAAGGGCTGCTTGGTCTTTATGACATGACACCTAGTCCAAGCACCCCAATCTAACATTTAGCGTCATGCAGGTACTTTGGTCGCGAGACGCTGGTTTTTAATCTGGGGACTGAGGAGCATATGCCGCAGGATGCAGGTTGTCGATCCTCGCTGAGCGTGGCTTTCTGAAGGCTGAGCTCAATTGATCTGCTAACCTATAGCAGCATCGTGATTCAATCTTAGATAAATGGCTATTGGCGGAAGAGCGGTTTGGTCGTCGATGGTCTGAACTAGTGGTTAGCCATCGGGTCTGGAATCATGGAATAGGGACTTGACGTCTAGTAGTCTCCTGTGAGGAATGAGCAATCGGATAGTCGAAATGGGGTGGGGGGGTTGGCTAGGTACTTTGTGTATCTACGTTGATTTGTCAGTGATGTTGGCTGTTGCTCTGTATGGTGTATGTTGACGAAGGACGAAGGACCAGGTATGTGCTTCGTGAATTTCGCCTGACATTCTGGCTTGGGAAACCCCCTTCTTATATTCCTCGAGATGTTGCTGCATCTATCACATCTTCTTTAGCGTTCATGGAGGTGTAATTCCACATGGCCTGGGTTGATCGCCTGGCGCTATTGCCCGCTTCTGGGTTTGTAGGATTGGACGAACAATCCACCATTGATATTCAACGGGTTTTTTACTTGTGTCGTCAGCCCTGGTGTATTGGGGATATGCAGTTCTTCAGCTGCTCCAATTCCGTGGAGTTGCTTGGTCGGCTGCTCTTTTGTTGTGGGTGACTCCGATATATATCTTGGATGGTGAAGGCCTCATAAACAGGTCAAACACCCACAAACGAACACAGGAGCAAGGGTGATAGACAGCACTGCCATGTTATCACGCACAAATCTTTCCACATCAACAAGATCATTCGAACAAAGGATATGCCCGGCACATGCCCACTATCACTGATGGACAATCACCACGTTGGGGAAAGATAGACCAAAATGTTGATAAGAAGGATGCGATAGACAACAACGAGGTTCCGATAATCGCTACGGAGGATTGAAGACCATGACTACGAACTTCAACAGAAGTAACTAATCTTAGATCCGCCATCAAAGAGGCATAATCTGCGCCTGACATAACCAGAAAACGAGAGCTACACTAATAATCCAAGAAATATAATCACTAGTATGTACTATTGGCCATATTTCAACACGCAATTGTATGCCATCTCGAACTGACAACCGTGTTAGCAATCCACTCATAAACAAAGCATATTGCAAGGCAACCCGCCTACCTGTTCATCGGTTTGACAGACCAGCACACGAGGTCCCTTGCCCTCATTTTTCGATATATCCAAGATAGTCTGATCCTCGGTTGGCCCCTTCTCATTCGTCGAGGGGTCAATGGCTAGACCGAGACACCGGGCCTGTTCAACGAGCGTCTTGCGCAGCAAAGCACTCTTTTCGCCAATGCCACCAGCAAAAACAACTGCGTCCACCTGGCCGTCCAGCTTGACAAAGTAGCTCCCAATATATCCCAGTATGCGGTCCACAACGATATCAAAAGCAAGTTTGTGCGCATGGGAGGGAGGTTTCTCTACCGCAATCTTAGAAAAGTCCGTGGTGCCAGTCAATGCTTTCCACCCGGATTGCTTGTTGAGGATGTCCTCGGCCTATCCCTCAATCAATGGCAAGAATCGTTAGATTGGGTCAAGAAAAAGACTCACCGTGCTGATGTGCATTTCTGATGTGCTTGCAGGACTTAGATTTCCGGCCTCGTTGGTATAATGGAATACAAGTCTGAATTGATTAGCTATATCGGTCTAGCATTACTTGAGGTACACTCACGATGGGTCAATACTGCCGCTTCGGGTGGCACCAGGTAAACCAGCCAAGGGAGTAAGTCCCATTCTTAACCGTCAGCCCCGTTTGCACTCGCAAATCAAAGTTGATCATCTTACGTGGTGTCAACAGACTTCCCATCCTTGATCACGCAAACCGACGCACCACTCCCAATATGCATGGCGATAATGTTGGTCTTTTCAATCGGCTTGTTGAGAAACTCCGCGACAGATCGCAGAACGAACGAGTAACTGATCCCGTGGAACCCATACTTGCGAAGGCCATTTGCCCTGGCAATCTTCTGGTTGATCGGATATGTCTTGATATGCTCCGGTATCGTCTGGTGAAAGGCTGAGTCAAAGAATGTGATACTCCTGACATTGGGGATCTCCTGCCTGCACGTGCGGATAATCTCCAAGGCAGAGAAATTGTGCCTATTCATCAATCGGGGGTCAGTAGCCTTCAATTGCTCTCCTCTCCAACCGCACATACAATGGAGCTAGGTTCTCGAATTCTTCCAGCTGGTGATAAGTGTCATCCGTTATTACCACAGACTCATTGTAGTCGCCGCCATGGACAACGCGGTGGCAGATATATGCCAGGTCTTCCGGACTAGCAACCTCCGAAAGGTCAGGATCAGAGAAACACCGTTGCAGAAGGAACTTGAAAGCATCTTGCGGCGTTGAGATACGATCCTTGAGCTCCTCGCTGTGTTCCTTCGAACCTCGTGTGTATTTCAGTTTTGGCGGAGGAGCTGTGATACCGGAGACCTGCGCATTTGCGATGACTTTTGGCGGACGTTCCAGCGTATAGAAAGTAATTTTCACTGAAGAAGATCCCGCATTGACAGAGAGGATGGACTTGGGTGCCATGTTGGACGCGGTGAGGGGGGACAGAGGGCTACAAGCAACAGTGGGAATGGAGTGATCAGTGATGGTTGGGCCGTAGCATTAATGATATATCCAAGGGAATTCGTCTATTGTAGTGTGGATGTTCCATTCGCCATGATGGATTGTATATCATGCCTGGATCGCAGTGAGTTGGCTGTTGCGGGATTCTCTCCTGCTTTACTGCGGTGATGTCAGGGCCCGGTTCATGGTGACGTAGTGGGTGTGCAGTAGTAAGTATTTATTCCTCGCCAAACTATCTACTTGAATGCATCAACAAAGCTGGTCATATCTAGCCTCCAGTGTACATTTCAATTCGAACCAGTTCCTTTCTTATCAGGAGCCATAAAGAAGAGAAGACATCGGATTCCTTTTCCAGTTGGTTTTATAGACAGTCGATCGCCGATCATACATTCATCTGGTTGTCACCCGCGTGGATCGAACTCAAGTGTTTACTTAGCAAGCATATTAGGATACTAGATACTGCTCGAAGAAGTGACCTTTGAAAGTCGTCATCATGCCTGGGGAAGTCATTGACAGACCAAACCCGCAGGCGCTGCCTTCCCATATTCCCGATGTGGTTGAACAGTTGCAGGTGAAGCTGGATTTGACGAGTTTAGAGCAACCGGCCTGCGATGCCTTGTTCAAATTCCGTCGAGCTGCTTCATACATCGCTGCAGGTAAGACAGTTGCTGGTCGTGCATGAAGAGGAAGTCATGATTGCTGATAGTACCTAGCAATGATCTTTCTGCAAGATAATGTGCTACTGAAAAGAAGCTTGACGCATGACGACATAAAGCCTAGATTGCTTGGTAAGAAATCATATATGCTATATATGCAGTAGGTATCGCGCTAACTACATCTTAAGGTCATTGGGGAACATGTCCCGGCCTGATATTGGTATACTCTCACCTGAATTACCTCATTACAAAGCGCAATCTCAATATGCTGTATGTCGTGGGACCAGGACATGGTGCACCAGCCATCCTAGCCTCTCTCTGGCTGGAGGGCTCGTTGGAGAAGTTCTACCCAGAGTATTCGCGAAATGCGGAGGGCCTCGCCAATCTCATCTCGACTTTCAGTACAACAGCCGGGCTGCCTAGGTCAGACTTCACGTATCCTGAGCCTCTCATATGCCCATGCTAACTCACTGAAACAGCCATATCAATGCGGAAACACCAGGTGCTATCCACGAAGGAGGGGAACTGGGATACGCACTTGCTGTATCATTTGGTGCAGTTATGGACAACCCCAATCTGATCGTTCCATGCATTGTGGGCGATGGAGAAGCAGAAACTGGCCCAACAGCAGCGTATGTCAATCGACGAGGAAACCATTCCCCTCGCCACCTTCATGCTAAACATATGATAGATCTTGGCACGGCATCAAATATATCGATCCTGCAGAGTCAGGCGCTGTGCTGCCAATCCTGCACCTGAACGGATTCAAGATCAGCGAGCGCACGATCTTTGGCTGCATGGACGACAAGGAGCTGACCTCGCTTTTCACTGGGTATGGGTACCAGGTCCGGATTGTGCAGGATTTGAATGACATCGACACCGATCTCCATCGATCTATGACCTGGGCTTTGGAAGAAATCCACAAGATTCAGCAAGCAGCGCGATCCGGAAAGCCCATTATGAAGCCAAGATGGCCAATGCTGATTTTGCGCACACCAAAGGTACGTTGACCCCTAGGTGTCTCGAATATCAACTAAACTTCGTTGCGCAGGGATGGTCAGGCCCAAAGGAAATTCATGGCCAGTTCATTGAGGGCTCATTCCATTCACATCAAGTCCCCCTGCCCAACGCAAAGAAGGACAAGGAAGAGCTGCAGGCCCTCGAGAAATGGCTTTCCTCGTATGGGCCCAGAGAACTTTTCACTGAGAATGGAGATGTTATAGATGAGATTAAATCCATCATCCCTACGGATGATGCGATGAAGCTTGGTCAGCGTGTGGAGGCATACAAGGCTTATCTGCCACCAAAGCTCCCGGACTGGAGGAAGTTCGCCGTGGATAAAGGTAGCCAACAGAGCCCGATGAAAACGACCGGAAAGCTTATCGACGAGGTCTTCCAACTCAACCCTCACACTGTTCGATTGTTTTCACCGGATGAATTGGAGAGCAACAAACTGAGCGCCGCTCTGGATCACACTGGGAGAAATTTCCAGTGGGATCAGTTCTCTAGCGCGAAAGGTGGCCGGGTCATCGAAGTCCTGAGCGAACATATGTGCCAGGGTTTTATCCAGGGTTACACGTTGACCGGACGCACGGGTATCTTCCCATCGTATGAGAGCTTCTTGGGAATCGTTCATACCATGATGGTGCAGTACTCCAAATTCATCAAAATGGTAGGTTAATTCTTTACACTCGCTACCTCCCCTCATGCATACTGACGGCAGATATCCAGGCTCAAGAGACCACATGGCACCGTAGCATAGCCAGCATCAATTATATTGAGACAAGCACGTGGACACGGCAGGAGCATAATGGATTTTCACACCAGAATCCATCTTTCATCGGGGCAGTACTCAAATTGAAGCCCACGGCTGCTCGGGTTTATCTGCCGCCGGATGCTAACACTTTCTTAATCACTCTCCATCACTGCTTGAAGTCGACGAACTACATCAATCTCATGGTTAGTTCGAAGCAGCCCACTCCGGTGTATTTGACCCCAGAAGAGGCAGAGAGCCACTGCAGAGCAGGTGCATCTGTCTGGAAATTCTGCAGCACCGACGATGGTCTGGACCCAGACGTAGTATTGGTTGGAATCGGCGTCGAGGTGATGTTTGAAGTCATTGCTGCTGCCGCCATTCTGCGCAAACGTTGCCCCGAGCTTCGCGTACGGGTGGTTAACGTCACCGATTTGATGATCTTGGAGAACGAAGGCGCACACCCGCATGCGCTCACCACCGACGCGTTTGATAGCCTGTTTACATCTGACAGACCCATCCATTTCAACTACCACGGATATCCGACTGAGTTGCAGGGCTTGCTGTTCGGACGGCCACGTCTGGAGCGCGCTACCATCGGCGGATACATGGAGGAGGGAAGCACCACGACACCATTTGATATGATGCTTGTCAACCGCGTTTCACGCTTCCATGTAGCACAAGCGGCCATTTGTGGGGCGTCAAAGAGAAATGAAAGAGTTCAGATCCGACAACAGGAGCTGTACACGGAGTTGGACCACAATATGGTAGAGACCAAGAAGTACATCCTCAAAAACCGAAAGGGTGAGTTGCCTCGTCTTGTCGTCTATTCATTTCTTGTCTTTGTTCTGACAGCTTCTAGATCCCGATGATATGTACGATATGCCGAAATTCGAATAAGGTCGTCGTGTTGAGCATGGGACCTTATCCTATTCCACAATTTAAATTTAATGTAGATAGAATTGGTTAATTGTCAATTATGATCAGTCAGTGCTGTCATGATATCCATGTCACACAACAAGATGTGCTGCAAGGCTAGGTAGACGGTATAAAACTCCTCAAGGTATATGGGCAAGATGGCTTTCTGCAGATTATCCATGCCAATAGTATGAAATACCCGAAGCAGAGCAACTCAGCAGATACTGTACTTACGGATCATGCATTGTATATCTTGTAGTTTGATTCTGCAAATGGAGACATCCCTGCCTCAGGCCAATAGACAGGGAAGCCAAGCGGCTGATCAAACGCGTTGGAATTCCCCCCCTCATCAACCACCAGTCTGAACGTCAACAACAAACTCTTCAGGAAGCCCTTGAACACGATGACATGTTATTTCTTCGGCCTAAAGCATCCAGATATCCATCGGAGTCGGACACCATGTTGCACCGGTCGAATTCGTATTTTCGCCTAGTCTGGCCAGAATCCCAACTGCCAGGAAGCTCTTACAGTGACACGACCGCTGAAACAGGATCGTGGCGTGCGCAAGGTTACTCCGTATATCATTGGATCAATATGTTATCTTCCGACTGCATGATGACAGAGGCTATCTCATATAGCGCAATACTTGTTTCTCAGAACAAATTTCCCCGGGATGGAGGTACTCACTAAATTTCGGCCATAAAGTACTGTGTACTTATCAGGCTGCCCAGTCGCCTTCGGCCGCTCGAATACTGGATCTCGGGGTTCCGGCACTCGGAAGTTGGAACAATTCTCAGCGATGCGGCTAAACCCAGATGGGTCGTGCTTGCGAGTCCCAGGCCAGCCACAACTGGTAAACTGCATTACCTTGTGGGCTTCTCTTGAACTCCCAGTATCCGCCGGGTCCCGACAGGCGGCATTGAAGGCCGTGCTCGTGTCTTGCCGAATGACATCCATGCTCGTGTCTAAGCGGCCCGATGGGAACACAAGTGATTCAGGAACCTAAACCAGGTCTCAAGTCGAATCAGGTCCCTCCGTTGCCGTGCGGTTGTCTCCGCCTATGTCCATCTAGGCCTCAAACAGATCGAATCATGAAGTAGCGAGAGGTACGTGTTGGAAATTTCGAGATCTATCCGATCTCTGGATATGCCAGAAGGAAAAAAAGAAAGAAAAAACTGGGCCATGGGGCTGTCATACTGATAGTCTGATAATGTGGTTGAACCCGCCAGAGTGGAGGGATGTTGTCTCCATCCTTTTGAATCCATTTTTTTCTTGCTCTCTTGCTTCGTACTTCTTCGTTCTTTTTGTATATTGCTTTGTTGGTTTGGCTGCTCTTGTCGTGGGCTGCGTGACGACTATCTCAAACGGGTTGTATACCTCAGCCACTCTTTTCCATCTCTGGTCTCACCTGCGATACCTTTCTGGAGCTATAAGATCACACAAGTCCTACCCGTGGAGCGGGTGCGACTCTTTCTCTATCTACAGCTTACACACATTCCCTGAGAGCTACTCATCTCATTTCCATTCTTTCTAACCGCGACCACAAACTGTCCTACGGTCCTACCCCAACAATGTCTAAAGTAACCCCAGAGCTTCGAGAGCAACTGAAGAATAGTTGCCACCCTCTGATCGATGGCGTCGGCACTGCTTACGGATACCAGCCTTCAATGGCTGCTGGCATTGTCTTCTGCGTGCTCTTTGGTCTCTCGATGATTGTCCATACAGTTCAATTTGCTTGGAAGAGGACCTGGTGGTGTTGCGTTTTCAGTATAGGATGTCTGAGTGTGTGACTCTCCTGGAATCTCGAGACGGTCAAAGAGCTCACAAATTCCCCAATATAGCCGAAGTAATTGGCTGGGCCGCTCGCACATGGTCCGCCGAATGTCCCTATAACATGACCGCGTTCTTGATGCAGATATCTACTCTGATCATCGGTGAGTAGCCATCCTCGCAACCAGCATACTCCGGAATAGACACCTAGGCCATACTAACAGCAGCGTAGCACCCACCTTCTTCACGGCAGGAATCTACGTCCTCCTCGGCCGCTTCATCACCCTCCTAGGCCGCGAATCCTCCTGCATCGGACCAAACCTCTACCTCTGGATCTTCGTCACCTGCGATATCGTCTCACTCGTCGTCCAGGCCATCGGCGGCGGCATGGCCTCCGCCGCGACAGACAAAGTCAACGGCGACACCGCCCCAGGCACCCACGTCATGGTCGCAGGCATCGTCTTCCAAATGGCCTCCATCACCATCTTCGTCGTCCTTGCCGCGGACTTCGTCCGCCGCACCCTCCGCCGCCGCCTTCTGCAGTCCATGACCGGCTCCATCGTCCCCCTCCTCGCCGCGATGGTCTTCTCCGTCGTCTGCATCTATATCCGTAGCATCTACCGAACTATCGAGCTGTCCGAGGGCTAGAGCGGGTACCTGATCACCACGCAGCGGTACTTCATTGCCCTTGACGGCGCGATGATGGTCTGTTCGGTCGTCATCTTTAATATTTTCCATCCGGGCTGGTTGATGCCCAGTGCCAAGTCCATGGACTTTCATAGGGAGCTCCATTCGGCGGATGGGATGGCTGATATGGAGCTTCGGTAGCTTTCGTAATTTCTTCCGTTGTCAATCAGTCAGCTGTTGGCTTTGGTCTTTGTTTGCATTTGCGGTCTTGTATTACCGCGCTGAGAAAAACAACCTGGGGTAAAAACCTTACGAACAATGATAATCATAAAGATTATATATTAAATCCCTTTTCTTCTGTTCCTAATCGTACCACTGCCGAGATACTCGCAGATCGCAAGTCGGCGATCAAGGCATACCCAGAACTATCGCATTGCTCGAAGCTCAGACCACACAAAGTAAGAAAAAAACAAAAACGACACGCTTAGAGACCGCATAAGAAAACATTTATCACATAGCATCATCTCAAGACCCTCAGTTAAATAATAAGACAGGCATCAACCCGAAAGGAATTTCGGCAGAGAAGAAGAAGAAGAAGATACTCAACTCCATGCTTGAACCAACCTCTATTTTAAAATCGAATAAATCATACACCGTCAACGGCTTCAATCCAGCCAAAGACACCGCCAATGGCCAAAGTCGCAGCTCCCCAGATGGCACCCCACATCGTCGCTCCACAGACATCCACCCCCTTCACCGTCCCCGCCACCTGGAAAACCGTATTGAGGATGACCACGCTAGCAAGGAGCGCCGTGCGCAGAACAAGGACCCGGGTCTTGGGGGATACTGCGCCCCATGTTTGGCGGTAGATGGCGCATGCGAGGTACTCGTCCTCGCTGTTGCTGGTGCAGGCGCTGCTCTTGTTGGAGGCTCCGGTAGAGCTGACGAACAGGAAGTCTCGCGCAGCCCAGCCAGCGGGGAGAAGAGTGATGAACAAAGCTGGGAGCCCGGCGGGCCCGGCGTGAACAGCCCTGATATCTGGGATATTCTCGAAGTGGACGACGAGGTAGGCCGGGAGCCAGGATGCGTAGCTGAGGTACAGTGCTACGGAGTAAATGGCTGCTGCCGCAACTGTTGTGTAGAAGGCTGTTGGGCGATCTTGCAGGATGGCGCGGTTTGAAACGGCGTCAGACGGGGCGTGTGGGAGGTTATGGACAGAGGAAGGACGGCGGAGCAGGACGAAGGGGATCGCGGTCGAGACCAGGCTGATTGCATACGATGCGAGAATGGTGGTAGGCCGGACACCATAGAAAGATGACAGCAGAGAATAGGTGGGCAGATGGGTGAGGAAAGTAAAAGACATCACGTCCCGTCCTAGGTCATAACATCGTCAGCGCTTGATCCGGAAGCGTGCCATTCGCAACGCCGGGGTCATAGCTTACCATCAAACCCAAGAACCCAGGCCAATCCCACCTCGACAGCCTTCCAGACCATCAAGCCGCCCACTTCCCACCATTCCTCCAGGTGCTTGCTCACATGGCCCAACTCGCCCAGAGTGACCCTGGAAGTCAGGGTGAAGAGAACGGAACTCAACAGGAGGCTGTTAAAAACAACCAGAAGGAATCGCACCGGAGAAGGGACCCGCCGCAGCTGCGATTCTTGGGCTGCGCGCGCAGCTTTCGCCGTGTCGACGGTCGACCGAGCAGACTGTGTGGTTTTGACCACAGCAGAAGTAGAATCTCTCCGACGCGGAGCCATAGTTTTTGCTTTGCTTCGACGTTTAAGCTCTTCAAATATATTATAAGACACGGAGGGCGCCGACGGATAAGATAGCGATTGCGAAGAAACTCTTCGATGCTGAGGGGGAGAATTGCGCTGGGAGGAGCTCAGAGTGAGGAAACTGGGATATTTTGACGGCTGGGCGGTGAGCATGTGATGATGTCACTGCCATTGCTTGAACGAACAATGCTGTCATTACTATTCGGAGCATCGAGTAGATACGCATTCGTGAGAGAGAAGGAAATATACATGGGGTAGCAAGCACTATATATACATATTTGATACATTGGCCTTAATCGTCCTCGTTCTCTCGTTCCATAACCGAAAACTCGACACTTCCACTCTCACGACCCTTGTGGTCTCGCATCGTAATCTGGTATTTGCCCTTATCCCATAGATCCTTGATGGTAAGCTCACGGGTACGTCCGAGACTCTCGATGTCTCCGATCCGCTTGAGAGTTTCTTCTAGATGTTCATCAAACCCTTCCTCTGAGCAGATCTCCCGAAATGCGTTCTGCATAGGAACCGAATCCGCTCTGACCATGGCGCGGGAGTCAATCGTGAAGAGGTTCTCATGGTCGTAGTTTTGGATGAAATCGGCTCGGGTCATGATCTGGCGCGCTTTGTGAAGGGGAATTTCCGGTAAGATATGGCCCTTCTCAGGGTCATAGGTCTTTTCCATCTCCCGTTCCTTGTCCACGAGTGCTTTCGCCAACACCATTGCAGCGGACTGTGGCTGGGTCAGCGAGGATGGGAATGAGGTTGGGTTGTGCATGCACTTACCGCATATTTCTGCTGGTCCATGACATCGTCGTCCATCTCTTCCCCAAGGATCCAGCACTGGTTGAGGAACCATGTCTTTTCCGCCTCACAAATGCTATCGCAGAGCTTCATGTAGTCCCTAGCCTTAGCAACACGATTCAAAAAGGACAGTCGTCCACCGACTTTGTCGTAGATAGTCTGGAGGATATCGTCGGACAGGTCCTCGCCGAAATACCGCTTACGGTATCTCTTGAGTGCAGCCATGGCGGCACCTTTTGGCAGATCGCGAACCGGAATGACTTCCATTCTCGTAGCGTTTCGCTTCAGGCGTTCGTATACCCAGTAATCATCACTGTTAAACACTATTTGGTTCAAGGATTAGAGCAAGGACACAAAATATACTCGGTACGCTTACCTGTAGTGACCAAGCCGCTGGCTGCCCACTGCTCCGCTCTCTGCTGAATCATTTCCAGCAAATCCTGGCCATCATGATCATCTCGGACCAGATGAGTGCTGTTTACAACCAGGACCAAAGGTGCTGACCCGCCGCGTCTTCTCGCGAGTGCCACCTTCTCTAGCTTGTTGAATGCCCGCTCAATGTCGAGCAGTGCAGTGGTGTCTCGTGGACCCCTGATGCTAAACAGACTGCCGATATAACTGCACATAGTCAGTCGTTGCCCGTGCAAGCGAAACCTGCAGGAAAGAGATCAGAGGGACGGTTGCGCATACTCTTCATGAAACTCATAATCAAGGGCTTTCCCGAGCCTAATCCGGAAAATCTCCAGATCTGCATGCGCTTCGAAGATGGCGACTCCATCGCCATTGTTCTTACGCATGGCCTCGAGAAGCATAGAGGTCTTCCCTGTACCCTTCTCGCCGATGATGAGGTAGTAATGACCACCGGCCCTCCCTTCGATAATTCTGTCAATTCTCGATTGCTCCTCCCGGACGATCCAATGCTCGTTGTGGTGATAACGGTGCTTTCCAAGTTCCACACCGGCAACCTCGAGCGCTGGGTCGCCGGGACTGAACGCATTGTCCATCTTCTCCAGTATCAAATGCTTGTAGTACCGATGATAGGAGTATCCCGCCGCGCTTTTGCCGCCCGGTTAGCTAAGCTTCTACAAGTTTTGAACCGGGTAACACGCACCCTAGAATGGCAATGGAAGCGAAGGTAGTCGCCGCGCTCTCCAGCATCCTCAACAGGGTGGCTTTCGCGTTAAATCCGGAGTCCTTGCTCCGATCGCGTTCCTCCTCGGCATCTTGCTCCAGAGGATTCATTCCCGACCGACCCGAGGTCTGCGAGAAATATCTTGTAGGTAGATATGGAGTTGTTTGATGACATCTGGCCGGTCTGTAGAGACCCGTGCGGGCCACAGAACTCAAGGCGCGTCCAGCATTACGATTCCAGAACATCCTCATTCAGCACGGCGCATTGAAAAGAGGATGGTGGCAGATGTAAATAATATCGTCCCCAACACGAAGACAAAGAAAACAACAATGAATCTAGGTAATGACTGGTCTAAAAAAGAATCATGTGCAAGGACAATGATAGATGACGTAGCAGAAGTGCTGTAAGGTATGAATGAGTAGTAGACCACACAGACAAAGAAAGGAGAGAGATGTATGTATGCGAAAGAACGACAGGAAAACCTTCACAAACGAGTGTGTGCTGAGCTTCAGCTCAAAATCCAACAAACGAGAAGAAATAAGAATCGACTATTGAACGGTCGTCAAAAGAGCGTGGTCAGTGTGGATGGAACCATAGTTCTGCTCGTCTTCTCTTCCTCATTTTCTGGTGAATGTTGAATTCTAAATGCTGCTGCGCCTCAGCCCGATCTCCAGCAGATCCACGCTTGGCATCTGCATCCAACTGGTGTCTGGTACATACTACTATCTAGTATCTACCGACACAGTGGGTGCGTCGTGGATCGTGGATAGTCTGCACTCTGCACTCTGCAGTCAGAATGTGGCTGGTATATAAATATTAGCCTCGTCAAGGTCGATATATCCATTCTTCAGTCAGCCACACGCGGTTGACCACAAACTCGAGTCTCGACCGATGTATGCTGCAGGAAGCGAACTCCAGGCGGTTTTCGAGGCTGGCCCACCTCCGTCAGCTCAACAACTCCATTTTCAAGTCGATAAATAATTTTGTTTGATGGCAAAGACATATTCCATGTCTCTTCCCTTCAGCCAAGGCATTTATTTTGTGGTCGGCGTGGTAATACAGCTGCTACCTATGTACACCTGTTTGCTGATGGTGTATTCCTCGGGCCTACAATGCACAGGGCGACAGGCACTCGAAGCCTCAAAGGAGACAGCACCGTGTCTATAATACCAATTGTTTTCTTTCGGAAGAACAAAGGAAACGCCAGTATTGGTGAAATGTGGCTTTCATTTTCGCCATCCAAATGAGTGCGATGGCCTGAAGCACTTCCAGTCTCATCATGCCCTTCCCCATCAATACTTGTGACAAATGAGATTGTGCCATGATTATCTGGACTCAAGTGCACACCTGTCTTACTTTTAACCTTTGCATGCGACAACATCCTGGTCAACTATGGCCAAGGGGATGTACGCCACAGGTACCCACTCTTATCTATCATTACTTCATTATATATACGGACAGTGACTCGAAAGGAGCATCTTTGGGGTATACAGTGAGATATCGAGTCCTTTGGCACTGTAAGATGTTCTACCATGTCCCGATCCTGCTGCATTGCTGAGCCAGCTCCGACTCTGTTCCCGCTTATAACCGTCCTCATGAGCCATTGGACGCCTTGGCGTATATTGGAAGGAAGAGAAGAAAAAGCCGATTTTCCGCATCCCAGAGCGAAATATATTCAGAGACAGCGAATTCAGTCTAAAAATAATGAGGATCGATCCTATGGGACAGACAACCAGCTGCAGAGCTCCTACCAAACAAACAGCCCACGAGCATCAGTACATAAGGTTATGGAAGAATTACCCGTCTGCAGACAGATTTATTGAATGTGGGATATTACATCCCAGGATATAGAAGGTTTTCCGACAACTCATAGACTACTCTTTATGGAGTGTCGTGAAGACGGGTGAAAAAGAAGTGGTCACTCAAGGTAGGAACAGGTGGCCTCTGTAAGTGCAGACACGGAGAAACCAAGAGAGAGAGAGAGAGTCGATACGGAGTCGATACGGAGTCGATAGTAAATGTTGTTCCATTTACCTCGGGCATTCCTACCCATAGAGTGCCTTCAAACCGATCCAAAGATCCTAGGACGGGTTCATCTCAGTTGAATTGCCTGTAACAGGTTTCCCGAGTACACTCCGGACATCTAGATGTTTCACTCTGCGGAGTCCAGGAAATACCTAGGACTACAAGTGATAGCCCGTCTACCCCATCAGCACCAATGTACTGTGTAGATATATCTCGATCAATCTTCGAGACACCTATCTAAATATCCCCTGTGAACACTATAGATATTAAACGACTACTACTACTACTACTACTACTACTACTACTACTACTACTACTAATGGAATTGTGGAGAAATATATGTGCTGGGCCGGGCACCGCAGACTAGCCCGAGCCCTTCCGAGGGTATTCCGCAACCGCGAAATTTTCAGTGTCCAGTTGAACTTCCCCGTGTGTGAAGATTACTTACTACTACTATTCCTCCCTCTGTACCATCCAGGTTCGACTTCCTTTCCCCTTCTCTTCATTCTCATCTTTTTAGTCTGGGGTACGGGGTTTGTTTTCTTTTTGGATTCAATTGCCCTTTGTATCATATCTCTCTTCCTTCTTCTCTTCCCTATTCCCTCCCACCCAACAGAAAAAAGAAAGGAAAAGAAAAGAGAAAAAAAATCTTTCGTCCGGTTTTCCGCTTTTGCTTTCCCCGATTCGAAGCTCGAGGTAGGCTGTCGCGCGACAGCTACAACAATTGATTAATTCTATATCTCTAGCGGTAGATTGATCTATCGTCAATCCATCTATCACAATGTCACAGACAAATGGCAATATGGAGCACTCGAAAGGTTCGTCTTGAATCCTTCTCTCGAGCTTTTACCCGCTTCCGTGCATCGCCAGGTTGAATGCACAAATGTGACTGATCAAACTAATTGCTTCTCCCTCTTGTGTAGAGACTCCCCAATCCCAGGAGGTTGAACAGCTTACCAACGGCAATCACCCAGAGGAACAGCAGGAGGAGGAGGAGAACAATGGTGGTATGTCATACCCAACAGTCTCTGTACTGACCGGTTTTCCGCATCGGACATCGTCATCGCTAATTCTGCTCCCAACCATAGGCCTCTTCCAGATCTCTGTGAAACTTCCACATGAGCCTCATAAGATCCAGGTTATGGTATGTGTTACTATCAGCCACGGAGCAAACTGGAGACCAGGCCGCGACAGGAATTCTGACCATTTCCTTTTACCCGACTGTTAGGTGTCCAGCCAAGAACAGGTCCAGGATGTCCGCCAATCGATCGTCGAACTGCCCGGTACCTTCCAGTATACCTGTTTCCATCTGGAATTCAACGGCAAGCGTATCAACGACTTCGTGGAGCTGTCTGAGGTGGAGGATCTCAAGGCCGACTCCGAGATTGTCTTGGTGGAGGACCCCTACACAGAGAAGGAAGCTCGCATGCACACCGTCAGAATCCGGGACTTGGTTGGCGCTGCTGGAGATCGTGTCGACAACCTTCAGGGACTCGATGCTGGCCTGTCGTTGCACGACTCCGTGACTGCCGAAGCCGCAGCTAGTGAGGAGAAGGAGCACTCCCTGTCCAAGTACGACATCACTGCTTCTCCCTCTCTGAAGACCATTCTTCCCAGAGACGAGGCTCCCCTTCCCAAGACCGTGAAATCGATTTCACTATCAGCCTGGAACCCTCCTCCCTACCACCTCCGGCAGAAGGGTCACCTGCTGTACCTGCAGGTGGCCACTAACGAGGGCGAACAGTTCCAAGTAACCTCCCACGTCTCCGGCTTCTATGTCAACAAGTGCTCGAACGCCAAGTTCGATCCTTCGCCTAGAACCATTCCTAAAAAAGTCAGCGCGCACTCATTGCTCACCCTGATCTCGAAGATCTCGCCCTCTTTCAACACCGCCTTCGAAGCCCTCCAGGAGTCCAACAACCAGAAGGATCTCCTGACCACCTTCCCTTTCCAAAACGCCATCCCCAACAGCCCATGGCTCGTCCCTCCTCCATCTTCCAATGTCAACGTTCACCAGGCAGATATCACCCGCTCTCAGGAAAGCTATCTGATCTCCGGCGTAGATAACGCAGAGACACTGCGCGACTGGAACGAGGAGTTCCAGACTACCCGGGAGCTGCCTCGTGAGACTGTTCAGGATCGCGTGTTCCGCGAGCGTCTGACCTCGAAGCTGTTCGCCGATTACAATGAGGCCGCCGCTCGCGGTGCCGTTCTGGTGGCTCGTGGTGAAGTCGCTCCGCTCAACCCCACCGAAGACCGAGATGCTCAAATCTTCGTCTACAACAACATCTTCTACTCCTTCGGCGCTGACGGTGTGGGAACTTTCGCCTCCGAGGGTGGTGATGAAGCCGCCCGCGTGGCTGTTGGCAAGGATGTCCTGGGAATCAAGGCGGTCAACCAGCTTGACATCAACGGCCTTTTCACTCCTGGCACTGTCGTCGTTGACTACCTTGGCAAGCGTATTGTTGGCCAGAGCATCGTCCCTGGTATCTTCAAGCAACGTGAGCCTGGAGAGCACCAGATCGACTACGGAGGTGTGGAGGGCAAAGACGTCGTCGCGACACATCCCGACTTTGTCTCCGTCTTCGAGAAGATGTCCAAGGCTCTCCGCATCAAGAAGCACGCTGTCTGGGATAAGGATAGCAAGCGCCACGATCTCGAGGGTAGCGTTGAGACCAAGGGTCTTCTCGGTACCGATGGCCGTAAATACGTCCTTGATCTCTACCGTGTGACTCCTCTCGACGTGATGTGGCAGGAAGAACCCAACAGCGAGGAGTACCCCCATCGGATGTCGGTTCTCAGATTGGAGTTGGTTGAAGCGTACTGGAGATCGAAGATGAGCCAGTACGTCAAGGCCGAGGTCGAGCGTCGTCGTGCAGTCAAGGCGGAAGCCGAAAAGGAGAAGCCGGCCGAATCCTCTGAGTCGAAGGAGCAGGACTCCGAGGAGAAGACCGAGGAGAAGACCGAAGAGTCTTCGGATCAGGAGCGGGTGGATATCTCCGGATTCCAGCTCGCCCTCAACCCCGACGTCTGCAGCGGCCAGGTTCCCCAGACCGATGAGGAGAAGCAGCAGTGGGCTGAGGACGAGAAGGAGGTTCGCGATGCCTGCGACTTCCTGCGTTCCAAGGTCATGCCCGAGCTGGTCCAGGATCTGCACGATGGTGACGTTGGTTTCCCCATGGACGGACAGTCCCTCGGCCAGCTCCTGCACAAGCGCGGTATCAATATCCGTTATCTTGGCAAGTTGGCTCAGCTTTCCAAGGAGAAGGGTGCTCGTCTCGATGCTCTGACGACACTCCTGATCCAGGAGATGATTGCCCGTGCCTTCAAGCACATCGCCAACCGGTTTATGCGCAACGTCCCTGCGCCATTCGTCGCGTCCTGTGTTGCCCACCTGCTGAACTGCCTTCTGGGCGCTGATGTGAACGCGAACCCTCGTGCCGAGATCGATGCTTCTCTCCGGGAGTTCTACCCCGAGGGTGACTTCACCTTCGAGACGGTCACTCCTGAGACCCTTCGGGCCGAGATTGAGCAGCAGGTTGCTCTCAGATACCGCTTCACTCTGGAGTCGGAGTGGTTCGCTTCGCTGCGCCACCTGCAGCTGCTTCGTGATATTGCTATCAAGTTGGGTCTCCAGCTTGGTGCTCGCGAATATGCCTTCACCAAGGATCAGCTTCCTCCTAAGGTTCCCGTGGTCAACGGCGCCAATAACGCTGCCCAAGACGAGGGGAAGAAGAAGAAGAAGAAGGGCGCTGACAAGTCTCCCAGTCGGGCTATCGTTGAGGAGAAGCCTGCCGTTTCCATCGTACCGGATGACATTGTCAACGTTGTGCCCCTGGTCAAGGACGCTTCCCCTAGAAGCTCCCTTGCCGAGGAGGCCCTGGAGGCTGGACGTATCTCCCTCATGCAGAACCAGAAGCAGTTGGGCCAGGAGCTGATCTTGGAATCCCTGTCCCTGCACGAGCAGATCTACGGCATTCTTCACCCCGAAGTCGCTAAACTGTATCACCAGCTGTCCATGCTTTACTACCAGACTGACGAGAAGGAGGCGGCTGTCGAGCTGGCTCGCAAGGCCGTGATCGTCACGGAGCGCACCCTGGGTGTCGACTCTGCTGACACGATCCTGGCTTACCTCAACCTCAGTCTTTTCGAGCATGCCTCCGGCAACACCAAGACGGCCTTGGTGTACATCAAGCACGCCATGGACCTGTGGAAGATCATTTACGGACCCAACCATCCGGATTCTATCACCACCATGAACAACGCCGCCGTGATGCTGCAGCACCTCAAGCAGTATGCCGATTCCCGGAAGTGGTTCGAGGCTTCTCTGTCTGTCTGCGAGTCACTATTTGGCAAGCAATCTATCAACACCGCCACCATTCTGTTCCAGCTGGCGCAGGCTCTGGCTCTTGATCAGGACTCGAAGGGTGCCGTTGGCAAGATGCGTGACGCCTACAACATCTTCCTCAGTCAGCTTGGCCCCGATGACCGTAACACCAAGGAGGCCGAGACCTGGCTGGAGCAGCTGACCCAGAACGCGGTCTCCATTGCGAAGCACGCCAAGGATATCCAGGCCCGTCGTCTGCGTCGCATCAACATGAACCCTCGTGTGACCACCCTTGGTACCAAGGTCCAGCCTCAGGTCGGTCAGACCGCCCCCGAGGCCTCGGGAGCAAAGAATGCTGCCAATGCTTCTCTAGACTCTCGCAGCATTGATGAACTGCTGAAGTTCATCGAGGGTGGCGACACTAGCTCTTCGCGCTCCAAGCAGAAGAAGCGTGCCGCGGCCAGCAACCCCAAGCTCCGAGGCTCCAAGAAGTCTTCGGCTTAAGTGTGATTCCTTCCTGCTCATTTTCTATTCCTGGGAACATGAAAAGCTGCTTTTTGGATCCTACTTTTGATCTTTCTATGTGTTAACAGTAACCTCCCCCCCTTCCTTTTTTTTTTTTTTTTTTTATCTTGAACGTCTATCTCCAAATTCTGTGTGTCGAATGAGCGGGACGCATTGTTTTTTTTTTTTTTTTTTCTTTTTTTCTTCTTTTCTGTAGGAATCTCTCAACTCCTTTGCCGGTTTGGCACTCCTCATTTTTTTATTCTCAATTTTCTTTTCTTTTTCTTTTCTTTTGTTATTTCCAGGTAGTGCATAGCAGGTTTGGGGGTTCCTGCATCACGTACTCGGAGTGTTCTTCTGTACTATATATAAATTTGTATGATTTGGCGGATATCTAGATATGCATCTAATGAAGCTATGCACTCTATGAGAATCATGTTCGGCTGTTTGATCTTCACGATATCCCGCTCATCAACACATAGATACTGTCCGGTCTCTATCAAACTGGAATCGAACTGGAAACTGAAGCCTCGTAGAGAGCTAGACCCCAAGCGGAATACAGGTTGTTTTGCAGATCGGAGACGCTATACTCAATTGGGAATCGCTGCTGGGCTTCATTGTTTACATCTTCCATCACTCATTCCAATTGCTTTTCTTCTTCCTCCCATCATTGTATCATATGGTCTAGTAGCCATCATATTTAGCTTACCGCCAGCAGATCTGCTTATTGTATATTAGCAGCAGCGATATTGTCTCTTTTCATCGATTCTTTCTCGAGATTTAAAACCAGCAGCTCTTATTTCCCTGCAAGGTTGGTCGAACGATGAGCGTTCGTTAACATACAGAGGCTGTTCTGGTATGCTCGCAATCCTCTCGCAGTGACCTGAGCGCGAAGTGAATCTTTTATCATTTTTTCCCCCCCTCCCTCTTTCTGCATAGTATTCCCTCGTCCGTGCCCATCCCCCCAAACACTTCAGCATGGAGGACATCCGACCGACCGCGAAATGGGCAAACCGCATGCTGCGTCCTCTAGCCTCCATCTACCACCGACTCGAAAAACACCAGGAGATCCTCTCATCGATCGCACATTCGAAGCGGAAAGAACGGGCCGAAAGCGCGGACACGGAGCGCACGAAGGCCGCACGAGTCGCGGGCGCCGCGGAGAGTTGCCCTGATTCGGACGAGGAGCCGGATGACCCGGCCTGGGTGCCTGGACGGCCGGAGAAGCGCCGCATCAGACATAACTATTCGAGTCGGGGGCAGCGGAATGGTGGACGTCGGCGCAGTAGGCTGTTGATACGCAGTCCCGAGGTGCAGAGGACGTTGCCTGGTGCGATTGAGATCGCGACGCCTTTGATCACTGGGAAGATGCGGCTGATGGGGACTGGATTTTCGACTCGGAAACAGCTGTTTGGGGTGGAAGGCTGTGTGGAGAGTTCGGTGGATGGCCAGGCGCAGGGGTCGAGTGGTGGTGGTGGTGGTGGTCTTGGTCGGAAACCGACGCGCACGAACAACAGCAGTTTCCCGGCCTACCAGGGTTCTTGGAAGGAGGTTTTGGACTTATCCGGGGATACTGGGATGGTGGATATTGCGCACTTGTTGGATCGGATATTTTTGAAGTTTTTGCATAATACCCGGGTCAATGTCGCCGGTCCACAACAGCAGCAGGGGCGCGGCGCTCGGTCTTTGGTATCGATGATTGCGCGTCGTCTGCCTGAGTTCATTGCGGGTGAGCAGGATCTTCAGGATGAGGAGGACGAAAATGACGGAGTGGATATGTGCGACGCATATTTTACCGAGCTGGAGGCCTATTACGCTCCCCTGGGCAATGGCTGGGAGCCTCTTCGGGAAGCTGTCCGTTCCCAAGGCATCAATTTGGTCGCGCAGATGATGGAGAAGAATTGGATTACTAGGCTTGCGGCCTGCCGACTGATGGAGGAGTGCATTCGGCACAGCGAATTCGACGCCTTTAAATTGATGATATCAAGGTATCTGTCAAGTATGGATTCCTACGACTATCCAACTGCATTTGATCCACAGAGGCCGTCAAACCATTGCGACGACCCTATCTACATATTACGAACATATTACTCGTGGTCTAATGATTGCCGGGCCTTTGTGTATGATGAATTGGCAAAGCTTCTTCTGCGCAGCGTCTTGCCATCCGAATGGATGGTGACTACGTGGTGGAAAAAGTGTGTGGACGGCGCAGTCAAATCAGTGTCGACCAAGGACAGTGACTCGGCTGCAGCAAATCGCTTGATTGAAGCTATTATTCTCTCAGCCGGAGGGGTTTACTCGTCTGTGGAAGCAACAGTTCCACAGAGAAACAGCTCAAGCCAGCAGCTCTCTTCACGTACAAGAGGCACTCGGACGTCTGCCGCTGCGAATACCCTCCCTATCGACCACACACCATGTCCTGTAACAGTCCAAGATGCTTTAAGCAATCTCATCTCAAGCCTCATTACTGCGCTGTGTGGTATGTACATGGCGCGGTCAACTGCCACTGATGTATCCGAGAAACTACTTGGTTTAAAGGTGGGGAACACACTCAGCTGCTTGGCCTTGACGTTGGAAAGGGATATCGGTTTGAGCCATCAACAGGACCAAAGGGACTTACCGCCCCACCACTCATTACGCCGCGGGTATGTCTTGCTGGGCAACTGTATGGTGCAAATAGGCGAAGGCATGCCCTCTAGCACCGGCGCACCCTCGGATGTCATCTCGAAGCAGCGCCTCGAAGCTTTTCTCGTGTCCATTGTTCTACAGCAGGATATGCTCAAAGAGATGGCGGATCTCGTCCAGCGAGTGTGTCGTTATTGCGGATATTCTACCTTAACCGAACACACTCGGACGCCCCTGGAGATACGCCGCAAAGTCACACAACTGGCCCAACAAGCAGGTGTCCGTGGGCAGTCGTTTTTTCTTGGGAAAATCGCAGCCGAGACGGCAATGGCGCTCGCAGAGAAAACATTGGATCCGGATGACCATATCTGGGCTGCTCAGGTCCAGGAAAGCGTTGTTTCAGCGCAACAGGGGTATGGCACCAGGCCAGATCTATCGTCCGAATCTGATCGAGATGCTCGTCCGGGAATGTTCCGTTGGGAGGAAAGCATTGGAGAGTGGGTTGCAAGTACACCTAAAACTAGGCCCGGACAGATGGATGAAGCTTCGAACCAGGGGAGTTCTGAGTCTAGACACTCCTCGCCTGATTCACCATCAACGCAGAGTGTCTCATCGTCCTCGACTCCGTCAGTGCACAGTGCTTCAAGCGCCACATCGTCTGCCCCGTCTGTACCAGCCAAGAGGGCGTTCGCAGGCAATAGATTGGCGTTCCGGCCCATGAAAAGGCTGCGATCACGAACTGTGGAGACCTACATGGATGAGGCAAATGATCAAACTTTTAATGCGGGGCACCGACTTTCATTTCTGTCATCACGACCTTGCCCGCTACCTGAAGCTCAATTTGTGCCAGTAGCCGCCCGCACGAGGAGCGCGCGTGGTGTGCTGGGGGAGTTGGTACATGCTCGAAACGTCCCCAATCGGGCGGTCGTCACGGGAATCAAACCGGCCACCTCTTCTCCCAAGTTGGAGGTCGTCATTGTTAACAGAAAGGACGATCTCCTTCTACTGGACGAGCCGACCGAGACGAATTCTGATTGCGATCTTGAAATCTGTGATCCATCTTCCCAGGAAGCATGCCCTACCACAATCTCAAAGGTGCACAATCTCCGACAGCGGTCATTTCGGCGCACGAGATCATTTTCACGGATGCAGAGGACCATTTCTTGCTCCCAGGATGACGAAAGTGAAGACGAGCTAAGCTTTCTTTGAGTGGGAGGCCTCGGTTAGTTGGCTCTGAGTTTCACCGTGGAGGACAGGGCACACAATAGACTTTGGTGAATATTGCTATGCGCATATTTTGTTTCGTATGCCTTGGTCTATCTTCTTATTTCCCTTCTTTTGCGTTTTGGTTTTGGCGCTTGGGATTATCGGCGGTGTTTGACGATGATTTTGGTGGGTTTGCCTTTTGGACTGAGCTGGTTATGGATGATACCCGGGACTTGACAATAATACCGTCTGCATTGACTTTTTTTTTTTTTTTTTTTTTCTTCTCTCTTCTGCTCCTTCTTCTTAGCTTCTCATGACTCCATCAGTCTAGGCTCTTCTATTCACTATCTCTGGGGCTGTCTTGGACTCTATCTCAACGGAGTGTCTTCTCTACCTTACTCGGATTGGGGCCATTCTCAGCGATTGATTCAGGTATGCCCTCGGACCAGTTTGACGAGTGCCCCCTGTCAGCAATCAGGCTAATCAGTATGCTGTTCGAAGCAAATTGAACACGGGAACTGTTTCACATGCCATGAGGGCTATCACCCTTGCGAGCTGTGCTTCACCGGGAATGCTTCTGCAGGAACTTCCGTATTGTCTCGGAGATACTGCTCGATAGTGTTATGTCTATCGAGCGATTGCACCGAACAGATGACGGCAGGGGCTTTGGCATCGTCAAAATGAGGTAGGTGCTAATATACCCTTCTAGTCTGACATTGACATGCGTGCTTTCCTGGTCACTATACGCCAACTTCGTAGACTGCTGAGGAGGAGTCTACTCTGTATTCCGTATGATGGCATGCTTTGCTTTTGGGCGTGATTGACGCAACCTCTTCAAGCTTCCGTAGATTCTTATTCTGATTGCCTTCTGACTTCTGAGACTCAATCCCCTCCAAATAATATAAGTTAATTTAAAATCCTCGGGGTCAGTTCCTTTCTCCAGACAGAGTCCCCATTGCCAAGGATCACAGCCTCACAGGGTGGAATTCGGGGTCATTTCGGGAGGATTTCGAGTATTTTGATAATTTCTGTGCCGTTGTTTCAGAGAGTCAAATCCAGCAGTGGAGCGAAATTAGAGAGAGATAGAGAGGGAGGGAGAGATTGATGACTCGATAGATGTATGATGATAATTGCCAGGGCAAGTTGGGGAGGTTCTGAGGTTGATGTGATCATGTGTCAAGCTTCCAACGCGCCACGCGACACCACACACTCTTGTGCTTCATTCGCACCGCTACATCTCGAAATAACTAGAGGGATAACTAGTCGATCCAGTTAACTAACTACGTCTACCACCAGCTTTTTTTGAGTCAATTCCACCCTGCCAAGAACCCCCCCCCCCAAGCTCCACATCTCCACCACAGTCTTCATGAAGCCGTCCCGTCCTCGAGCCCAGATTGGTGTGTGCCCAACAACCTCAAACAAGCCAAGTCTCGAGATTGCTCCAAGCGTCGTGTTTCACGATTTGCATCGGCGTGAAGGCTCGACCATTCAGCGTAAGAGCTCGGCTTGCCACCTGCACTTAATCTAATCTTCGGGTTGGATTCCTTGGATGAATAGTGAAGACTTCAAGACTCAAGAGACTCCAGAGGCAGGGATCCCCGTATTACCGGCATTTTATCGGGGGGTGAGTTCAGAGTTCAGTGTTCAGAACTTGGCGATCGTTCAGGATGACGGGATACTGTAGAGATGAAGATGCCCCTGGTCGGAATGACATCTTGGTCGACCATGGATGGAGGAGTATTTGGCTCAGGGAGTCAGAGACAAGTGACGAGTCGTTGTGAATTGTGATCCCACCATTTGAGGTCCATCTGCAATCTAGCTGGAGCATCAACGATGATGGTTGATTCGAGCTGAGACGACAAGAATCGATAGTCGCCTCGTCGCTTGCTCCATCTGGCCCACTCCTTCACCATGGCATGGCATTTCGGTTGTCTTGAAGCTGGCTTGTCGCTTGTCACTGAAGTTTTTGGTGGATCTTCTCGATTGACACCCAACCCCCAGCGTTGTTTTCTGGCCAGGGGCTTTTTTTTTTTTTCTCTATCGCTCTCGATCTGGGTTCTGCTGTTCGCCTCTCTTCTCTCCCTCTCTCTTTTTTTTCTATTATTTCTTCTCTTTCGACTCCATATAGATCTTCTTTTTCTATTCTTTTCTTGCGTGCTTGGCGGAAAGTCCTTCGTTTCGTTCCACTTTCTATCTTGACTTGATAGAAAGATTCCGGTGACTGGATCACACTTTGACCACATTCTTTTCGTTGCCCGCCAGCATTTCGCTCCATACAATCCAGAAGATCGTCCGGAATTCTACCCCAAGAACTGGGATCAGCGGGGGTCAATTGAATTGATATACCTGTTTCTGTTGTTTCCCTCCCCTCCCCCTTTGCTAGAGCTGTGCCTCTTGGGTGTCTCTCTTTACGCCATCTTTATCTCTATCAAGTCCCTCTGGGTCATAGAGACAAGAAAGCCTCTGTCTGTGACCACCGTAGGTCTGGCTATTGCCCTAAATTTGGGCGCGCCAGCTAGCTACCTTACAATCTTTTGGGCACTGCCTTGGATCAACCCCTGCTCGCCTGGTTGAGCAGTCCTCCAAGAGAAGAGAGACGGGGTGACGAACAAACCAACAACTTCCTGTCCTTCAGCAAATATCCGGTCTGCCGAGCTGGTCTCGCTCACAATCTTTCGACCCTTTGGAGTCTCAGCTACGCAGCCGACATTCATTCTTTTTTTTTTTTCTAGATTTCAGTCCATATCTTCGCTTCACCCACAATGCAGTCCCTTCTTCTTGGCTTGTCCCTGGTTGGACTTTCTTTCGCAGCAGATCTTGAAAAGCGCGGTGGTGGTGGCAATGACTCCGCCTGGGAGTTCTATGAGCTCGTCAATGATGACCTCTCCCGTATCACCATCCTCGTTCTCGGCTGTATGGCCGCCTTCATCTATATCTGGAAGATGTGGTTCCGGATCGCGGGGCATCTGAGACGGCTGGCGAGCTTCAGCAATGAACGCCAACGGTACTTCGTTTCCCCCGAGGGAACTTTCGGCAAGATCAAGAACCACATCATCTACGCACCGTTGTTCCGGAACAGACACAACCGCGAATTCCAACTGTCGTCGGCTCTCAACATGGGCACCCTGCCCAGCCGCTTCCACACGTTCATCGTATTCGGCATCATCGTCCTGAATGTGGTGCTCTGCGTGGTCACCGTTCCGTATCAGAAGGAGGAGAAGACCCTTGCCGGCGTCATCCGTAACCGTACCGGTACCATGGCGACCGTTAACATGATTCCTCTCGTGCTCCTGGCCGGAAGAAACAACCCCCTCATTGGTCTTCTGCAAGTTCCTTTCGACACATTCAACCTGATCCACCGCTGGCTCGCTCGGATTGTGGTTTTCGAGACCATTGCTCATGTGTTTGCATGGGCTATTCCCAAGGCTCAGACCGGTAAGTTCGTGTTCTTGCAGAAAACCATTAGGTGTTATGCTGAGAATGCCGCTAATGTTGCATAGCCGGATGGGACATTGTTGGTATGGTCTTTGGAAAGAGCACCTTTCTTCTGACCGGACTCATCGTACGTTGCAGTGTGATTATCATACAAGCGTATCAAGCTAATCTTCTTCTTAGGCCGGCTGTGCGTTCGTGGGTCTCATGGTTCACTCGGTTTCTCCGATCCGCCACGCTTTCTATGAAACATTCCTTCATCTGCACATTGCCATGGTCGTTGTCTCCATCGTCGGTCTCTGGATTCACCTGAAGGGTCTGCCTGCGCAGACCTACCTGCTCGTTGCCATTATCTTCTGGGGACTCGAGGTATGTCTAATGCCATTAAACAATTCCAATTTTTTTTTTTTTTTTTTTTTTTTTTCACTGGTTTCGAATGCTGACCGTTGGGAAGCGAACTGCCCGCTTCGCAATCATTCTGTACCGCAACTGTGGACGCAAGTCAACTGCAGCAGTCGTGGAGGCCCTGCCTGGTGACGCGATGCGGATCACTCTGAGGATGGCCAGACCCTGGACGTTCAAGCCCGGCCAGCACATCTACCTTTACATTCCATCGATCGGGTGGTGGATGTCCCACCCATTCTCTGTCGGCTGGAGCGAATCCGAGGACACGATTACGGACGAGAAGGGCATCCCCATGACCCGCCAGGACGTATTTGGTGTTCAGAAGACGACTATTTCCCTCCTGATTCGACGCCGGACTGGTTTCACAAACAAGCTGTACCAGCGCGCTCTCAGCGCCCCCGATTCGCGTGTCACTCTCAAGGCGTTTGCGGAGGGCCCGTACGGAGGCATCCACACCATGGACTCTTACGGAACCGTTGTGCTTTTCGCCGGTGGTGTCGGCATCACCCATCAGGTCCCCTTCGTCCGCCATCTCGTCCAAGGCTATGCCGACGGCACCGTGGCTGCGCGACGCGTCACCCTGGTCTGGATCATTCAGTCCCCCGAGCACCTTGAGTGGATCCGTCCCTGGATGACTAGCATTCTGGCTATGGATCGTCGCCGAGAAGTCCTTCGGATCATGCTGTTCATCACCCGGCCGCGCAACACCAAGGAGATTCAGAGCCCCAGCGCGACCGTCCAGATGTTCCCTGGCCGACCGAACATTGACACGCTGATCGGAATGGAGGTGGAGAATCAGGTTGGAGCGATGGGCGTGCTGGTCTGCGGAAACGGCAGTCTGAGTGATGATGTTCGCCGGGTCTGCCGCCAGAGACAGGATCAGACACACGTCGACTTTGTTGAAGAGAGCTTTACGTGGTAGTGCATGTATAGGAAGCACCAGTCACAGTTTTGTTTCTCACTTCTTTCTTTCCTTTGATCTTTGAACTATATCATCAAGGGGTCTCCCCAATGCTTTGCTGCCGTGATTGCAATAATTGGTTGATTGCAACTCACATACCTGTGATTTAGATGTCTATTTAGAGATTGGGGGGGTCGTCGCTGCTTGATTCACATTGGCGTACATAGTCACTATCAGCCTTTCTGGATCCTTGATCCTGCTGCTTACTGCACTGAACTCTCGGCTGTAGATTCATCCATCCAAATGGAGGATCACACCGACCCGCTGACGCCCGATTCTCCTTCCATCGACAGGATTCCATCTCTCACTACTGTGACAAGTGACAATAGCGTACAGTCCAGTCCAGTCCAATCCATAGGTATGCTGTCGATTTTTTTAACTCGATTAGCAATCATCCAAGTGGGGCCGCGGATGGCATCATAATCCGGTCAATTGAACATTAATCATCAGTTACAGAAGAATCGGCGGGGTAATCCGAGCCATACTGGAGCTGTGCTGTTGTCTATATAAGAGCTCAGAGGGTCTGTCCAAACACTTTATTTATCTTGTTAGATCTTATATAAAAAGAAGTACTCCTGTATATGCTGTTTTTTGTCCATAGATTAGGACGATCTTGTGCATTTTCTACCTCCAGTACCTCCAGTACGTTTACTCGACGAGCGACTACATCCGCCATGGCGAACCGACCAGATATCACGCTGTATACCGCGCAGACTCCTAATGGAATCAAGATCTCCATTGCGCTGGAGGAGTTGGGGTTCGTTGGTCCTTGATCCAAGCTGTGATGGGACTTTTGACGTGGGTTGTGCGACTAACACCCCGATGAAAACACAGACTCCCATACAAGGTGGAGAGGATTGATATCTCCAAGAACACACAGAAGGAACCGTAAGTGATGCAAACCACCTTACCACTGAGAAAAGACATAGACACTGACGGTTTCCATGCAGCTGGTTCCTCGAAATCAACCCCAACGGCCGCATCCCCGCGCTGACAGACACCTTCACCGACGGCAAGAAGATCAACCTCTTCGAATCCGGCAGCATCCTCACCTACCTCGCCGAACAGTACGATACCGAGCACAAGATCTCCTACCCCAAGGGCACGCGCGAGTACCACGACACCATCAGCTGGCTCTACTTCCAGAACGCCGGCGTCGGCCCCATGCAGGGCCAGGCGAACCACTTCAACCGCTACGCGCCCGAGCGCATCCAGTACGGCGTCGACCGCTACATCAACGAGACGCGCCGCCTCTACGGTGTGCTCGATAAGCAGCTCGCCAACTCCAAGTCCGGGTACCTGGTCGGTGACCACGTGTCCATCGCGGATATCTCGCACTGGGGCTGGATCGCCTCGGCCGGCTGGGCGGGCATCGACATCGAGGAGTTCCCGCATCTGAAGGCGTGGGAGGACCGGATGGCGGCGCGGCCTGGAGTGGAGAAGGGTCGCCATGTGCCCTCGCCGCATACCATCAAGGAGCTGCTGAAGAATAAGGAGCAGATGGAGAAGCAGGCGGAGGAGGCGAAGCAGTGGATTCAGCAGGGTATGAAGTCGGATGCTAACAAGGCGAAGCATTAAATTCTCGTTTTCCAATAAATTAGTCTGTTATGATAATAATGATGCAGGGGTGTATTGCTTCAAGAGAATTACTACTAGTCGCATATGTGAAGACCCTTAGTCTATCCCTGACTCTCTGCACTCCGTAGTTATTGCGCAAGGGCCCTGGCCAATCTCACCCTCTCAGCTCAACACCAGCTTCTCTTTTCCACGTTAGCCTAGATCATGAGAGCTTTTGGGCCAAGGGCCAAGGGCACGTGATGAGCCCTGGAAGACCTTGGTTACTGTTTCACGTGACTACAGAGCTTGCCACCTCGTCCTCTTGACCCTCTGATCTACAACGCGAGAAAGTATTTATTCTGCACATCTCTCATCAAACAGCTTGGACTGCGACCCGAGCTTTTTGTGTGCGCTTGCTTACCGGACAGATTAACTTCTCGTATCACAGCAGCATCAGGATAACATGGCGTGGCGCAACCAAGGAATTACAGGTTCCAACAACATCCCTCTGGGCCGTCGGCGGTTCGGTGATGATGCAGAGGAGGACAGTCGCACCGCGACGCCCGCCTCTGTTGGCGCAGATAATGGCGTCAAGCGTGGCAGAAGCCCCGTTCGAGGTACGTCACTATATCCTTTGATTCGTTCTTGTGAATTCTCTTCTCTCGTTTTCATATGCAAAAAACAATCATTTACTGACAAATTTCCGCAGCGGATCCCCCTGCTGATGGGATTAAGAAGCGCAAGAAGCGCAACCGCTGGGGCGATGCGCAGGAGAACAAGGCTGCTGGTCTCATGGGCTTGCCCACGATGATCATGGCGAACTTCACCAACGAACAGCTTGAGGCTTATACTCTGCATCTTCGGATAGAAGAGATCAGTCAGAAGCTTCGTATCAACGATGTCGTCCCTGCGGATGGTGACAGGTTTGTCTTTCCCCCTTTTTCATGATTCTAGTGAGCGTCTCCAACTAACGAATTTTTTTTTTTTTCTCTGCAGATCTCCGTCGCCTCCCCCGCAGTACGATAACTTCGGCAGACGTGTAAACACTAGGGAATACCGTTACCGGAAGCGCCTGGAGGACGAGCGTCACAAGCTCGTCGAAAAGGCCATGAAGACCATTCCTAACTACCACCCGCCTTCAGACTATAGGCGTCCTACCAAGACCCAGGAGAAGGTCTATGTTCCAGTGAATGACTATCCAGAGATTAACTTCAGTATGATAACTAACCCTCTAACTCCTAACCATTCCTGCATTGCGTCTTTCTTGGCTCTCTGCTCGAGTCGGGCCCATGGGACATCGCCTTTTGATGATGTTTTAAAGGCTCGCTTCTTGCTAACCCTTGCTGCTTGACTATGCATTGCTTTTGTTGCTCTCCTTGAATCACCATCAGAACTAACACTTAGCTCTTTGCTACCTTTCACAGTTGGCTTACTCATAGGACCCCGTGGAAATACCCTGAAGAAGATGGAGTCCGAATCGGGTGCCAAGATTGCTATTCGAGGCAAAGGCTCCGTCAAGGAAGGAAAAGGTCGATCTGACGCGGCTCACGCTAGTAACCAGGAAGAAGATCTCCACTGCTTGATCATGGCCGATACAGAAGAAAAGGTCAATAAGGCGAAGAAGCTGGTGCACAATGTCATTGAAACCGTAAGTCGATGCCTTTTTTCTCTCTCAGTGCTTCCCGGGGAGCAATCAGATACTAACGATGCTTGACAGGCTGCCTCGATTCCCGAAGGCCAGAATGAACTCAAGAGAAATCAGCTGCGAGAGCTGGCCGCTCTTAACGGTACTCTGCGTGACGATGAGAACCAGGCTTGCCAGAACTGTAAGTTTTCCTACTTATACATCTCTTGAAAGTCCATGTACTGATTGGAACAGGTGGTCAAATTGGACATCGCAAGTACGACTGTCCTGAACAGCGTAACTTCACCGCCAACATCATCTGTCGTGTCTGCGGGAATGCTGGCCACATGGCTCGTGATTGTCCCGATCGCCAGAGAGGCTCCGATTGGCGCAATGGCGGTGGTTATGGCGGCGGTGCCGGCGCCGGCGGTCGCAGAGCTATCGGACAAGGTGATGCTGTCGATCGTGAGATGGAGGTAAGTTTTGATTCCATGTTCGCCCCTTTGGAATATGCAACATATCCTAACTACTTGACCAGCAACTTATGCAAGAATTGTCTGGCGGTGCCCCCGGTGGTGATGGCCAGCCACCCCGCCGCATCGAAGCCGGCCCCGATCACGGATACGATGATCGCGACGCGAAGCCGTGGCAGCGCGGACCACCACCTAGTGATGTTGCTCCCTGGCAACAAAGAGGACGGGACAATCGCTCTCGTGATGATTACGGATCACGGGACTCCGGCAGTGCACCCCCATGGGCGGCACAGGGTCGCGGAGGCGGCGATTACGGATATGGCTCACATGCTGGCGGTTACGGTGCCCCTGGTGCTTCTGGCGGTGCCGCTCCCTGGCAGCAGCAGCAGGCTCCGCCTCCACCTCCGGGCGGACAGGCAGCTTACGGTTACGGAGCGTACGCTGGCTATGGCGCCTCCGTACCTGGTATGGGTGCTCCCGGCGCTCCTCCAGGTCTGAGTATCCCGCCTCCTCCACCAGGCATGCCTTCGGCATACTACGGTGCTGGTAGCCCTCCACCACCTCCCCCTGGCGAAGGACCGCCACCTCCTCCTCCGAGTGAACAGCCACCCCCGCCTCCTCCGTCTGCGTAGACATCGCAGCGTCACAAGTTCTCCAATAGTATACCCTTTGCAGTTGTGAGAGATTTAAGTCTCGTGATGTGCGCGTACAGCTTGAAGCTTGAAAGCTGAGGAGTGGATTCAAAAAATTGGCTGCGCTCAAAGGGATTGAGATTCATGCTTAATATTCTATGGCTATTGAATTAATTAGTTTATGTATTGTGGTCATATAGTAGACACGTCAATTGTAATGTACCTTAAGAACAAGGAACATACCCAGTAGATGGTGCTTTGGCTTCACATTCTCATTACAATGACCCAATCGGGCGATCCCGACCATCGTTTAGGCCGTCATACGTAGTACACTAAATGACGCGGTGCCTCAGGCTCAACCATCAACTATTTTCTTCATCTAATTCCCACCTCAAACTCGTCTGTAGTCACACGGAGAGAGGGAAAAAAATTAAGCCCTACTTTCAATCCCTCCAAACTCATCTAAGCCGCTAAGCGCCCCGGGAACGCAAAAGCTCTCTCATCGTTGGCACAGATTGGCTTGGCGTGCTACAAGGAAAGGTTGACTCCGCGCCTCAACCACTCTGCCAACATGCATAGAACCCGCCGGGCCTCTCACACATCTTCCCACGAGGACACGCCCGTGCCTTCCCGGTCCAATGTGCCCAAGACTACCCCCGGGGACTCGCAGCGGGATCCTTGGCAGCCGGGGTCGGGGTCGGGGTCGCAGCACATCCGCCCCGGCAGTGGCAAATCGCACACCCACACCCACGCCCACGCCCACGCCCACGCCCAGCATCAGCATGGAACGTCGCAGCAACATGCGGAGGGTCTGGCGCGCGTGCAGACGGGCGCATCCTCCGCGAAGCCGCCGAAGTGGTGGCGTGTACGGCTCTTCCGCGGTATGATCCAGGATATCAAGCGGCGGGCGCCGTTCTACGCGAGTGATTGGACGGATGCATGGGATTACCGTGTGATCCCGGCGACGGTGTACATGTATTTTGCCAAGTAGGTATTTCTTTCTTTCCCCCTTCTTCTTCTTCTGGATCTGCTTCTGATGTTGGGGGTCAAGGGGCGTTTTGCTGACGAGATGGGGGAGACAGTATTTTGCCTGCGCTTGCGTTCTCGCTGGATATGTTCGAGAAGACGGACCAGAGCTATGGGGTGAATGAAGTGCTGCTTGCTTCGGTTCTCGGGGCTGTGGTGTTTGCGCTATTTGCTGCGCAGCCGTTGGTGATTGTTGGTGTTACTGGTATGTGTGATCTTTCGTTGGAAAAGCGGCGGGTACGTATATATGGTCGTTGGCTTAACGGGTGCAATAGGTCCGATCACAGTCTTCAACTACACTGTTTATGATATTGTCTCTCCGCGTGGGACGCCGTATCTCGCGTTCATGTGCTGGATTGGAATGTAAGGTTACCCCCCTTCATGGTCTGTGGAGCTTGTCAAAACCCGTTTGCTGACTATCAAAAGCTGGTCGTTGATTATGCATTGGGTCTTGGCCATCACGAACGCCTGTAATGGCCTGACCTATGTGACGCGTTTCTCATGCGATATCTTCGGCTTCTACGTTGCGTTCATCTACCTCCAGAAGGGGATTCAGGTTCTGACTCGGCAGTGGGGGCAGGTTGGAGAGGCGTCCGCGTACCTGAGTATCATGGTCGCCCTCCTTGTCCTCATGAGCGGCTGGATCTGTGGGGAGCTCGGTAATAGCACCCTGTTTCAGAGATATGTGCGCAAATTCCTGGAGGACTACGGCACGCCGTTGACTATCGTGTTCTTTACTGGATTTGTCCACATCGGCCATATGAGGGACGTCGAGGTTGCGACCTTGCCCACCAGCAAGGCGTTTTTCCCTACGGCTGATCGGGATTGGCTGGTGGATTTTTGGAATATCTCTGTTGGGGATATCTTCCTGGCCATTCCATTCGCTCTGCTGCTGACTATTCTCTTCTACTTTGACCACAATGGTGAGTTTCCTTTCTCATCGGGGGGTCTCTACAGAGAGACAGAAGCTGACGCTTGCTCCAACTAGTGTCATCACTTATCGCGCAGGGGACAGAATTTCCTCTACGCAAACCTGCCGGTTTCCACTGGGATATCTGGCTGCTGGGGCTCACTACCTTCGTCGCTGGCATCCTGGGCATCCCCTTTCCCAACGGATTGATCCCCCAAGCACCGTTCCACACAGCCGCGCTGTGCGTCACGCGCGACGTCGCTGACAACGACGACACTAATAAGGGCAAGACGATCCGTATCACCGACCATGTAGTCGAGCAGCGAGTGAGCAACTTCGCCCAGGGTCTCTTGACACTCGGGACGATGAGCGGCCCGCTTCTCATCGTCTTGCATTTGATCCCACAGGGTGTCATGGCCGGCCTTTTCTTCGTCATGGGCGTGCAGGCCCTGCAAGGCAACGGGATCACGCAGAAACTCATATTCCTAGCGCAGGACAAGAACTTCACCCCCGCGTCCAACCCGTTGAAGAGGATTGAGCGCAGACGCGCCATTTGGATGTTTGTTATTATAGAACTGATCGGATTTGGGGCCACATTTGCCATCACACAGACGATTGCCGCCATCGGATTCCCGGTGATCATTCTGCTGCTCATCCCGCTGCCGTTCTTTGTGCTGCCGTATTGGTTCACGAGGGAGGAACTAGCTATTCTCGATGGACCGACTGCGAGTCCCTTTACGATGGAAAGCGTTGGTGGAACATATGGCTATGATGAGGTGGAAACCTCGGCTCCGTCGGCAGTAGAACCGCACCAGCACGGCTCTAGAACAGACGCGATAGATTCTTCCATGATGCGGAGAGATGTATCGTCTGAGTCCCCAGTAGAAGATGATCTGGAAAGAGGAGAGTCCCACGAACTACATCCCATGTCTTCGATCCGGAGGCGGAGTGTTTCAGGTCGAGCGGACTGATTCCAACATGTCTACACTGTTACTGTAACATAACCTCGGCCGTTTGTATATAACATAGCACATATAAAGCCTAGGGATCATCAAAAGCAATATGATTGGGTGTTTGGGGCCACTGAAGCATCCAGTATATCTTAGAAAAGAATCACGTGTCAACGATACCCACACCGCCTTCGCGCGGTCACTTTTCTGCCGAAGAATTTCGAAGAATTTCAGCATCGCAAGAAACAAACCAGCAAGCACAATGGCGCCCCCAAGGCCTGAAGAGACGATATCCGAGGACCTCGACGAGTCATCGGGATCGTCCGAAACGGAACAGCCCGATATCCAGACCCGCGCCCCCAAACGCCGAAGGCTCTCCGCATCCTCCGATGACTCGTACGTTGCGCCGGCGCCGCTCCCCACCCTCTCCCGTATCAAGAAGAAAGGTGCAGAGGATGCGAAGCCTGTGGCGTCGGCAGGTCAGGAGAACCCGGTTCTGATCCGCGATGCACTTGAGATTGGGTTGCGCGAAGAGGCGTCTTCATTTTCGGCGCTCAATGTGGCGCCTTGGCTGGTTGGGTCGTTGACAACACTGGCTGTGAGGAAACCGACGGCGATTCAGAAGGCGTGTATACCGGAGATTCTGAATGGGAAGGACTGTATCGGAGGCAGCCGGACTGGTTCCGGTAAGACGATTGCGTTTTCGGTGCCGATGCTGCAGAAGTGGGCGGAGGATCCGCTTGGTATCTTTGGACTTATCTTGACTCCTACTAGGTATGGTGTTTTCTTGGAGGAATTCATTGAGGATGGTGATTGTGGCTGATTGTTTCTTCTTTCTAGAGAACTTGCGTTGCAGATCTTTGAGCAAATAAAGGCCATCTCGGCGCCACAGAGCATGAAACCCGTGCTTATCACCGGTGGAACGGACATGCGGTCCCAAGCACTCGCTCTGGCAGGCAGACCCCACGTGGTCGTCGCGACCCCCGGCCGTCTGGCCGATCACATCAAGTCCTCCGGCGAGGACACGGTATGCGGCCTCAAGCGCGTCCGCATGGTCGTTCTCGATGAAGCGGACCGGCTCCTTTCCAGCGGACCGGGCAGCATGCTCCCGGACGTCGAGACATGTCTCTCGGCCCTCCCGCCCTCTAGCGAGCGGCAGACCCTCCTGTTCACGGCGACAGTGACACCCGAGGTGCGCGCGCTGAAGAACATGCCCCGCGCCGCCAACAAGCCGCCCGTCTTCGTGACCGAGATCTCGTCCGAGAGCCAGGGCACCGTGCCCCCGACGCTCAAACAAACGTACCTCAAGGTCCCACTGACGCACCGCGAAGCCTTCCTGCACGTCCTTCTCTCGACGGAAGGCAACAGCACCAAGCCCGCCATCATTTTCTGCAACCACACCAAGACCGCGGACCTGCTCGAGCGCATGCTCCGCCGCCTCTCGCACCGCGTCACCTCGCTGCACAGCTTGCTCCCGCAGTCTGAGCGCAACGCCAACCTGGCCCGCTTCCGCGCCTCCGCCGCCCGCATCCTCGTCGCCACGGACGTTGCCTCCCGTGGTCTTGATATCCCCTCCGTCAGCCTCGTCGTCAACTACGACGTGCCGCGCAACCCGGACGACTACGTGCACCGCGTGGGTCGTACAGCACGTGCCGGCCGCAGCGGTGAGTCCGTGACGCTGGTCGGCCAGCGCGATGTGCAGCTCGTGCTGGCGATCGAGGCCCGCGTTGGCCGCCAGATGGAGGAGTGGAGCGAGGAGGGCGTTAGTATCGAAGGTCGGGTGGTGCGCACGGGTGTCCTCAAGGAAGTCGGAGAGGCCAAGCGCGAAGCCTCTGGGGAGATCGACGAGGGCCGTGATGTGCTGGGACGGAAGCGGAATAAGCTGAAGAAGGTGCGGTAGATGTCCTACGGCATGGCCATGAATGGCTTTTTTCTTTTTTTTTTTTTTTTTTTTTTTTTCTTTTCTGCTGTTCCTCGGTATACATCCATCCTCTAGTTTAGCGTGTTCGTGTTCGTGTTCGTCAACAGCATTACGGTTCTTTTACTCTTATTCCGAAGATAGCTTCTCTCTGGTATATATGGATTGAATTTTGTACAAATCTCTCGACTTGGACCTGCGTAGAGACGTCCATCACTCTCTCCATTTTGCCTCCGCTGGAGCTGGGTTTGCTCCAACATCTAGCTGCACTGCATTAGGTAGAATGTAGCAGTAAGAGCACCTTAGCTCTATGGACTTTATAGCGTTCGCTATGCCATACTATACAGAAACACGGGGAGGATGCATCCGTCATGACGAGCCAGTTCACGCCTCGGGCTGGTCGCATTGGTCTGCCGTGTTCATGAGCTTCAGCAGCCCGTCCACAGCATCACCTTTGTGCGACGGCGTGGCCACACTCCCAGTCTCATGCTTGTCACTTTCCCCTGTCAAATCCAGGGTCCGCTTCCCACGCGATACCGTCGCGGGCGGACTACTCAGCTGCATCGGTGAGTCGAGCGTGTTTGTCCGGTGGCGGAAGCTTCGCTGCGTCGGGGTCCGCATGGGATCTTCCTGGTTGCCAGTGCCGGCAGAGAGGGGTGGGGATGAGAGGCCTGGGGGCGGGGCCGGGTTGGAGGGGGTGTCCGAGGTAGGTTCCAGGTCTAGGGCGGGCTCGAGGCGTCGGGGTGTTTTGTCCGCGGGGGAGGATGGTTCCGTCGTTGTGATTGTGTGGGTGGTTGTGTCTTGCTTCTGGAGCCGGGGAGTGGCGTGGGGTTGGGGTCGGGGTTGCACAGCGGGCAGTGAGAGGCGGGGCAATTTGCGGCTGTGAGCTTCGAGCTCTGATAATCTGCGGTCGAATTGGTGGTCTCGGACGTGGCGCATGGCGCTTTGGATTCGGCTGCGAAGGAGGGTAGCTTTCTGTATTTTTGTTAGAGGGATGGGTAGGGTGTAGTTGGGGGCCAGACGCGCTGCCTTACCTCTTGGATAAACAACTTGCGCGTGCTGGGGTCTTCTGGGACGGAGCGTGGGTAGTGGACTGCGGGAGCTTTCTTTGGGCTCGGGGTATCGATGAAGTTCACAATATCATTCAAGGAGAGCTGGCGTGGTTTTGGTGGGAGTGGTTGTTGTGACTGTGTATGTGGGGTATCATTTGAGGGCATCGCGTTGGATTGTTTTTGTTGTTGTTGTTGTTGTTGTAACTATACACGAACATGAGCACAAATGAACGGATAACTGGAAGCTTAGATAGAAAACCAATTCAACATACCCGATCATGTTGAACTGGAATCTGCGTACGAGCTTCCTGCACGTTGCGTTGGTGGTCTGTTTCTGTCCGTTGCTCAACACGCCGAGCTTGCACACTCGCATTGTTTACACGGCAATCGTCGTCCACCTGATCAATTGTGCGTTTCTGCCCGACCAGACATGGCGAAGGAAGGAGTTTTTTAGGGGAGAGATTCTCGAAGAGAGAGCGTTTGACAGGTGAAGTGGCCGAGAAAGCATCCACGCTCCGATTGCGTGCGGGCGACAGATACGCGTTGGGAGTTTTGTCGCCAAGGATGCGTCTTCCCTCTTTAATGGGGCTCTGTCGTGCTGTCGGGAGCATTTTCAGTATATCTGAGAGGAAGTAGAAAAAAAGGCCCAGAGTAATTGGAGAAGTGAGGCGTTGGTGGAGAGGTGCAGCAGTAGTTATCCAATATTGTGATGTATGGACGAGTATCTAAGTGTTTGAGAACCACGCGAGTGATCAGCGGGTCAGGAATGTACCGATTGACCCAGATGATGAGAGAAAAAAGAATGTAGAGGAAGAAAGAGAAAGGGGAGGAGTTGAGGAGAAGAGGAAAAAGGACAATGGTGGAGGAGGAGGAGGAGGAAGAAGAAGAAGAAGAAGAACGAGGCAAAACAGCGCGTTGGAAATCGCGTGTGTCTGTAGTTTGTGTCGGGGCTCTGTATAGTTTAGTACCGCAGAGGGTGGTTGGTTGTACTCCGGCGTACCTGAGCATCGTGACTAGGCCCACTCCAGACCTCGTCCGCGTCTCTCCACGCGTCGTGATAAGAGATAGACCATGTGAGTTTGTTAAGAAAGTTATCTGAGGAATGCTGGAATTTGGGATGTAATCATATTTGTTTCACCGACTAGTTAATCCAAAGACAGACCTGTTATAGCCTCAATGGGAAGGGAAAGGGGATCTGATCTTTGGAATTGATATAGATGGAGAGATACATCGAGGTACTTCACAGGTACTTCAAGGTACGCCAATGAGCAACACCTACACTGTGATCGGACAGAGTCATGCAATTGCAACCAGCTGTGTATCTCTAAGCTCTTTATTGAATTGGACTTGAACAGAGCCACCCTGTGACTGAATCAGATTCGCTGTTCTTCATTTTCGGCATGATTTGATCCTCTGTCTTTGATGTGTATGCCTCAGGTGTTAAGATTATCATTGTGCATAGTCAACGATCCAGCACCCATCCTCCTCCTTCGAATACTAGTTAGAATAATTACAGAAGAAATTAGAAGAGATCATCGGGGTAATCTGACTCTGTCGATCATCAAATATCTGGACTCTCATGCCCGAGGAGAAGCGTTGACGAGTGGTAGCTCTGATGTAGACATTTATTTCCTGGTTGGTATGTTTATATAGAGAGAGGATTTGATCACTGATGGAGACACCGCACCCATTATTATTTCTGGGTCTGCAATAGTTTCCTTCTTTCAACTACCTATCCCCATACACACCCTGCTATCGTTGTCACTTTCACTCCATACGTTCTTATCCTTTATAGCCATTCGTAATGGCAGCTCTTTATCGATCCCCATCTCCGCATGACATCATTCATCTCTCACGACAGACCAAAATGTCTTCAACTGCTTCTTTGCATCTCAAGGGAATCTGTCTCCCCGGCAGATCCATCCGATCATCAACCTCATCACCTTATAGATGACTACTATTGTAATCACGTCTTGAACAGCCTCCTCAATGGCCCATCGATATCATCTGATCATCGCAAGACTCGCAGCTTTCCCCGCATTCCTTTGCGTGAGACACAGTTGGTGGCTTGTCGCGATCAGATAGACACACCCCTGGTAATCCAGTCTCCATCATATTCCGTCTGTCGTGAGGATCACTGGAGCCGGCGGGACTCCTGTATGCTTTCCTAGCCGATCATTGCTCTTCCCGTGTCTTTCTCATCCACCAACCAGGCGAATTGCATCATTCATGGATGTGGAGCGGAGCTGAGTCTGTCTGCCTGTTGAAACATTGATCCTCCCTCCCACAGCACTACTTAACTTGAATCTCTTCTGCTCGATCATCTCTTTTATCAACAACCTCGCTTTTCCTGTTACACTATCGATCATTCTTAGTCCTAATATCTGCGTTTCCTGCGACACAATTCGCTTGTTTCTTGCTTCCTCGTTACACGTTCTGCCGTGGCTCGAGCACAATGCGCCCATCCCTTGCGGTGCTGGCAGCCGCCGTCCAGGCGGCTGTCAGTGCAGCATCAACTCTCACCCCCCCGGTCCTACCGTTGACGGTTAGGAATCCCTATCTAAGCACCTGGCTTGGGGATGCTCGGGAGGTACCATGGTCCAAATGGCCCATGTTCTATACTGGTGAGGAGATCGGGCTCTCCTTGATGGCCCAGGTCCCTAGTACCGGTATTGTATATCCATTGGTAGGCAAACCGCAGGATTATCTGTCTGGGTATGGTACAACATCTATTACATCTGCAGTCTGCCTCAAATGTATTTTTTTTCGGCAGTCTCTGACATCCCTGTGACAGAGCACAAGTTGAATACCCTACATACCTGGGATCGAAATACGATGCCTCCACGACCAATCTGACCTACCGCATCGACCCAACGATTTTTTCTGCATCAAATCCGGTCGAGATTACAATTTCATTCCTGTCCCCGATCACGCCGACATCGACTCTCAGACAGTCGATCCCTGCGTCATATATAACCATTCATGTGCTCCATGCTGACGAACCAGTCAATGTCTATATGGACCTCAACGGACGTTGGGTGAGCGGTGATGCTGGAAGTACCATCGTCTGGCAACACGATACCTTTGGTCTTGAAGAGAAGAAGCCGACGCTCCAGAAATGGCAATTCCGACGACAGAATGAATTGTTGCTTTCAGAGATTCGTGACCGGGCCGAATGGGGCACCCTCCACTTTACTGGACCTGCTGTTAGTCTGCTGCTTATATGATTATTTGGAGCGATTGCTGACTCGGAGTAGGACGTCCAATATCAATCTGGCGATGCCCACTCCGTGCGGAGTATCTTTGCAACCAAAGGGGCCGTCCAAAACGTGAATGATGAGGGTTTTCGTGCGATTGGGGACCGAGAGCCCGTCTTTGCATTCTCCAAGTCATTCAATCCCAGCAAAAAGGCAGCCAAATCTGACAGTAGCGTGACCTTCACCGTTGCGCTGATTCAAGACCCAGTTGTTCAATTTGCGTCAGCTCGCGGCTTGACTTTGATGAAACCGCTCTGGCAGTCATGGTTTGGGAGCGTGGAAGAGCTGCTTAGTTTCCATCATAGCGATTTTGACCATGCGGCTACTCTCGCTGCCGATTATTCTGATCAGCTGGCAAAGGATGCGTACCAGTCCGGTGCTGATGATTATGTCGACATTGTTGCACTTTCAGCCAGACAGGTTATGGGAGCAACGACATTCTCTGGAACCCCCGATGATCCTATTCTCTTCCTGAAGGAGATCTCTTCCAATGGCAATTTCCAGACCATTGATGTCATCTTCCCGGCGTTCCCATTTTTCCTGTACACGAATCCGCGCTGGCTGGCCTATCTCTTGGAGCCGTTGATCGAGCATATGCTCAGTGGACAGTACCCGAATACCTATGCCATGCATGATCTCGGAACGCATTTCCCCAACGCGACTGGCCACCCTGATGGTAATGACGAGTACATGCCCGTCGAGGAATGTGGGAACATTCTCATCATGGGCCTCGCCATCGTTAACTCCCTTCGATACTCGGATGACTCGGCGGCTGCCTCGAGATGGTCCACGCAGGGCGTCTCCCCCCAGGTCTCGGAACCACACACTGGCTACTTCCCGCTGGGTGAGCTGCAAGCCTTGGCTGGCATCGACCGGCAAGACGGGAAATGGGGCGGTGGCGCAGAAGGCGAGCGTCTGGCTGAGAAATGGGTGCAGCGCAGCTACAGGCTCTGGAGCCAATGGACGGGTTATCTGGTAGAATTCTCCCTAGAACCCGCGAACCAATGTATGATCATGTCCACCTTTCTGTATGGATTGGGGTTCAAGTTGATGAAGGCTAACCTGAACAGTGTCCACGGATGATTTCGCCGGATGGCTTGCGCTGCAGACCAACCTGGCACTGAAAGGTATCATTGGCATTAACGCCATGAGCAAGCTAGCCGAAGTGGCTGGACACAGCGCCGACGCATCATACTTCAAGGTAGGCCCCATTCTTCTCCTAGAGCATCTCTAGACGTGGAGATAATCAACTGACAACCGCAGAACATCTCGGATACCTACATCGCCAAATGGGAGCAGTTCGGCATGTCCCGCGACGGCTCCCACGCAAAGCTCGCCTACGACTGGTACGGCTCCTGGACAACGATCTACAACCTCTACGCCGACGCCCAGCTCTGCTTCCATCTGGAGGGCACCGATCTCTCCCCGAAGGACCAACTCCCTCGCCAGCCCCAGACTCCGCTATTCACCGACGACAAGGGCAAGAAGAACCCTTCTACCCCGGGCTTCGTCCCCCACCACATCTACACCCGGCAATCAATCTGGTACCACCACGTGCGGCAGAAATACGGCCTCCCACTTGACAGCCGCCACCTCTACACGAAGACAGACTGGGAGTTCTTCGCGATGGCGGTAGCCAGCGAGCGCACGCGCAGCGAGATCCTCGAGTCCGTCGCCAAATGGGTCAACGAGACCGTCACCGACCGGCCCTTCACAGACCTCCACAACACAGAAGGCAGGGGCGAGTTCCCCGGCCCGAACTTCTTCGCGCGGCCCGTCGTCGGCGGCCATTTTGCGTTCCTGGCGCTGCAGCGCGCCTGTGGCGGGCGCGCGATGGACGGCTTGGCCTTCCTGGACGAGGGGGATGCGAAGACCCTGGCGGAGTGGGAGGTTGCTGCCGCGAATGCGGCGGATGAGTTGCGGATTGGTGGATGGGGGAGTGGGTATGGGTCGGAGAATGGAGAGTTGTAGATTGTAGGACTAGGACGTACAGTGATCAATCGCTGTGAGAAATATCAAATCATTTTGGGAAGGGGAAGTAGGGTTGGGTACACCAGATATGGTGCCGCAAGGAATACATAAACACTGTATAGTCGCTCTATCAATTGCTAACGAGGAGGTTCTCGAGTATCATAAACATGCGATGATGTAGATGCAAGCAAGTCTTACACCATATAAGACACAACTACTCCGAAAGAACAGGTTTTTATCTTTTTACTTGGTTTCTCAATTTCCTATTTTTTGACACTCAAATCAAATTACATGAGGCCATTTTCAGACGAGGGCGGGGGAAGGTGGGACGAAGAAAAAAAAAAAGAAGAACCGCAAGGGGGCGTAGTAATTCCTTTTCATTTTTTTGGGGGGAAGGGTGTTAAAAAAGGAAAAAAAAAAGCTTCATTTGACTCGTTCCCGCCTTGCATGATCGCGTCAGGACAATTCTTCTCTCTCTTTCTTTTTATCTCTCTCTCCCCGGGGGACGGTTTGGAACAAGAAGACACGGAAGTTTGGAAGGCCCGCGCGATTTGCCTGCCCGCCGGAGAGGGGGGGAGGCTAACGGTTCCCAGAGCCAACGGGGCTGTATTTATTTGCCGCCGAGGCTGGGGAAGTTCTTCTCGTCAACAGTGACGGAGGCAGCACCGCGCTGCTGCTCAGCACGGGGAGCAGTGGTGTTGCCGCCACGGCCTCCGCGAGCACCACGGCCACCACGACCGCCACGGCCGCGGGTGTTGCTGTTGCCGCCACGGGGGGCCTCGACGAAGCGCATGTCAACCTCAAGAACGTTCTTCTCCTTGCGCTGCTTCTCGCGCTTGGACTTCTCCTCCTTGCCCTTGATGTAGGCCTCCTCCTCCTCACCACGCTTCAGCTCCTTGGCGGCAGCCCACTTCTTGTCGACGGAGCTGCCCTCGTTGGCGGAGCGGACGGGCTTGGCGCTGAGGTCACCCTGAGCGGCCTTCTCGGCGAGGTAGTCGGCATAGGACTTGGTCTTGTCGGCAGGCTCGGCGGGCTCCTCACCGGCGGGGGTCTGGGGCTCGGACTCGTTCTGAGCAATGGCCTCGGCGGCTCTCTCGTCATCCCAGGCCTTGTCACCGGCCTTCTCACCGGACTGAGCACCCCAGCCCTGGTTCACCTGCTTGCGGGTGTCACTGTCGATTTGTCATCAGCCAACCATGCACAGCGATCCAAGTTTCCAAAAAAAGGTGATGCTTACACCTGGCCAGTGCGGGACTGACGGTCATTGCGGAAGCGGTCACCGCGCTCGCCACGAGCGTGGAAGGCACGGCGCTGAGGCTCCTTGCCTTCATCGACGGGCTTGTCGCGGTTGCTGCGGCTGCCGGCCTGACGGTCACGGAAAGCTACGGGAGGGAATCCAAGTCAGCCGAAGCTCACAACCAATACTCGGAAAAATGGATCCAATTCTCGAGATCCTCGATGTTTTCTTCCAAATTTCTGGGAGCAAATGAGAGAGACAGAACATACCGGCCTCGTTACCGGTGACGCGAGCACCACGGCGAGCGTTGTTCTCGGAAAGACGGGGCTGGCTGGGAGCTTCCTTGGGAACGTCACGCTTGCCAACACGGGGAGCAGGGCGATCTAGAGCCCTCGTGGGGGGTTCGGGTTCTCTGTTGGGATCCAATTCAGGGTCATTGCCTATATTGCGCGCGCAAGACAGCCAGGTTAGAAACCGATGATGTAATGGTGATCACGGGCCGTGGGCCGGGGGAGGGAGAGAGAGAGAGAGGGAAAATACCAAGAAGCTCATAGAGGTTCTATTGAGGCAGAAAAAAGGAAAGAGAAAAAGATAGTCAGCCATACTGCATCCATCAATTGTGTTTCATGTTCAGTTTTTGTCGGTCTTTTTTTTTTCTTTCTTTCTGTATGAGTTGCCTTGTGCTGCGAATCCGGTGGTTTTTTCCCCCCAATTCCCCTCTTGTGTTCAGCTCTTCTTTCTTCTCCCTTGACGTTTTTTTCTTGCGCTCGTCGATCGATAGCTGTTTCTCATTTCCCACACCGAAAACCCCCCATTTTCGAAGTAGCTCCTCGGTCTCGTTTCTATTCTTCCACACAATCCATTTGGAGATGGGGGTTTTCCAAGGCCGGATCGCAGCGCAGCAGCTCGCACAGAGAGGAGGGGGCAAAAAAAAAAAGAGGGCTCTTTTCAAAATCGCAATCGCACACGACATACCTTGGACCGGACGTCCGCCATGACGCCTGGTTTTATGAGGGGCCTTCCGGGGGAAGGCTCTCCGATTACCGCGGCAATTCGGTCGAGGGAAAAACGGGGGTGAGGAAGTCGAACAAGGACTGAACCTGGACGACTGTAGCGATGAACAACCTCTCCTCAAAGGCTGATTGGGATGATGATGATGATGATGGGGGGGGGATTGGGGGGGGTTTGAAGGGAAGGGGTTGGGTTGGTCGATGTGAAGAGCGTCTGAACGTTTGTGGTTGCAACGCACTAATCGGGTAAGGCGCGGATTGCTGTTAAGCGAAAGCAGCTGGGCGGGCGGTGATTGGTGGATAGCTTCTAGGGCTTAGGGTATTGGCGTCACTCGCAGCTGCAGATGGCATCATTGAGTTGCTGCACGGAATCAGCTGTCGAGGAAAAGACTCGAGTCTTTTGCAGCTTTGCGGTTGTGGACGACGTCAATTATAAGCGATAGGTCCTGCTATGAGAGCTGTCAGATCGCTGAGGTGCAAACCATTACGAGGGCAAGAGCTATCTATTTGCCTCCTCCGGCGTATTACCCCAAGTCAGCTGCAGTGGGATTGACACTTCCATCTTGCTCCGCCAATTGCGGTTGGTCAGTCTATGCCGTCTTGCTATTATTGAAGCATCATGGACAGCGTGGACGACCGGAAAACAAGGAAATGGTCAACATCACTATCCATACAAACTACAGAGTACAGAGTAGATAGATTGATGATAATAATAATAGATAAGGTGTATACCGTACCTGAATAAGAGACGAGAACCGCCGTGTCACCTGATAGCTTTGAAGCTTGCCAGCCATCCTTCTTGGACAACAGACAACAGACAACAGACAACAGATCCGATTTCTTTTCATTTTCACGAGCATAGACAGTTTTCAATCATTTTATGACATATAAAAAGTAATAATAAGTCAACATGTAACAAATGGTATCAACCGCGATGCCGAACGCCGGGCAATGCTCTGGAAAAAAAATGAGAAACATGAAAAAAAAAGACAAAAGAAAAGAAAGAAATCACCATCAACTTTTGATCTTTCGATTCCACGGACAAACCATTGTCATGCATGAGACAGGGAAGAATTGCCGTGAACAAGTCGTTGCAAGCCTCCTTTTTTGTGTGCTTATTTTCGTTGATTACATAGTGCGGATTAATAGGCCGTGATAGATATGGTGGACGGAAAGAACCAGAAAGAAAAAGACAAAGATAAAAACGTTCAATGTCGCGTATGGGTTTGCTCGTAGCTGAAGGGAGTCTGGAAGTGCATGCTGGCGCTCAATCCAAATGGATCTGCATCGAGCATGGGTTCGTAGTTGCCAAGCAATTGGTTCGTATTACCGTACGCTCCGTTCGAGGCCTCGCCGTGGGAATTGAAGTTGGCGAGCCCCCGAGGCCCTAGAGGATGGGCGCCAGATGCAACCGAGGCCGCTGCGGCGTTGAAGCCGGAGACATACGGGGGTGCGTCACCCGAGTCATGTTCTTCGTCGATCATGTCGGCCTGGGCGTCATATTCCTGATCTGGAGGGAAACGCATGAGTAAAGATACTATCTCGCAGAGAAGCAAACCAAATGGGATGCGAAGGGGAAGAATAACTTACCTAGTTGATCGTAGTGTTTCTGGAATGGCGATGGATAATACGCAGCGGAGGGCATGCGGGTGCCTCTGGGACCTGTACCACCAGGCGTGGCCGACTTGGGATCAACCGAGTCGGGTCGAACGATGCCCAACGGAGGAGACGCCTGACTCAAGCTCCGGGAATGTGGGTTGAGTTGTGAGCGCGCATGCTGGGCTTGTGCTGGATCCATTCCAGTCGGCGACATGGCTCCTTGGAAGGCGAATCCAGGGGACTTGGTGTGCGAGGGGGATGAGACGTGTGACGACGGGGTAGCCTGGAACTGGGGCGACGGCATGCCGTATGCGCCGTCCCGCGACATGGCGAAAGCATCACCTTTGGGAGCAATACCGGCAGGGAGTCGGTGGGCGGTAGATCGGTTGACCGCTACTCGCTCTAGTGTCGACGGGGGTTTCGCGACCATGGGGCTGGGCTTGATGGGGTTGCCACCGGGGGCTCCGGCTTTTAGTCGCAGCTCAGCCTGGACATCGATTCCTGATCGAGTGTTAGTATAAAGGTCGGTCTGTGATGAGGTGATGTGAGAAGGGGAACGGCGACGACATACCCTTCTCTAACAGGATCCTCTCAAGTAATGAGTTCTTATATCGCAGCATCAAGCACTCATCTGCGGCGGTACGATGATTCTGCTGCAGAGTCTGCAATGTCTCTTCATTGCGCTTGATAGTTGTCTCCAGCTGGCGGATGTACTCTGTGCGACGTTCTCGGAAGGCCGCCTGGGCCTGTCTGTTACGCTGTTTGCGTTCCTCCGAGGTGGCATAGATCTGAGGGAGAAGTTAGAGGAGGAGGAGGAGGGAAAAAAAAAAAAGAAGATAGATGGAGAAACGGAGCAATGATGTCAGGCAGGTAAGGAAAGATAAGAGAAGACAGGCTATCAAGTCGCAGAAATGAGGCTGAGAGAAGATGAACAGGGGGGGTTGAAGGAGGCCGCGATAACTTGATAAGAGGGAGAAATTGATCAATCATGATGCATCCTCATGATAAACCGGCGATAAAGCAACCATCCAAAATGCGGGGCCCCAGATTGGCAACACAGATACCAGAGTAGTTCATAGTAATGATAATGATAATAATAGTCCCCACGCAGTTTGATGCAGGAACAAAAAGATAAGATAAAAAAAATGGGTAATAAGGGGGCCGGGGGGGAGGGGGGAGTATATAAAAAGAAAAAGGACGTGGGTTTACGTACGGGTTTTCTTCCACCTTTTCTCTTCTGCGTCTGGGCTACGTCCTGCATTGGAACTTCACCCTCAGCTTCTGGTGTCGACACTGATGAACTGATCGAGCCCTCTGGCAAAGGCTCAGCCTTGGGCACGACCGACTCGGGGGCCGTGTCATTGTGATTGGAATTGGATGCCTCGACCATGGAGACCATTATTTGCAGATTTCTAGTAGAGCGACGACGATATGGAAGCTTTTTCCTTTTTTCCTCTTCCTTGAAACGGTCTGTCTTATTCTTCCCCCCTTCCCCGCCGACGCAGCCAGGGTGAAAAGAGGAAGGAAAAAGAAAGGGAAATAGAAAGAAAAAAAAAGGGGAGGAAACAGGAGATAATATCCACCCTCCCTCAAAAAGACGGCGATGATGATCTGGAGTTGACGGGATGTTCACTTGTTCAGTCGTAACTTTTGTTGCTTTGAAACCGCGTTTAACAAATAAGATAATTCAAAAAAAAAAAAAAAAAAGGTCTGAGATAAACTGATAAAGAATGGGATGTCGACTCGTGGAATCTGAGTATGGTTGTGTATGGAGTATGGACTATGGTGAATCCCGTAGGGCTATGAGACAAACGCAGGAAACGCGCGGCTGTTGCGGGAGACAGGGACAAGAGTCGAGTTGAAGGAGTCTAAGTTGATGTGTGACATAAAGGAAATTGACGAGCAATCAAGATAGCCAGCACTGAGAGAGTTTTGGGTGACTGACTGAGTGAGATGGTGTGAAAGGGGGAGGAGAGAGTGGTGGTGGGAAAAGATGTGAGGTAAAATTATTTACTAACAAGAAAAGGGATCTTATAATTAGTAGGTTTTATTATCGAGTGGGTTTAGCTTTTAAATGGGAAAAAAAAAAAAAAAAAAAAAAAAAAAAAGAGAGAGAGAGACAGAGAGAAAGCCCACTTTTTGCTGGGAAGAATCCAATTGTCGCTGGATGGAAAGACCAAAGACCAAAGACCAACGACCAGAGACCAGAGACCAGAGGACCTAGTAAGAAAAAAAAAAAAAAAAAAAAAGAAAAAAAAAGGCGAAACTTGCCCCATGCTGGACACCGGGAGAACTCACTCCCAGTCCCAGCGCCTCAAATAACTATGGCTTCGTTTCTTTTTCCTCCTCATCTTTTACTATCCTATCCTATCCTATCCTATCCTGTCCTATCCCTATCCTCATCTCTTGTCTTGTCCCTCCGGCATTCTTAAGAGTACCTCGCTTCTACGTATAGTTTCTAGCAGAATTCAAATGTCCCCCCTGATCTCCATTATTCTCTCTCTCGGCCAACGGAACATCACCATTCGCCGACAGGCACCCAGCCCAGGATTCCCCAGACAGGCCCCAGAGGAACAAGTCAAATAGAATTTGAATTGAAAAAGACTACATACATATGGATACCCTCATGTTACTTCGTCTTGACTCTTTTGATTCTGATTCTCAAGGACCTTGTTGTTGTTGAATGTTGGTTGTCCCCTGTAGTTGGTCCATCTGCTTGTCCAAGTCACTCCTCGACGCCAGGTCCCAAAGCAGGCAACAAGTGGAGAGAAAGAGAGAGAGGGAGATGACCACTGCAACTGACACGAGATCCATTGTGGCCATCCCATCACTTGCATGTTTTTGACTTTGTCCTCCCCTGAACCGCTTCAGCTTCATGTTGATGATTCCAGAATCCAGCGTGCAGGACAGTTGCCGGGGCTAGTCTCTTAACCTCCTTCCTCCTCTGTCCTTTGTGGTCTCTTTTTTTTTTCTTCTTTTTTTATGGAGTTCAGACCGGTCAGATTCATCCAGTGCTTCGTTGTCATTCCCCCCCCCCCCCCCCTTTTTTTTTCCTTTTCTCTTCGGAGTACGCACACACTCTCTTTTGCCATCGTGGCCAACCTGGTCAATGCAGCCATGTTCCCCCCGCGGAGAAGTTCCGTCCTGTTCAGATGGCGAGACGGAGTCTGGTCATGTTCCATGAACTATACAGAGGACATTGTATTGGCCAATACCGCCAAGACATACCGTGCCCAGTGCCTACTTTGAGTATGTAGGTAGGTATCTAGGTATCTGTCTACCTTACTACCTTACAGAACAGGTTCTGAATGTCTGCCTGGTAGCGGGGGGAAAATTTTACCTTAATGACCCTGGAACGGGCCCTCCTCGCTTAATTCGACAATCCACCAGACCATCTCAGCCGGATACTCTGATTATTGATCTGAACAGCGAGCATCGAGGTTACAGAGTAAAGAATTCCTCAAGTGTACAATGAAGCCGCTGGAGTGCAAAGGGTCAGGTGTTGCCCACGGCATAGAAGAATCCCGATACCGGCTCCATCGGCTCGAAACCTTACTTACCTTACGGTCCTTACCTGACCTGGCCTCGACTAAATTACCCCCAACAGTCCAAACGCCGAACAAGTACGGAGTAGATATTCCCAGTACCTCAGGTAGTGACTAGGTAGTAAGCACATGACCAGACCTGACAACAAATCCAATATATCGCACGACTGTTGACTGTTGAGTGTAGGAGGCCGCCGAACCCAGGCAGACTCCGTTACTGAAGAGTGACTGACTTGACTAGTTAGGGAACTTCCACGTAAGGAGGGGACACAGTGACATCACGAGGATCAGCCACGCGCCCGACATCATCTGATCCGGTAATCTGAGCTTTTCTGACTCTTGGCGTTGACTGTCACTTGTTACTTTGTCGACGAACTACTACTCCGTAGTACTAAACTGGTTACAAGGTGAGGACTGAGGGGGGGGGGTGTTTTCCGCGGGGTGGCTGGTCAACTCCGGGAGTTTCAGGGCTAGTGTCACTGTTAGTGTCGAACTGCTGATGTATCATGTATCACTATCTTCCGCTTGGGACTGACGAAGACGCAGACGGAATATGGGCTGTTGGATTATGAACCAAACGATGGGTTATCCTGAGATTTGATGCCATTCAGAATGAGTTACCTAGACCTGTGTAGTCAAACATTGCAAACACGGACTAATGAAATTTTAAGGGCGGTGAACAAAGCGGACTCCAAAACAAGGGGCAGAAACAGTTGATGACTCAGCGTGCTCAGACTGTACCAAGTAGCTATCTAGTAGATAGACATCCAGGAAGCAACACAATCCAAAATTTGATGCTCTCTGCGCATACCGTCTCTCCTGTTACTTATGCATTAACAGGGATATCCAATTACTCATAACCAAATAAGAACAAGTTGAAGGCTTAATAACACAGAGAAGTGATCCGCTCCTTCCCATTTGTTCACTATAGCCTGCACCCCCCGGGAGTAAGAGCCCCCGATATTAACCGAAAGGTCGTTGCGTGCTTCTGTAGGACTAGGGACTTCATATCCTCCGTGTCCTCGGGATGCGGTGCCGGCCGCGCACACCCCTTGGTATCAAATACGCTCTGATTTGCCGCGGGATGCTTACGGGACATGGTCCGAGGCGCCTGGCCTACCGTGAAGGCCGTCGCATAGTAGTCGCTGAGAACGGCGCTGGTTGACCGGACCTGCAGAGCAACAGATGAAGCGCTGATTACCGCAGAGTCAAGATCCGGGAACTCATGATCAGACACCTCAGATTGAGGCGTCTCTGCCTCCGACCTAGGGGTATTACTAGGGGCAGATCCGGATGATAGACTTGAGATTGATGAATTGGATAGATTCTGATGATGTTGCGAAACTCGAGCCCTGTGTCTTGAATCTGCGATCTCAGATATCCGGCTGTCGGATAGCTGATCAGCATTGAATTGGCGTCTAGATCTCTAGAGAGTTCCTCTCAGATCCGGCTGTCAATCACCGAAGCCAACAGCGAATCGAGACACCAATGTCCGCAGAAGCAGCCTCGTTGGAAAGATCGGTCATATCCACACCACTTTCGTCGCTTGTGATCTGTAGAACCGGGGGTGAACGAGGGGTCGATATTGGATTTGATAGCACCTACATACAGAGGCTGATCATCGCTCCGCTTCTAATCCTCGTTTGAGAAAGGGGCTAAGCTACCCAGCACTGAACTCATCTCACGCGAGCCTCCCGCTTGAGTGCCGGGCTGTGCATCTCGAGGTAACTGACATCGTATGCATGCACACGAGTGGTTCAAGATACGCTCAAATCTAGCCTCTCGTGCGCCGACATGAGGTCTTGTAATTTGATCCGGCTTGTGTAGAGTGATTGGTATATGCGCCGAGGATCACTCCCAGTATATGATTATGTCGGCCAGAACATCATCCAACCCTTTAAGCACAACTGTAGCCACACCTTCGCCACGACAATATCCCTCTGCTGTCAACGAGCGACATCGCCGACATTCTAGTCTCTCTTGGATACATTTGACATCGGTGAATGAACAGCAGCCCCCGGCCGATCGCAGCTTCACCAGCGTCTGCCCTTGCTAGGCTGCCATGTTGGTGGAATCGGCCATAACACCCAGATGATTGGGCTCAGTTAACGTCTGCAAGATATGTGTTAGGCCTTCCCCCCTATTCCCTTGACACCCCGGCCCTGTTCCAGTCAGTGGGTGGATACGCAAAACCGATTTAAATCGACCCATTCCCCCTATCCCATCCTCCTGCCCGTTACGAGGAATTTATCTGCGCTTTTGTCTTTCTCTTAGCGCAACCTTGAAGGATTCAGATCGATGCAAATCAGGGCAGAGCTACATTCCTACTATCAATTTAATGCGAGATGAGGCGGCTGAATCTGTTCCTCGGAATGAAATGTCAACACTCTCATCTACGACGTTTCAATCACCGGGGCAGTCTTGGGGGAGGAGCTAAGAGCGATATGCATCTCAAAGCGGCGTACAATGTACATCGAAGACCGTCGACTGTTCGGATGCGAAGTGGTAGCTCTCAGGCCTTTTACTTCAAGGATTGCGAGATATTCATTTTGAGGTACTTGGTGACTGTTGGTGGAAGACCTATTTCTTGCTTCATCGGTACAATATGGTGTTCAATTGATGACACGCGCCACTGTTCTAGTTGATGCACTTACAGGAATAACATGCCAGCATTATGAAGGACCGTTTTAATCCAGGTATGCTGCTCAGAAACCACCCAGCAGGCTTTTTGCCTGTGCTTCATGCATTGCATCTCGGCCGCATGGTCCTTCGTAGAAGATCTTGTGCTTCTACACCCGGTGGGCATTTGAGAAGTTCGATCTAGACGAGAGGAGAATATTGTCCACCACCTATCCATTCCCCCTTGCAATCAGTGCTCGGACCAGTACATCTGTGACGCTGTGGATCCAAACAGATCAAGTCTCTCTCATGATTGACCTCTGCCTAGCCATGCCTCCCAGTTAGCGTCGTATCGATCCTTGCAGTCGACCAGGCATAGCCACCATAGATATCTAATTACTGGCCATGTTGAGTTGGGACTTGGGACCGGTCTCGATGATAGCTGATTGCCCGACAGCCTGCACACTAAGGCCGAAAATCCCGACAGCGCTCCTTCGTTTCCTTCGGGGACCGAACATTGGATGAGTTTGATCAAAGGATCAAGAGAAAGGATGATCTGGGAAGCCATGATGCTTGGTATGTCTTGTTTTTACCCCTGTGCTATCTGGGGGTTTGAGACTTGAGAGCGAATGAGACAAAAAAAATAACGCGCACATGGACAAGCGTCACAACATCCCAGTCAGTCAACACACACACACACACACACTCTCTCTCTCTTTCTCCCTCCCTCCCTCTGTCGTTCCCAGCTTCTTTATTATTCAAATCTTACGGGTGACCCCTGCTATGTATCTTGCTTAAGATGAACTTGCACTCATTTGCTACGGGTGATACATGTCTGCTACTAAGTATCTATTGTGTATCCCTCCTCCTCCAACTTCGCATGACACTCTCTATCTAAATTCTATCTTCGTCCTACGCCTCTCCTTGGCCTTCACTTCCGTTATATGCCTCATTTATGATGACAGGAGACAATCCAGATACAACGGCTGAAGCCATGACGGAAAAGTCTCTGGAGGCGGAGAAAGGATTGCATCTTAACTCCCCGACAAATTCAACCGAACGACTCACAGACACAACAAAGAACGCCGCGGATAGCATATGTAAAGCTATAACAGGTCCAACAGGCCCTCCGAACCCTTCAGCCCCCCCGGGGACTGGGAAACCTTTTGGACCTGGCATGGGCCCCGCGGTCGAGTACCCCCGAGGTTTCAAGCTTTACTCGATCATCATCTCGCTTTACCTCGCTGGCTTTTTGACTGCACTGGTAAGAAATCTGCTTGCAAGAAGTCTCTACACCCTTAAGTCCTTTGAGACTGATATCAATTCGTCGCTGCCTTTGCACACGACAGGACCGTACTATTGTCGTCAACGCCATCCCCAGCATCACAGATCAGTTCAATTCCATCGACGATGTCGGCTGGTACGGTAGCGCATATCTTTTGACGTTCTGTGCCTTTCAGCTGCTATTCGGAAAGATCTACTCGTTCTACAATCCGAAATGGGTGTTTGTGACGGCAGTGGTCATCTTCGAAATCGGATCGGCTATCTGTGGTGCTGCGCCCAATTCGACGGCTCTGATCATCGGTCGAGCAATCGCAGGCTTGGGATCGTCTGGTATCTTTGGCGGTAGTGTGATTATTACCTTCTTTACCGTTCCGTTACATATGCGACCTATATACTCGGGGATTGTCAGTGTGATCTTTGCCATCGCATCCGTCACAGGCCCCCTGATCGGCGGTGGCTTCACACAACATGTGAGCTGGCGCTGGTGTTTTTATATCAATCTACCCATCGGCGGCGTGGCTATTATTGCTATCATACTGGTGCTGCAGATGCCCCCTGCGCGCAAGGCCGGTACACCTGTGCGAGAGCAGATCTTACAAATGGATCCTTTGGGCAATCTGTGCCTCATTCCCGGGGTGGTATGCTTGCTGCTTGCTCTGCAATGGGGCGGAGCCACCTATGCTTGGAACAACGGGCGTATCATTGCATTGCTGGTTCTGGCGGCAGTGCTGCTAGTGGCTTTCATTGGCATTCAAATCTGGCTACAGGATAGAGCCACCATTCCACCACGTGTGATGAAGCAGCGCAGTATCGCCGCCGGGGTTGCCTTCACTTTGATGGTCACCGCAGCTATGATGACTTTTACCTTCTATCTACCAATCTGGTTCCAAGCCATCAAGTCCGCCTCGCCTGTGAGCTCCGGTGTCATGATGCTACCAACAGTCATATCCTCTGCATTAGCTAGTCTTATAGCAGGGTTTCTAATTCATCGTATCGGATATTACACACCGTTTATGATCGGTGGATCCGTACTCATGGCGATCGGGGCTAGTCTTCTGACGACATTTACTCCAAACATCAGCGAAGGCAAATGGATTGGGTATCAAATTCTTTGGGCTGTGGGATGCGGAATGAGTATACCTTTCCCTGCCAGTGATCTACCTCAAATTACCTTCTGACATGCTTTTCAGGCATGCAACAAGCGTCTTTGGCGGCCCAGGCCGTTCTTCCGCGCCAGGATGCTCCAATTGGCATTTCTCTGATCTTCTTCGCGCAATCTCTAGGTGGATCGATATTTCTCGCTGTTGATCAGGCTGTGTTCAGCAACAAGCTATCCACTAACCTAGGCGATATGTCCCGCATCACTGGCAACGGAGTCACCAGCGTCCAGAGTCATGTCAGCCCGCAAGATCTGCCGCAGTTCCTGAATGGGTACAACGGAGCGGTGGTGAGTGTGTTTCGCGTAGCCCTGGCCACTTCTTGCGCATGTGCCGTGGCGGCTGCTTGTATGGAATGGAAGAGTGTCAAGGCTGAGAAAGGTGGTCCTGGAGGACCAGCGAAGCCGGACATAAGCCCTGGAAAGGGCACTGCAGCATAAATCAAGGGGGGAGCGGCCATGAAGCCCAACGGCGATGCTGGGACGCAAGTCTAGCCCAGTGAGCACTGAACTACAACTCTCCCTTCTGAAGGTTCGGCCCATTTGGTGTGTTCAATATCCCCTCACCTCTGTTAATATTTCTAATCATGTAGATTCACGTTCCCCGCTCTCCTCTCCTTCATATTGTAAATAGATCCACTCCACACTCTATACCAACATAATACGTTCCCAATCCTGGCCACCTGTCAGAAGCTCTATCAAACCGCTAAACATCGTATCAAAATGTTAAGTCTCTGGTGATTGTATGCTACGCTCAACCAATGGCATGAAGCCTTTGTCGGCCGACTTGCATATACACCTTCCAATTTTCCAAGTTGATAGTTGCAGCCTTTGGCGTCCTGTGGTATAAGAATGGTGATCTTGGGGCTCTCCGGCCTGACGTGTGCCTGCGTGGCTGTGGATTGGCGCTATTGTAGCTAGCATCTTCTGTGGGCGTTTTGATAGCCGTTAGGTTCTTGAAGTAAAGACAGACAGTAGGATATAAGCTGTTGGAATCTGTAAACTGTAACTGTATCCAAGGAAATGCGTGAGATGAAGGGTGATGATGGTTTAGGGAGAGATGACTGCCTCAGCCCTTGGGGATTGTGATCAACCAAAAAAAAATATTTCCCGACGTGAATACTCTTCATTCAATTCTAAGAGAACCACGATTCAATAAGCATCACGAAATGATAGCGTGATCGGACTTCCTGAGAACGCCCAAGTGGGTATTGATACACCCAATCTTACTACTACGTAGACTCTTCTTCCCTCTATTCACTATTCAGGCCGTTTTAAAATGCCGCGGCGTCGGCTTTCGGTTCCCCGCCAAAAGAAGTTTCCCCGACAATTCTTCAGTTCACATGCAAACGAAGCCAGCCCACTTCTTCCTCACATCCTCTCGTTCCTTCTGTCTCACTGTTTTCTCGACTTTTTCTCGGATCACTTGAGAGCTCCCGGGTTTCTTCACTAAAGAGAAAGAGAATCGACAAAATGGACCCTGCATCAACACCCGGTGTCACAAACACCACCCCACGCCCCGAGGAGAGTCCATCCGCCCCCGCAGCGATCCCTCAGCCCACCCCAGAGCCAGCACCGACGACGAGCTCCAACGTCAACGAACCATCCGCGCCCGCAGAGACCCCATCAGCAACAGACGACGCCCCAGCGGCGCTGTCAGCTTCAGTCCCAGCGCAGAAACAAAACCCAGCGTCAACCGTCCAAGACGACTCGGACTCGGACTCGGAGTTCGACGAGCTAGATGGTATGACCCCTTGCCTAGTCTACACTCTACTCCACTCCACCCCAGTCGACATTACATCACATAGACAAGGCCATGAAAGCAAAGAGACTAACAAAACCCCAGACGTGCTCGACAACTTCTCCAAACCCGCCGCGCAGCCCGCCGCCCCCGCCGATGACTTCGACGACGACGCCGCCTTCATGCGCCAGCTCGAGCAGGATATGGCGAAGATGATGGGCCACGCGGCGCAGGAGTCCGGCGCCGCGAACGACAAGGAGTTCGAGAATACGATCAACCAGGGCGCGGACGCGTTCACGAAACAGCTCGAGGAGAGCGGCATTCCGCCGGGGGATTTCTTGAAGCAGCTGCTGGCGGATGTTATGGCGGAGGAGGAGGAGGGTACGGGGGCGGGAGCGGGAGCGGCCGCTTCAGCGGCGACTGCGTCTGTCTCTGCGTCCGCGCCTGCTGGTGCTAGCGCGGGTGCTGGGGCTGGGGCTGCGCCGGAGTCGTTCAACGATGCGATTCAGCGGACGATTCATCGGATGAAAGAGTCCGGGGACAAGGCGACTGCGGCTGCGACTGAGGAGGGCGGACTCTCGGAGGATGTGCTGATGCAGCTGCTGAAGAGCCTGGAGGATGGCGCTGGGGCTGGCGATGACGATCTCGGTTTCACGAAGATGATTGCCGGGATGATGGAGCAGTTCACGAACAAGGAGATGTTGTACGAGCCGATGAAGGAGCTGGATGGAAAGTGGGGGCCGTGGCTCAAGGAGAACCGGGGTAAGGTCGCCGATGAGGATATGGAGCGCTATGAGAAGCAGGCCAAGCTGGTGACGCAGATCGTGGAGAAGTTCGAGGAGGAGGGGTACACAGATGAGGACCCGAAGCATCGGGGATATGTGTGGGAAAGAATGCAAGAGGTTAGTCGCTGTCACTTTGTTCCCTTGGTGTTGATATCGCGACTTTGTGCTGACAACTTGCAGATGCAAGCGCTGGGCAGTCCGCCCGAGGAGCTCGTTGCGAACCCCTGGCCGGAGGACATGGGAGAGCTCGGAGATGGGAACGCGAATGTCCCCGGCTGTCCTCAGCAATAAGCGGGAAGATGGGATCTCTTAGAGACGACCTACGCTCTTCAGGTTCAATCCCATGGTGTCTTGATTAGATTCGTTACCATATAATTTGTTGGCATGTTCTGTACATATAACCACGTCGATACCCTTTACATCAATGAAGACACGGCCGCTGCCAATAATGGCTATGTGCAGTGTGCAAGACAAAAACAAGCCCTGATCCTGAGGCGCTGTACCTGTGCGGTCCCATATCACTAACGCCAGGGCCCAACCATCCAAACGCCGTAATCCATAAACAAATGCTCCCATGCATGGCTCCAACGCCTGTACAGTCTCACACAGGACCTCATCATGTCGACATGTCCATGTCCTGACCCTGTGGCCCCTGGTCGGCCAAGTCCATGAAGATATCGTCATACTCCTCCTCATCACTAAACGATGCGCCAGTATCATGAAACCCAGCCATATTCCCAGCTGGCGCTCGACCAGCCTGCCCCTGTTCCCGTCCTTGCTCCTGACTCTGGTACATCTGCATAGGCATGTTCTCCAGCAGCGCAGTCTCCATCGCCTGCTCCTCAGAAACATACTCGTCCAGAGCATGCACATCGACCTCATCTGCAACCAACAAATTAGCCACCGTCCTCCCCTTCATATCAAAGCCACAAAAGGGGGAAGGGGGGGAAAAGAAAAACATACCCAAGCGCTCCATCTCACCATCCCCAACCTCCTCATCCAAAGCATACCCCCACACCAGCCCGTCAGCCCGCCGCCGCATCAGCTCCTCCCACTGCTTCTGCTCCGCCACACACTCCATCATCATCATCTGCTCGCCGCGGTTCTCGAACCGCCCCGCGTCGCGGTCCTGCTTGATCCGGTTGAGAAACATGTTCCGGCGTGCCGTGCGCGCCGACGGCGACGTCGAAGTGCTGTATGAGCGCGTCGCATTGCTAAGCGGGTTGGAGATAGTCGCGTAGCGCTGCGCGTAGCTCGGGGAGCTGCGCGAACGCGAGGAGAGCGTGTTCGGGGAGGTGGTGGCGTTGTTGATGTTGGTGTTGGTGATGGTACTGCCGTTGTCGGTGAAGAGGGAGAAGTTGAATGTCTGGTGGGTTTCCGAGCCTGCTCGGTTGGTGTCGCTTGCGCGGTGTATGGAGGCGAAGCTGTCCATCGGCCGAGAGGCGGCGAGGGTCGAGCTGCGTGGTGACAATGGCGACGAATGCGTGGGAGAGAAGTACGAGCAGGGCCCTTGGAAGGAGGATGGCTGTACGGGTGGGATTGTCGCGAACATGATGGTTTTGCAGAAGGGGGAATTAATTGAAACTGGGGGAAGCGGAAGTTTGGTAAGTGGCGGGTTCGCGTGGAGATCAGAGTAGTTTTGATGGTTTGGATAAGACGAATGAGACAGTGGGTTCTTACTCCACAAACAATGGTTCTGAAGCTAATGATGATACTGATAGATGTTTACTGCGGAGTCAATCAAGCTCCTAGCCTGCACTCCAGTCTCCAGCACTATTAATATTGTTTCTGGCTGCTCGACTCCATCTTCATCAAATCCCCAGCCACTGTGAAACTGTCGCGTTGGAGGCGGATTCCCTCGGTGCTTATGTAAGGCGCGCGTTGACACGAGATCACGCGATTTAACATGAGGCTAAACCCAGTCGGGAAGTATTGCATTCCTCAGGCTGCAAGATTATCTACACCAGAACGAAGTACAACATGGAGTGCGGAGGATGTACAGAGGCAACACTAGAATCGCGGTTGAAAGAGAATGGGTTACATAAATACTACTATCTCACTGTCGAGTGTCAACTAGCTTGAGCAAATCTAAGCTCTTGCAATGGTTCTTTGGAAACATGGGTGGCTAGTCCATATCGATGTACACTATCCCTGCCTCAACCACGAGCTGCCCAACACGAGGCGAGCATTCCAGTCCAGCAAGAATGCCAATTCAGTGGCGTGTTCGCGACTGTCCATGACGTTGCTTATCCACGATCGGTGATAGAGTGAGGATTCGGGCGTTGTTTAGATACCAAAAGCGTCTCTAGTATTTGACCCTAGAGAGTAATAATTCATTTCTCTCCTCAATAGTTACAGTAATACTTGGACAGTAGATGCGAGAAATTAAGTAAACTAAGATGTAAATAGAATTGTTATCATGACACTCCATGTCGTGCCGTTCGTCGAGGGTGTAAATGTTGCTTCTTCGCTGCTCAACTGGTTTCGAGGTAGGATATCCCTCACAAATCACACACAAGATCGAACTCATCATCATACGGAATCGTCGTTTGAGACGCAGGTCCCGACTCTGTACCACTTGCGGGCTTATCGCTGCCCGGATCTGCCGCCGTCGCCTGCACCGAGGATACAGACATGCAGCTCGCTATGATTCAGTTAGTCGACGGCATTGCATCTGATGGAAGTCACTGGGAACATACATAACTGCTTCTGGCAATCCTGGACCGAAAAGGATGCGGATCTATCCGTATTCGCAGTCTAACCACCAAGCATGCGTCAGTGAAGTTTCCCTGCTTTAAGAGTACATATCTCTTGTCGGGAGACTCACCTTCTGACACGAGTCGAACTGCGCATTACAACTGCATGAAGCACTTAGCCATCAATATACTTCAAGTCACAAGCACAACCAACCTCCGTTGAGCAGCAGACTGAAAATCCGTCTAGAGAGAAATGCCGCATCAGCACAATCACCCAGCAAACCCACAGCACGGCTCCATCAGGGAAGAAAAACATACAAAGGTATTCCCATCAACTCCATACGGCCGCTCAGCGTCACCAGTCCGCGTAACCTAGGTACTTTCCATCAACACCATCGCAAGACGCGCGTATAGAGCGAAAAAAAAAAAAAAAGAAACAAGAAAAAAAAGGGACACACAAACCGCAGGTGCATCACCTCCCAAACTCCCCGAAAACGACTAAAGTACCCGAGTATCAGCCCACCATCTCCAGCTCAAAAATAATCCAAACACCCGGTCAGGACAGAGAGCAATGACATACCTGCAGATCCTGCCGCTTAGCCATCCACAGCGCCTCCCCTGCCTCCGCCGCCTCATACCGCATGCCAATCGGGTCGGCTTGGAACGCTACCGCGCCGTGGATGAAACCCCATGGCGACCAGGGCACATACCCGACAAACAGACACAGCAGCGAAGCGTAGCTGTGCATCCTGTGACCGCGGGGAATTGGAGGCGTTGTGTGTCGGCCGACTAGGATCGGTGATGGCGAGTATGAGCGACTATTGCGACTGACGTACTCGGGTTTGATCTGCGATATTGCTGGAGAGAGTAGATGCGCATACACAGGTAGAGGATAGAAGATCCCAGACGGGAATGTCGTCATTCAGTATACTTCCCTCTCCCCGTGGATTATAGTGATAGTTGTATTGCTATATGCTATTTCTGGAGCGGGGATTGGGGATCGGCTGGGGATGCCATTTTCAGGAGTCAGATCCCTGCTTCGCGCGCTCGCGCCGGATAAATTCAGCTATCGTTTGGTTGTGGCGTGGGAGACTGGTCTTTGGACAAGTCTGAAGTGGACAGATTGGCAATGCGACTAGCTTCTACTCCGGAGACGCTTGGAGTAATCTTATTGAATGCCATGGAAACGACTGTTTGGAAGAAAGGCAACCTACGAACCAAGAGATGGCTACGGGTCATTCAACAAAATTTGTATGAACTGAATGTGGGTTTTACTACTTCTTCTCAAATTAAAAACATAGGTACATGTCAAAAATTTTGGCCAAAGGGCTGTGCAATGAGGACCATCTGAGCAGAAGAAGAAATGTCGAAGAGTCCGATGATGGGGAATCAAGATTGGAGCGTCATGGGATGAGGCAGCTGTGCTGCAAGAAAGGGAGCGTGGTCTTTTGGAAAAGGAATGACAGACGATCTATCGAACGACAAATGCAGATGATGCAAAGCAAAAAAAAAAAAAAAAAAAAAAAAAAAAAAAAAAAGGTATTCTCCTAGCTGGCAATGATGCAGGAAACAGAAAGTAAAAAAAAAAAAAAAGAAGAGAAAAGAAAAATCAAATGCTTCCCACTCGTGACGCCAAAGAAGAGAAAAGGGCGTATAATCATACAGATGTACAACCTCGAAAGGGCATCTGGAAACTGTCATAACCTACTGTGACCAACCTAGATAATCTAAAAGTTGGACGCAGCGTTGACAGGCCCAGGGTTGTGGTACTGATCGAGAGTACTTCTGAATGGAGTGCCGCCAGCACCCGGGCTGGGAGCCTTCTCTCGCACACCACTGCCAACAGCGGTGCCGCTCATGAGATCGGCGGCGTCATCGTGGTCGGTCGCCTTTCTTCTGGCGTGGATTCTCCAGACCACCACAGCGATGGCACCGATCACAATAGCACCACCAACACCCACCACAACACCGATGATGATCTTCTTCTGCGATGAAGAGAGACCAGAGCCGGAGTCTTTGGAGGCCGAACCATTCAAGCTGGGAGAGTCGCTGGAGGAGCCACTCTTGGGAGTAGTCGTGGTGTAGGTGGTTGGAACTGGGGTTCCGTTGATGGTGCGGGTGGAAGTAATCGTCGTCACAACCTCGCTCTCACTCGCGGCGGTATTGGAGTTGCTGCTATCAGTGGGGGAGGTACCTTCGCTGGATTTGGTGGTGTCCGGCGTCGTATCCTTGGTAGAGCTTGTGGAAGATGCCGTTGGTGTAGTTTGAGGGTTGGTGGTGTCCTTGGACGTAGTGGACGAGGTGGTTTCCTCCGACTTCGTTGTGCCGGCGGGATCTGTCTTTGTCGGTCCCTGGGAGGTGGTAGATGAAGTAGTCTCGGTGGACTGGGATGACGAGGTTGTCGAGGTTGTCGAGGTCGTCGAGGTCGTTGAGGTCGTCGAGGTCGTGGTCGCTTGTGAGGCCGTGGGAATAGAGGCCGCCGAAGTCACGTCGGCGACGGAATCAGTGGCTCCCTGGCTCTGACCAGCCGTGACGGCCACGAGGGACAGAGAGTAGAGGAAAAACGAAAGGCTTGCGAATCGCATGATGGGCGAGAGAGAAGTGGACCGATACTGATGACTGAACGAGTTTTTTGGGGGGGGGGTGGAAAGGGTATTGGGAGTCTAAGCGGGCGAGAGTGTGATAGATGGATTCGAATCTCCCTGAGATAGATCGATGTGAACCTGACTGGTGAGATGTGTTGACGCGTTCCAAGTGCAGGCGCTTCAAATCCACCAGAGAAACACAGTGACGAAGGAGGGTTTAACGAACGACTAGAAATGGAGAGGAAGCACGATGTGCAGGAAGAGAGCGTAAGGAGGCGGGATAAAAGGGAACGGGGAGTGGAGGGAAACTCAGCACAGTAATAATATAATAATAATATTAATAATAATAATAACTCCGTACTTAGTTAGTAGTCCGTTACGGAGTAGAGAGAAAAGAAGAATAAATAAAAAAGAAACAAAACGGTGACAGTACTATGGATCGGAGGGAGGCGTGTCAGGGCCCCAATTCCATAGATTTCGGTCCTGTCGGGTACCATGTTTAGGTAGGTACCGTACAACCATGCCCAAAGGAGGCAAATTCAGAGACATTCCCCAGGGACCCAATACCAACGATTACCAAGATTACCGATGCCACCCACACCAGATGACGGACCCAAGGACTGACCGGCGCTAGTGCTGACGCTAAAAGCCCCCCATCCAATCACCATAGCAGTAGTGAGACAGGCTAGGCACAGTTACACCAATCAGCAGGTAGGAATCTTGATTAGCCCCGGGACTAGGGCGCCTGACCTTTGAATTTTTGTTTTGTCGATCTTTCTTTTTTTTAATTTCTTTTTTTTTTGGCATTGATCGCTTGGGACTCGCCGGCCACTAAAGGGACTAGAGGGACTAAAGGCACTCACTCTAACACTGGTAGTCGCTTTCCATTAATGTCACGCTCTGTTGGCCGTTGTTTCAGTGTGCTTCAGCCGCTGAATTGGTGCATCATTACTCATTCTGCATAAGTGCACATGCCACTGAAGGATCGGAGGACGATCCTTCTAATATTATTCTACAGGTTATGACTTATGAGATCTTTTCATAGAACTCATCTCACTTTGTAAAGCTTCATGTATGCCTCCACAAGCCCAGAATTGCACGGTGGATGAAAATGAAAATTCCATGTCGAAGGAGGAAACAGCAACAGTATAATTGCTCTCCACGTTGGTAATCAGATATTCGCTCTTCTCCGTAGGATTCCGTCGGCCAAAGTGCATCAAATTTCCGTTTAAGGCTCAGGGACAAGTGCCGGTCATGCCGAAAGTGCGCACACGAGTCTGCTATAGTGGAACGACCCAGACTATGCTTGTTGGGAAGTTTGGGGAGATATCGGGTCAGCAACGCACGCGACCTGGATAGTATCATAATGTGCTTCTGCGGGTTCATCAAGATAGAAGCAGCCTGCAAGATCTCGCATTCATGCAGGTACCTATCTCCCTCCTGTCACTCGTTCTGATCCGACATGAGACCTGTCAGCAACGTGGCTTTGCCCTTCGCTTGAAGCATATGTGCATCTGCTTACTTAAAATGAGTGATACCAAGCTTCTACTGGTGTAGTAAAATCGAGATCCATCAAACAAGTCATATTGTCTACCTGCGGTATGTATGCTTCGAAGCCAACGTTCCGACACACTGAAAATGGATGACTGGACAAAGCGGCTTGACGCAAAGGAATTTGTCTTCAGATAGAATGAGAGATACAGCCCACGGTAAAGGAAAAGCTGCAGCCCAATTGATATCCGATCAGAGCAAAGCTCATCAGTCTAGGTATTTCGTGGTTCATGAAGCAAGGGTAAGCTAGGTCATAGAAAAAACGATTGTTGGGTATCATTAAAATCATCAGAATACATCGTGCATCGACTTGGACGTCGGCGACTTTCGCGGTATAGGCGCTCAGAACTTGTTGGATGGTCTCCCTTTGAACTGATCTTTGATCTCTTCTCTGAAATACTCGAAGAATTGTTTCAAACCGGGACCTAAAGGAAGAGCTCGTCAGCGTGATTCTCCAGACCTGTCTGGCACCGTCTCACATACCATTTCTTTCTAATCGGGTACCTCCCATTTCTTCAGGAGGTATACCGTGTCTGATGTGTTGAACCTTCTGATGGACTCTGCCCACCATTCTGTGAAATGTCGGGCTGGCCAGCAGCTGTAAAACAATCAGTATCCAGGGTCATATCGCGGCATAGTGAGCAAGGCATACCCGTGCAGTTAGCCAAACCTATAAAAATTCAAAATGTCAGTCAGAGATCTTAGCTAGGGCAAAAGGAAACTTTCAGCACAGTAGCTGGCTAACTAGTTTGCTGCTCACCTCAAAGGTTCGGAGCCAGAATAGCTTGAACATATTGGAAACTGATAATTAATTGGTTAATTATAAAAAGCTTCACTTCAATAGATCATTTCATAGAATCCAAAATATGAGCAGTATCCATCCAACCCCCACGTGTGAATGATGGAGACCAGAAGACAAGGTGGAAGAAAGGGTGAACGTGTGGTGGCTCACAAAGAACTGAAGAAAACAGAATGGAGTGACTGTGAGGCTCTGCTGATTCCATGCAGCTTTAGTCTTTTGTGTGGCGCAGAATTGACAGTTCAACCACTCACAAAGCCGGGTTTCTGTTGATATTCTGTGCATTTCTAAGACTGTAAAATTGCTGACGATATCAAACTTTGCCCTTCTCCTGGCCAGACTGCTATACTTAGATATCTACGCAGTCCTGTTTTGTTGCTGGTATCGCATCTTGGTCCTCGTGTCATGTTGTAAGGCCTCCTTGATGGGGGGGAATGTCGCCTCTTCTTCTCCCTTATCCAGTTTCAGTTTCTTCAACTCTCACAGATCTATCTATATTTTTAGTTGATACCGTTTATCTATATCAGTGTCAGACTGAACTGACACTTACCAAATAACTAATCTACATTGTCATACACTCTGTGGCCCTTTTGATCTTCTTCCTGTACTTTAACTACACAGTATTTTCTATAAGCTTCACTGATCCATGAGTCCCTGACTCTCTCTAGAGCCTTTTACCACCAGTGCGGGGAGACGAGAAATATTCAGGTATCGTGAGGGGCGCTCAATTAATCTCCTATTTTTTTATATTTTTTTTATCTCAATTTTATCTTCATTTTTTTTTCTCCTGCAACTTATTGTCTTCAGTATCCAAGTCTTTATTCGATTGCGCGTCTCCTTCGGAACAACGGTATCTGCCACTTGTGCTGTTCCTCCTTCAACGTAGGAGAGAACTGGTTACGACAAAACTACTAAATATCCTTCAACAAACATACCCTCAAGAACGGTGGCCTCACGACAATTCCATCCCTCCCCTCGCTATTATCACTATACAAATCCTCGTCTCTTCCGTGGCATCAATCAGCAGCAGCGTGTTAACCTCGTGAGATCTGAAAATCTGGCCAGGCAAATCACATCGAGGGGCAGCTTCCACAGCTGTCCCGATCTGTCCACGCTACAGATATCATCCCTGCCACAACCCTCCAACCGCACGAGTGACGATCCACCGGACGGACTCATTGAGGGGCACCCTTACACTGCACCACCCTCTCGCTCCCCATCGCCAGACACTGCCAGTTTTCGCAGCGGTACTCGAAGGCTTGCCTCAACTCGAAAGCGGGTCTCGAAAAAGGCGCGCGGCGTCCTGGGTAAGGTTCGGGCCTTCCAGAGGATCGCTGCGGCCAAGATGGCGCATCCTACCATCAAGATCGATACGAGTGTCCAGGCGACCAAGCGCGCTTTACCAGAAGATAATGAGGGTGGCTTTGAGATTGTAGATGGTTCCGAGCTGGATAATCCTGGTCTGGACACCGGCGATACTGAGCTTGTGCCGCCGTTCCTCTGCCAAAATGTCATGGGTCAGTATGCGCCCGATCCGGAGATCCTGGTTTCTCATCCGCTACGCAACGAGTCGCGTTTCCATCGGTCTATTTCATGCCTGGCTAACGTTTGACGGTTCTCGATCTAGATATACATCAGAAATTCGAGGAACTGGAATGGCTACAACGGACGCGCATCTCGGAGGGGTCGATGTCAAATGACCCCGCGCACCGTTGGGCTCTGGAGGCGGACCCCGAGGTCAAGGCGAGAAACCGGTATCTGAACGTGCAAGCGTGGGCGAATTCGCGCATCCACCTCCGAGTGCCAGATGGCGAGTGCGATTTTATTAACGCCTCGCCAATCATCTTGAATGATTCGGTGTCGCAGGAGGAGAGGAGGTATATTGCCACACAGGTTCGTTGGATACTCTCCCGTCGCCATACTCAGCATGCTAAATGTGATACTCAAAAGGGCCCGAAAGTCGGACATCTCGCTCACTTCTGGCACATGGTGTTCCACGAGAGCCAGGATGTGGCCGTTATCGTCATGCTTACACAGACCGTCGAATCCGGACGGGAGAAATGTGCACAATACTTCCCGCTCGACCACGAACGCCCTTCCATGATCCTGCGACGGGATGAGAACGACCCCTACACACACGATGAAGCCCATGAAGAGGCGAATAACAGCGTCATGGGCGAGGTTACTCTCCTGGAAACGGACTTTGACGAAGAATCCCACTCCGAAGTGCGCAAGCTCCGACTCACATTGGGGAACGAATCCAAGATCGTCTGGCATTTCCTGTTCGCCGGCTGGGCCGATTATTCTAAGCCAGAAGGGGACGATCGCGAAGCGCTCCTCCATCTGATCAAGCTATCCGCGTCCAAGTGTTCCCCTGATAACCCGCGGATCGTGCATTGCAGCGCCGGTGTGGGCCGCACCGGCACGTTTATTGCGCTTGATCACCTTCTGCAGGAACTCGAATCGGGCGAGCTACAAAAGGTCAGCGATCGAGAGACAGACCCTGTCTTTGAGACGGTCAACCAGATGCGGGAGCAACGGATGATGATGGTCTACAACGAGATGCAACTCCAGTTCATCTACGAGGTGCTGCGCGAACAGATGGACATGAAGCTCGGGAAGACCACGAGCTACACCTCGCGCAAATCTGACGGGAGATCCTCCAAGATGGCCAAATTATCCAACAGCTCCGAATACCTGCCTTCGCACAAACCGGAGCTGGAGCCCATCGCTGACCAGCCACCGCGAAGGTGGTCCGGCTCGCTAGACAACCTCCGACCATGAATGAAGCACTCAACCTACCGACCGTCGTGGTTTGATTCGTATGGCCCGTATCATCAGGCTTTGAACATCCATAATTCCTATTCCCCGTACATATCCTTACTTGACTTCCCGTCACGGTACACCGCGCTTGTTTTACGTTGATGACCGACCATGAGTTCCTGACGTACAATTATTCTATCCATTACACGTTACGCATCGTCGCATACTTTACTAATTATCTTTGCACCCTTATTCTCGCTCGATCCATCTTGTCTTGATTCCCTCGTTGCAACGCCTTAGCATTAGAATCGGGTGTATCAAAAGTTCTGAACACGGACCTGAAGAAATTTATCCACCCGCATGGTTTTAGACAGTATCAACCCCATTTTTCCGCGGATTCCCTTACACAAATATACATGGACGTCCCATTCAGGAGTAGGACGAGAAGGTCACCCAAATTCAATGAAAGTATCATATTTCCCGTCAGATGAAGTCATTTTGTAAGTTCGTCCTATTTACACATAACGCCGAAAATGTCCAAACATGAGTTTCCCGGAAACCCGATGATAGGTATGGTATATAAGGCACGCAGAACACGGACGGATGCAATGTAAAACACAACGAAGCCTGAGAGAGTGTGAAAGACATGACCATGAGCGTCGTAAACAAGGCGTCCTGTCCAGCCCGAATCGCGTGAAGGGTGTATAAGAGACGAAGACGAACAAGCAGGGACAGACGCAACGGGCAATATTAATTGGTTTTCTCGATTATGAGGGTCGGATGAGAGCGGCGACGAGAGTCGTCTCGAGACCACACACGCACACGGAGAGAGAGAGAGAGAGAGAGAGAGAGAGAGAGGGAGAGAGGCGGGGAAAGGAATGGCGCTCAATCACTCCGCTTCTTCCCATCCACGCCCTCCCCAGTAGCCGGAGCAGCCGAACTCTTCGAGTCCTCCCTCCGCGTCGCCGCGTACTCGTCCGCACCCTCGTCCGCATCCCAGCTATCAACCGCATTCTCGTCCCAATTATCCACCTCCTGCTCGAGGGTCAGGACGCCGGATTCCTGGGGCCCCAGCCCGCGGTCCGAGCCGTTCAAGCCCATGCCGAGCTCGACGTCATCGTGGTGCTCGAGCTCGTGCTCGTCGCCCAGCGCGCCGAAGCGGGCCTTGCGCCGCCGCTCCAGCATCCGCCGGTGGTACCAGCTGCAGAGGCCGACGGCGCCCAGGCTGCCGATGAGGTTGGCGACGAGGTCGAAGGGGTCGAAGGCGCGGTCGTTGGGGAGGAGGCCCTGGATAATCTCCGAGCCGATGCCGAGGGCGAGCGTGCAGACGACGAGGGTGAGCTGGAGACAGCGGCGGCGGGTGGTGTCCAGGATCCAGTAGAAGACGAGGGAGAGGACGAAGAAGGTGACGAGGTGGAGGAATTTGTCGTTGGGCTGGAGGGTGGTTGGGATGGAGGGTGAGGCGCTGTGTGGGAGGAGGCCGATGTAGGCCGCGAGAATGAGGATGAAGACGAAGGCGCCTGTGAGGTTGTATTGGGTTGAAAGTGTTAGTATGTGTAGCAGTGTAGCAGTGTAGCAGATTGGACGGTTGGGTGCCTGGAGAGCCAGATCATGGGAGTTTTAAGCTTTGAACTCACCCGCGAAGGGATAGCGGATTCGCATTGTGGCGGTTTGAAGCCTCTGTGTTCGATTGAGTCCGTTGACAGAGACGAATTGCTTGTTTAAATGAGTGATTAATTGGGGGGATGAGAGGGTGAAATGGGTTGATTGTTAGGCTACGATTGGCAATGTTTCCGGGTGCGTCATGTGCTGCAACTGAATAGTTAGTAGTAGTAGCAGCAGTAGCAGCAGTTGTGTTGTTGGGAGAGGAGTGTAGAGAGAGCAGCCCTCAACGGTTGACAGCGAACGCAGACATTTGAAGCATCCATTCCCAGAATCTTATCATCTGAAGAATATCAGTCGCCTCAGAGGATATCACCGCATTGATGTGATTTAGACTCATTCCTGTTGATCTCTATTCGAACTGCGCGGTTGGTCTGAAACTGCGGCCGCCTTTCCGCCTTCACGCTCGACTTCACTTCGTCCGTTCGCGCAGAGAACCTCATACAAAAGCGTCCGTCTTCGCCATCAAATTTCAACCCCCGCGCCATCGATTTTGATCCGGGAATTATCTTCCTGTGACTATTCTCCCTTGGCTCTTTATCTCTATGTCTTTTTTTCCCGGACAAGACCCCCTGTATATCTCCTCCCGGACTCGCTCCTAAACGTGGAGAAACCGAGCCCCCTCGCCCGCCCCAGGACCGGGGTTTTGGAGCGAGCATGTCGCTCGGCCACCACCACACCTGGCTACCACCAGGACATCTCCGGCCTCCCGACGATCCCAATGATCTGCGATCTGTCAATGGCTACGCGAAATCTTTGTCCGGTTTCAAAACGCCGCAGATGCGCGCTTCTGCCGGCGCCGACGGCGCTCACGCGGGTAATTTGATATCGGAGTCTGACATGGCAGCCGAGGAGGACTCCCGCATTGCCGTCTTTCGGGACCTCTACAAGCGCAGTGAGGCGAAAATAAATGCCCTATTCGCGAAAAAACATGACGCGGAAAAAGAGGTCGCCGGCGCGGCTGCTGTCGCGGAGACGGAGCAACCCGACTCTCAGGACCACCGTGCCGCCGAGCCGGCGTCGCTCCCCGCTGCCCCCAAGAAACCGGCAAGGAAGCTGGACGACGATGATTATGACGAATACGACGACGATGACGAGGAGGACGAGGATGCGGAGGCGCCCACTCCGCCCAAGTCCAAGTCGTCCCTGCCGTCCCAAGATCTCCCGTCGCCGAAACACCGTCCGAGTATAGCATCGGTGGGTGCCGATAGCCTGAAGGAAGTCAAGAAGGAGACAATTGAGGAAATCCGAAAGAAACTGGAGGAGGACAAGAAAGCTACGGAAGAAGCCGCACGGCGCAGCTTTCACACCATGTTCTATACTCTAGAAAATGATAGGGATGCTATGCTGGATCAGCAGCGCTTGGAGGAGTCCGAGAGGCAAGTCGAAGCTGAGATGTCCGGCCAGGCCAACGCCGCTAGCAACACCGCGAATGCGAATGCGAATGGCTATGGCTCCTTGAGCAATGCCAACCTAGGCGCATCGAGTCTGACCCTGAAGAATTTGATCGCGAGAATCGACATGAAGCGGAACATGGTGCAAGCCTCAGATGCCGAGCTCCGAAGCTTAATGAGCGAAGTTCGCAAGAATCGGAGCAAGTGGGCTAGCGAGGACAAGATTGGCCAGGAGGAGCTCTACGAAGCTGCGGAGAAGGTTCTGAGCGAGCTCAAAGCCATGACTGAACATTCGTCTGCTTTCCTGACCCGCGTCAATAAGCGAGACGCACCGGACTATTATACTAGTAAGGATTACCATCCATTTGACCCGTATCTGTCGTACTAATCTCTACCTGCAGTCATCAAACATCCCATGGATTTGGGGACAATGACGAAGAAACTCAAAGCGCTCCAGTACAAGTCGAAACAGGAGTTTGTCGATGATATCAACCTGATTTGGTCCAACTGTTTCAAGTACAACACAAACCCAGAACACTTCTTGCGCAAGCATGCCATGTACATGAAGAAGGAGACTGAGAAACTGGTCCCTCTCATTCCTGAGATCGTCATCAGAGATCGCGCCGAAGTCGAGGCGGAGGAGCGCAGAATGCAACTCGCTGAACTTGACGGTGCGGAGGAGAGTGATGACGAGCCCATCATGTCGTCGAGAGGCAGAAAAGCGCCGGGGAAATCTGCTGCCAAAAAGGGTGCCGCTCCGGCTCGAAACACACCCAGCGGATCGGAACCTCCTGCTTCTCAACCCCCTGCGCCTGTACGGTCTGACTCGGATGTGGCAATGGATGGAGTTCCAAATGGGCTCGGAACGTCACCCCCAAGAACACAAACTCCTTCGGATCCAGCCGGTGCCACGGCGGGTGTACCTGCAAGCCACGCCGACTCCATGGAGATGGATACCTTGCCGACGCCGAGCTATGCACTGAGCGCTTTGAGTATACAGGGTGTGGAACTGGAAGACCCTGAATACAAAGTATGGAAGCAAGTCACGAAGAAAGACCGAGCGGTCATTGCTGCAGAGCGACATCGGCTTTTCAAAGGCGACAAGCTGAATTCCGAGGAGCCTGCCTTGCTAAGGACCAAAGCAGGGATGAGACGGTGGCTGAGAAATCAGAAAAAGAGCCAAGCAGAAGGCGATCAGGCCCGGGATGCGAATTCACAGGCTATGGAGTCTGATGCTGCTGGTGAGACCCTGGCAGAGGGTATCGAGGGTGACGAGGAGAAGGTCATTCCCGATTACTACGATGTCATGTCCGGCGTGCCCGATCTTCCTGAACAGTTGCTGTGGAGGGAAGATGCTGATGGCAATGTCGTCGATGCCTCAGAGGAATTCTTGAGGATTCTACCCAAAGCCCTTTTTGTGCAACCGGAGAGTAAACTCTCGAAAAAGATGGACGCGAACATGCGGCAGATGCAAGAAACCAGGAAAATCTGCTCTAAGATTGGAATTGTCAAGCAGATGCAACTCCAATCTCAGGTAAGCTTCAGTCGTCAGAATCATAACCTTCTATCTGCTAATATGGAATAGATGTATCAAAATCAATTTCAGAAATACAACCCGGAGCCTTTTGTCGAGCAAGATGTCGGTCCGCATGTCATGAATGACGAAGGACCTGTGGTTGCACCCTGGGTCTGCAAGGCGGCTCTTCAGCGCTCAGTTGCCAAGATCTTCTACCATACCGGATTTGAGGAGTATCAGCCATCCGCATTGGATGCGGTGACGGATATCGCTTCGGACTTTTTCCTGAAGATCGGCGAAACCATGAAATCCTACATGGAAGCTCCCAAGATCCCCCCTAAGGAGACCCCGGAAGTATCGTCCTCAAACTCGCAGTGGAAGCGAGCGTATACCGAGCCTGAGATCGTCCTGCACACCCTATCCTCGGTTGGAACTGACGTGGAATCCCTTGAGACTTATATCAAGGACGATGTCGAACGACTTGGAACGAAACTGGCGACTGCTCATGACCGTCTGCGGTCCTTGCTGTCTGAGCTTCTGAGACCGGCCCTCGCGGACGGTGGTGAAGATGGCTCTAAAGCATTCCAGGATGGAAGCGAACAGTTCATCGGCGGTGACTTTGCCGAGGATATCGACGAAGACTTCTTTGGTTTCAAGGAGCTGGGACTGGACCGCGAGTTTGGCCTGGCAACTCTCAGTGTTCCACTTCATCTCCTTCAGAACAGGATGTACAATGCCGCTCAGGCTCAGAATCCAAGGTAAGCTTGAATCTTCCGCGATACCCCATTTGAGGATAAATGCGCTAATCTCTTTCGCAGTGCTGCACAAGCCGTCACCCTTTTCCCACCTCCCCCTCCCTATTCGCGCATCACGACAGAGACAGTGTCATTGCAGATCGGGCTGGTGCAAGAATTCTTCCGCGTCAAGCTACAAGCCAGCAACAATGAGCCTCTGGTCGAAGACCTCGAGCTGCCGCCCAAGCAGAGGCCAATGGCCGCGCGACCTCGTCTTCCTGCCTCCGGCAAGATCCCTCCGCCTTCTGGTCCCCAGGGTCTTACTTCCAGTCCGCAGAAACGACCACTCCCGCCATCAGCCTCTAGCCAGGCGCCCGTGTCCAAGCCGTCCTTCTCCGAACCTAGCAAGAAAAAGCTCAAGAAGAACAGCGGCGTAGCCGGCATCCCTGGAGCCACCGGCGACGGCGACGAAGCCCCAGCTCTAGACGGCGCGCAGCCCTCGAACGCAGCTGTCCCAAGCTCAAAAGCCGGCGATGCCACCGCGGACGAGCAGTCCGGAGTGTCAACCGCCGAAGTAGGCAGCAGTACCAAGAACGGGCTGGACAGCTCTGCTGTGTCCGACGTTGTCGGCGGCAACAACAGTTCTACCAACCCCGCGGACGCCGAGCAAAGCAAGAGCAGCGGGAACGCCGCGGCCTTGACGAATGGGACGACAGGCGATGCGTCATGATATCTGGAGCTTTCTCTTTTTTTCTTCTTTCCCCCCCCCCCCCTTTCTCCCTTTTTCTCTGCGGATGGGACGGGGTCGTCTTGGAGAGGATTCATTGTGTTTACCTTTTTTCTCTCCGCGTACTGTAACTTTATCACCATCAACGGCCCTGTAGCTCGGCCTCTCATTCTCAACTGATGTTTTCTTACTCTCTTCGAACATATCATGCATCTAACACGTTTGTCTCCCGCTGCCTGGCGCCTTGTATGCCAATGTAGAAACGGTCGTCAAGCAACATCCAAAACACGGGGGACATGGTCTCGTCATCACCAACTCAGGGATCTTCGCAGCTGCGCCAATCCCCCCTAGTAGGCTTCTTTACTTCTATCTCTACGTGCTCTGTACGTCGAATGCCGCGTGAAACGCTGCAACTACAACAAACAACCACGGGTATCCTCATCCTTCCTTAAAGATCATTGCGTTCCTTCCACTCTGAATGCGAAACATGAACCTCTAATGATGCGTAGGACCTTCCTACCCCTTCCGACTGGTCTTCTCTTTCCTTGTCTAGTCACTATGGGATTTTTGGACATCATCGCTTACTTGGTATGACCGGGGATCGTATTTTTATGGGTTCTTCATGGTGATGAGCTTCCGTACAACATAGAATGCGGATAGTTAGCACGCTCATGGTTGAGTATGCCACAAATTTTAGCTGTAGGGAGGAAGACAACTTATATAGGCGACTACCCCGACTCCAAGTGTCTATGGCCTGATCAAAGCAAATTGCTGGATTCAATAGATTCGGCACGGTAGCTACATGTATGCCAGTCATTACAGTCTGCTTCCTGTAAGACTATCATTTTACTACGATGGGGACTCAAGGTCAATACGCCTGGAAACCTTCTCTGAGGACTGCTTGGGTATGTAGAAAATTCTGAATAGTGTACTGCAGCCTACACATGCTATCAAATGACGATGAAGACAATTCCAGTAAAATTGCTATGATATTATGCCTAAGGTACAAATCGCGTATTCTGGTCTGCAACTGCCGTTCTGTCAGATCCATCCGTCTCGCCAGAGCCAGTCAGTCCCGACTGGTTAAACAGCTATCGCCAACCTGAATCAACCTCCATGGCTGGAAACCCTGCGAAAACAAGAGACTAAAGAATGAATAGTAGTAATCAGTAAAGCTAAAGAAACTTGCCAGATGTAATGGGCGCGAGTCGTATAATCGCAGAGAGACCGGCGGGGTGATCTTCAAATGTACCACATGCCGAATGGCAATCTGTTGGAAGTTCCATGAATTGGCAACAGACGCGGGTCAACAGGACGATTCTTCGGCTTTGGGTTGGTCATTTTGACCTCTGGGCCGCTCTGAGGGCCAGAGCTAGCAGGCACATCCTCATGATGACGCGCACGAGCAGCGATCAAGTGAGCATAGTAAACCGCGGGGACTATAATCGTAACAAGTTAGCAAAGCGAGTCTTCTGCAAGCATAGTGGGCCAAGAACTTACACAAAGACACCGAGGTGGTCGAGCGCATGTACTGGTAGCAGTGATCGTAGATCATGTTTTCCAGTTCCTGGGCCTTGTGGCCAATCTGGTCGAGGATCACATGATAGTGCACTGGACGCGCAGTGCCCTGGAGTGCAATATGAGAGTAGAGAAGGAAGTCCCAGTCGTGAGGACTAGTCACGTCGCGGGTGATCAAGGTGCCTGGCAGGGGGTTGTTGTTGCGATCTGCAGAATTGCGATCACCTGGACGAGGGAAGGCCCTCAGGTGGTGACGCTTGTTTGCAATGACAACAGTAAATTTTCCTTTCCATTGATCCTGAGTCAGCTTCATGAAGATACCCTTCATATCGAAAACCTCCTGTTGGAGGACCTGCTCGAACTGCCCGGTGGACACTCCATCTCGGAAGTAATAGACATTATCCGGGGCCCTGCCCTCTCCAACAGTGGCCATCCATTCCCGAATCATTGGAGTGAGGATGACTTCGATGTTAGAACTTGCGATAATCTCATTGCGGTCTCCGTTTGCCTCGCAAGCTCCCCAGTAGCGGCCACCGAAAGTGTCCATGCAGACGGACATTGCCGCCATCGATGGCGACCAAACACCCAAGGGAGAGTGAGTCACATCGGCGCCGATTATCATTGAACGGGGGCGAAGGGAGGCTTCAGTGATCTTGGGCATTGCACGGGCCGTTGTACCACCTAGCTTGGCGTTGACCTTCATGAGGACATTTGACGCATATTGGGGATTCATTTTAATGACATGGCCAGATTGCAAGACTTGAGAGGGCACACCCCAGCGGCAGTCACACGATTTCTTGATGCGAGTGTATGTGAATGAATTCTTGTCGGGAACAATGATCAGCAAAAGTTGAGGGTCCTTTTGGAAACTCTGGCCGGTGGAATTGTACAATCGTTTGATGGCATCACCAATATCCTCCTTAAGTTCAACAACGAGAGGGCGCTTGTTAACAACGCCTCCATGACCGGCGTAAGTTTTCATGAGCAAGTCACAAAACAGCTCAACCTGGGTACGGTTGATGGCATTTCGTTTGCCGGGGAAAAAGCCGACGCCCCAGGCATCTAACGGCCGCTTGTTCGGTTGGTAGAACTTCTTGCCTCGAAGATCCCAGCGGCCACTGGTACCAGGTGCGTGGCGCTGGTTTCCACCAAACTGAATGTCGGGGCTGGGAAGCAAGCGAGCCTTGGTCCGGATCATGTTGCTATCAATTGCCAGTCCAAAGCTCTTGAGAACAGGATCGCCGGCGTGGTTGAGCATCTCTTTGGATTTATGGATGGACTTGAGACGGTCAACAGGACGAGAAGCAGCGTACTTGATCATGTTCGAAGTCTGATATTCGTTCAACTTCCATGGGTATCTGTGAAGACCGTGAATCGTCAAGAATTCCATCGGATAGACAACGCCCTTCTTGGTCATCTCCACCATGGGCAGCTCCCAATAGTTTAACGTCAGGTTGTACTTGCGCTGGAAGTAGGTTTCCACGCTGATGCGATCGGTCTTGCCGGTGACTTTGTCTTTGATATCGATCATATACTGGCGCGCATTGCCGTTAACCAATCCCTTCACCACGAAGTCTACCCCAAGACAGGGGCAGCCACGATAGTGTGGCTGGACCTGAAGTTTCTTTAGACGGCGATGGACCTCATAGAAGGCGTTAGATTCAGTGACTCCGCCATGCCCGTCAGGAACAGGCTTCAGGAGGTGCATGAGATGCTGATGGTCTCGGCAATCAAGAATTGCCATAGCGGCACCCAGAAAAGAGGTTCTTGCCCAGAAGCAAGAGTTTGAAACGTCAACGTTCACGATAAGACCGCGGCCCTAATTCTTCGATCAATAGAGAATTCGCAGAATGCGCACAGATGAGACAGGGTGGGCTTACCAGAGCAGGACGGATCGCTTGGTAAACACCTTTGAAAGCCAGGACTCCGTTTCCGAGATCTTGATTCTCACCATTGGAGTCGAAAAAAGAACGTTTGATAGCCAAAAATTTGCCACTCGGGTGTTCTCGAAGGACATGATCAAGGAAACCTGTGGCTGTCAGTCATGATTCAATAGGGCCCAGACGGCAGATGGACTTACTCATAGCCTCCAAAACTGCCTCAGACATTGAAGTGCGTCCCGTGAGCCAAGCATTGAGCACAGCGAGATTGACGGTCTTGGTAGGACGGACCACCAAACGAAAGGTGTTGGGAGTTTTGCCTGCTGGACGACCCTGTTCGGCGTCAAGATCGACCACCACGTTGAGTTCTTTGGGGTAGTTGTTCATCGACCTGATAAAGATTCATCAGTTGTTGTCCCAAGCATAGCTGTAAGTCAACGCATACCAGGCCAGCTTCTGACCATCGAAGATGATCTGCTTGAGCGCCGCCTTTCGAGCATTGCAATTCCACACCTTCTTGATCACAACGTTTTTCTCAGCGCCATTTCCAATTTGGACCTGACATCCGTTTAGCGAGATGTTCATGACGACAACTGTATCCAGAGTTCTCAGTCAGAACAAGAGGGAAGAACTTACATCGTACTGGTAGACTGTACGAGTGGGGAACTTGGTAATTGGGTAGGCGTTCATGAGAACTTCGATCTCCTTGCCAGTGGCATTGTGGTTTGGACGAGCGACGGTGGTAACGGGAACAGAGTACTTCATAGTCTCGTCAGTAGTGCGGACACGAAGGTGGCGGAAGCCATCCTTAAGCTGGTTGATCATCTCTGCTTCCTCCATGATGAAGATGAGATTGAGTTGAAGTAGAGATAGATATGAGAAGGGTGGCCGCAAGTGTCCAGTAGGAATCGAAAGACAAAAGAAGAAGATATTCGCATGGGTATGAGAAGGAAAGGAGGTTGAAGAAATGGGGAGGAGAAGGGGGTTTATATATCACGGTGATAAACATGAAGGGAATCAGATGAATCTGGAAATGTGTATTGTAAAAAAAGAATTGAATGTATGCCGGCTTGCTACATCAATGGAAAGCCCGTAGCCGGTGAATTTGGGCAATGTATGCGGCCGTTTGATGGGCCGGGGAAGTGAATGATCATGGGCACGAGTGTTGGAAGACAATGAAGGGAGAATGGTCAACAAGGCAGACAGATAGTTGAAACAGGGAGAGTGAATAGAAGAGAGAGAGAGTACCAGTGAATAAGAAAAGGAGAATCGGGCAATTGAAGGACAGCAACAATAGGCAATATCTCACTTCCTCCAACAGACAACACAATTGTTCCTCAGCGAAAGCCTTGGAAGGCACTAACACAGCTCGGTGGACAGAATCTTTCTACAAGATTCCTAAACCAAAGGTTAACTTACTAAATGGTTTATTTGAAAAGCTCCCATGGGCAAGTCTATGTTGCGACACATGTCCGTTACGAGCCTTGGGCGATCCAAAGCTGGATCTGCAAGCCTCGGAGTGGCCATCTTTTCCAGTGCGTGTTGTGGTATGTTCAGGGATGAAGCGATTGCTTTTCTGTTCGTTGGGCCTTCGTTAGACTGACTCGAATGCAGGCACAGGGTCATGAAATATTAAGACGAAGAAAAGCACATCAAGAAAGAATGAGATATCGCAAGAGATGGCAAGTCATGCAGGTCAAGGAGCTCGACCAGATGGGCGCAACGAAGAGGAAGAGTAGATTTCCAGATTTCTTGCCCGAAGAGGGATTGATGGGAGTATTGTGCGTCGATACAAGAAGGCGTGTTCGGTGCAAATGGCTCATGTACGGGGTTGTGTCCATGGGAATTACTCACCTTGGGGATTTGGATCGACAACGAAAGCTCCAGAATCGATGAACGACTCGAGCGTTTGAGGAGGGGGAAATGAACAGGGCAGGTTGGATTGCTATGGAGACGAAACTTGAGTTCGAGTTTGTCGTAAATGACAACCTTGGTAGTGCGAGGAGATTGGAGATAGGGAAAAGGAAGATGGAGGAATATGAAGGAGAATAGGGAGATGCAGACAGGAGTCTGTAGAGGAAGACGGGGAGGAGCAGGAGGAAACAGGAGGAAACAGGAGGAAGCAGGAGGAAGCAGGGCAGCAGGAAGAAAGAAGGCAAGAGAAAAGGAGCAAGGCAACAAGGCAGGAAGACGAGAGGGGGAGATGGTAGGAGAGGTGTATGGAAGAAGGAAGGAGGGAGAGAGCAGGGAAGATGCTTAAATAGGCCGGAGATGGAGGCTAAAACGTAGTTATCCTTAGCCTACTCTCAGCGAGATGAAGTTCAAGTGAGAGATGCAGAAAGGCAAGAGAGAAAGAGAGAGAGAGAGAGAGAGATGGGTAGGGGATAAGGGAAGGATGATGTTGAAGGTGAGAGCAGAGAGAGAAGAGCAGACAGGTATCCCTTCAGATTTGACGCGTCTGGATAGTACTCAGGGAAGAAACTAGGCGTGTTTGTTATGGTTGAGTGCAGGTAGATGTGTGGTCGCCAAGAGTAACAGCAGGCAGGCAGAGGTGGTAATGAAGTTATTGATAGTGAGAGCTTGGTGAGATAGTATTCGATCAGAAGCTGGGCAGAAGGAGAATGGAAGGTGAGAAGAGAGGATCCAAGAAGGATTTAAGAGAGAAAGGCACTGTCAGAAGGAACAAAAAAAAACATTGAGACTGCCTCTTTGCCTGATAGATAGCGTAGTTTGTTCAGAAGATCCCAACTCAACCCTGTCTGGTCTCCTTAATGAAGCCGGTTTCAGGATATCCTCAGTTCCTTGGAGTTTCTTTGATCACTCTCTCCGGTGTCAGATGTCTCATCCTACCTAGGCATCATGCTTTACTACTCCTCTCGTATGGGGTTCACTTCAGTAGAACTTCTCCTTGATATCTGTTAAAAACCAAGGCTGTACTCCGGATGAAAGGGCCACTGCACTTACTTGGAGAGACAGAAGCTTGAGAGTGTTAGAGACTTGACAGAAGAGACAGAGCAATAGCGACCACTCCGTAAGCAGTCCGACAATTGAGGAACATTAAGAGTAGAAGACGTCGCCATGTACTGGTGAATGGCACATATCGCATTCAAAGATACAGTAATGGAACAAAGATTGGTCCTAGGAACACCAGTCGTTCAAGGCTTGGAAGTAGAACAGTGTAATGAGCATTATTTAATAGTATTGATCAGATAAAAATAAACTGCACCTAGCCTCGCAGTACCGAGGATGCATTGTGAGATCGTTCATGCAAGCGGAAAAAAGAAAAAAAAGAGTTGAATGACCATCAAGGAGTTCCATCTTTTTTCATGACGAGTTAGTATACCATGCCTCCAACAACTGTACAATCCGGCTCCAAGAATGAACGATGCAAGCAGCCAAGGGAAAGGCATCAAAAAGACCCGGTGTTGATAATTGGCCCAGCCGCCATAGAAAAGAAGAAGGGGGAAGGTGTTCACGAGATGAGGCTAGAGCATCATGTCCTAGACGCGAACCAGATGCAAGGCAAGTTCAGTCGGGAAAAAGTTGCAGAAAAGAAACGCGCTTGCATGGATGACAAGGTTCATTTATTGTGATTAGGGTTAGACGTATCCGAGGCATTTCCGGCTCGGAGTTGTGACATTCATGGTCGAGATCACGACCGGTACATGCCTACAAGGAAGAAGATTAGCCACCTGTATAGAGGCCAGGTTTATTAGGAGGGACCATGACTTACCGGAAAAGTTTCCAAGTCCCCGAGCGGATTGTGGGAGAGGAATCTGGGAGATGGAACTTGGCATATCTATCCTTCGAATCAAATCAACTAGCTTCTCGGGAGAGAATTTCCCGGCAGTGTATGCAGAAGCCGGGGGGATAATGCTGAGAAGATGTACGATATCGCGAGGTAACGGAGCCGGTGAACCCTGAGGCCTATACTGGGATGAAGCTTGAGCACTTCCGAGTTGAGACCGCTTCTGCTGATCCAACTGGCGCCGCTGGGTAGTCTTCAGGGGTGATTCCGCTCGCACGAACTTGCGAGGCCGACTATAATCGTCGTCGAAGTCCTCTAAGGGTCGCTTCGGCGAGTCTGTGACAGAACCTGGATATCTCGGGGTGGGGGTTCCATGACGAGAAACGGGCTGTTCAGTTGTAGGAAATGCCATTTTCGGCCGCGCTTGAGACGGCGAAATGATGGGTCGCACAGTGGTGGGATCGAATGCGGGAGTTGAGTATCGGTGTGCGAATTGTTCCAGGGCAGGATCCTCCGGGAACAGCTCACGCATTCGATTCTCAAGATTGACCACCTGGACCAAATCACCGTATCGCGATTCGTATTCATGGAGGAAAGCGAAGATTGGCTTAGTCTTATGGGCGTTTTCGGGATTCGATGCCAGCTTTCGCACCGTCATCTCGAAGACGGCTCTTGCGTCTAGGGCAGAGATTAGCAGCGTCAACGGATCGAGATATCAGAGAGCAACTTACTAATCACATCATTGATATCTATCAAATGTTTCAAGTACTCAAGTGCGATATTTTCATCCTCTGGAAATAGCTTGGCACCACGCTCAAAGATCTTCGTGGCTGCTGGATCCTTGTAGCAATGGTACTCGATGAGGGCACTAGCAATGTAGACATCGCTCGTGATGCGGCCTCTCTTCCGCGCATCCGCAAATATTTGTCTTGAGCCCGGAGTCTCTCCGGGCTTACCCTTACCCTGGATGCGGCGCATGGCCCGCATTAGCGCGATCCAGGCAAAAGAGATTGTCTTCGAGAGTATGCCAATTTGTATGGCGTGTGCTTTCCGAACTGCATCGATTTGCGCATTCTTGACAGATTCTCTTGCCTTCGCCTCGCTTTGGTCGTCCTCGTCGTCCTCGGTCTTGGCCGATGGCTTCTCATCATTCATATTCGCGAATGTTTCCTCAAGACGCGCGACGTCTTGGGACTCCCTGGTGCGTGCCTTGGCGATCAAGTCGTAAAGCGCATCGAGGAGCTTGTCGTAAGGTTCTCGAACCTTAGCACCTCGTTTGATGGAATCTTGCTCGGACTCTGATGTTATTTCCAGTCTGTCAGCACGCTTAAAGGCAAGCAGACAGCTTTCGGGATTCGCTTCCATCCCCTGTTTCAAGAACTCGTTCCCTTCATTCTCCATATCATTCAAGAAGCAAAACTCGGCCGCATCGTACCACATCTCGGGCAAGAATCTCAATGCCATGAGGGCTTGTTTATAGACATAGACCACGCGGCTCTTGAAAGCGGCCGGGTCTTCTTCTTTCAGCACCAGTGGGTCTCCCCTTTCCCACTTGATCCAGCGTTTCCAGATGTCGACTTGCTGCGTGTATTCAATATCACCTTCGGAACCCGGCACAGGAGGCAACCTCGGCAGCGTAGTGCGGTTGAGATCTCTTGTAATATTTTGCAGTTCAGTATAAGAGCTACGAGCGGTCATATACGCTGGCGACTGCTCTTGCAGAAATTTCCGGCCCTGTGATCATCAGATGGTTACGATGTGTGGCGCTTTACATATGAGAACAGTGATGGACCTACCGTGAGTTTGTTCAGACCCATCTCGAACTGGTCGTATTCTTTCCATAAAGTATTAACGGCCTGGGTAGGGACACAGATGGCTTTTTGATAAGCCTTTCGCAGAAGATCCATCTTCTGCTGGTCCTGCCAACCAGAGCCGCCAACATTACCTGGGCCTGTCTTGACGAACTGGACGTAATCGGTCCAAATCGACCCCGAATCCTTATCAACACCCACGTGCTGGAGCGCCAGATCATATGCGGACGAGATGATTCTCCTTGCTTGTCCAGTAGTGTCCGTTGTCAGGGGGTTACGCCGACGAACGTAGTCCAAGTACACTGACCATAGCTGGACATCGGGAATGGTGAGAAGGGTGCGATTGAATATTTGCTCAAGCCGATACAGGTCATTGATCTCCGATTCCATCTTCGCGTAAGCAACCCATTCTTCGGCCTGGTTGGTATTGGTCAGCTATCATCATGCTCTAAGGAACGCAGACATTGGGCATGACTTACGGAGAAGGGAAAGACTTTCAGAAACCGTTCGAAAACGTCGCGAGCACCGTCAATCCTGTTGCGATTTCTGTGCTCATTGATCAACTCCAGCCAGGCTGGAATATCACCGCGAGGATCTTCCTGAATTCGGTCTTCCAGTATCCCGACCCGGTCGTGGGGCAAGCGGCCCTTGGAGGTCGAGTGTGATCCTGGCGCAGGGGTAGCCGCTGCGCTATCCTGCGCAGTCTCAGACTGTAAAGCTTGTGAGTTGTACATATTCTGTCCAGGAGCAATGACCACGTCACTTTGGGGAGCGGCAGCAGCAGCAGGGGGAGAGTAGGAGTTATGGGGGGCATTGTTCAAGCTGGCAGGTTGCTGCACAGCGTCATCCAATGATACATCAGGGGTAGAAGAAGCTTCATTTTCATTTCCTGAGACGGACTGCTGAGGCACACTCGTAGAAACAGCATTCATCTCCTCAACGCCAAGTACAGCCGGTGGCTCATAATCTGCATCACCCGCATCATCCTCTTCCTCTTCCTCGTCCTCGTCCTCAACCACAAATCCCCCTATTGTTCTGGTCTTCGGCTGCACAGCAGTACCTGATGTAGGCACCGATGTGGAATTCCGAGACTCAGCTCGTGAAGGTGTTTCTGAAGGGAAGGAAGTACCAGCAGGCTGGTCAGGCTCATTGTCTGGTGCAGCAGAACTCTGTTCAGAGGGCTGGGGATCTGGAGAAGCATTGGAAGGAACATTTTCACTTTGCTTTGATTCTGTCAAAGAGGAAAAATCTTGATCTTGGAGTGTTTTTGAAGGATCATAATCATCTGAATCTGAACTATCTGCACCATGCTCCTCACCAGCCTTATAGTCAACAGAATCTGTATTCATTGCTTGAGCCTGAAAAAAGGCCATCTCAGCATCTTCTTCAGCCATAACAGTGTATGAAGATCTCAAAAGTGACACACAGGCGCTGCAAACGAACGATCTGGTCGAGCAATGTCCGATCAGCAAGTTGACTCGAAAAGATCTGCAATATTCGCCGACCTGCAGCAAAGGAAAGATTTTTTTACCCCCTAACTGTCACTCAAGTAGAAGACGGAAGCGCAAATCACTTGTCAGCACTGATGAAGATGACCTGCAACTTTGAAGAAGAAGGCGACTGAACCCGCAGGACAAAGGAACTCCTGTATGAGCCTGGTGGAAGGTGGCTGTTCCACAGAGCTGTGGCAGAAGCTGCGCAGCTGGCATCACGTGAGCAAAGCGGTGAGGCGCGCCGGACGCGAAGGCAGCGCGTCGGGTTTAATTAGTTACTTCTTTCGGTGGGGAGTTGCGACTTGCATGTTTTAACAAGAAACCCCTCGATGGGAGCTGTGTTTATTATTTCTTCCCCGACTTTTCTTCGGTAAATACTAAGTTCTACTTTTCTCTCGAACATCCCTCGCTCGTGCTTCTTACATATCTTGCGTCCCCCAAGAGTTCTATACCCTTGTGTTCAAAAGTCTTTTTTCTTCATTTAACGCCATCGTCCTCCAACCTTCGCCATGTCCGTCGTCTCTCTTCTCGGGGTCAAGATTGTGAACAATCCTGCCCCTTTCCTTGCCCCATACCAGTTTGAGATCACCTTCGAGTGCCTGGAACAGCTTCAAAAAGGTACAAGACAAGAAATTTCATCCCAGTCCGATCTATTGTGGCTAACAGCTCAACTCCCAGACCTGGAATGGAAACTCACTTACGTTGGTTCCGCTACATCGTGAGTTAACTCCCAATGACTGCAAGGAAATTACAGTTTTGCTGACCTCTGTAGGTCTGAATATGACCAGGAACTCGACTCCCTTCTCGTCGGACCCATCCCTGTTGGTGTCAACAAGTTCATCTTCGAGGCCGATCCTCCAGACCTAAAGCGCATCCCTACCTCGGAAATCCTTGGAGTGACTGTCATCCTTCTCACTTGCAGCTACGATGGCAGAGAGTTTGTTCGTGTGGGATACTACGTGAATAACGAATACGATTCGGAGGAGCTTACCCAAGATCCGCCCGCAAAGCCGATCATTGAACGAATCCGTCGGAACATTCTGGCGGAGAAACCAAGAGTGACTAGATTCGCTATCAAGTGGTATGATGATTCAATTAATCTTGAATGCCTGCAATAAGTTATATCTGACTTTTTTAACTGTATAGGGATTCGGAGGAAGATGCTCCTGCAGAATACCCGCCAGACCAACCCGAGGCAGACCTGGAAGATGACGGTGCTGCTTATGGTGCCGAGGAAGCTGAGCTTGAGGCTGCCCTGGTCAAGGAGCTTGAAGAGGTCGAAAAGGATGCGACCAAGGGCGGTGACCATGAGATGGAGGGTGCCGAGGTGACAACGGGCAAGGAGGACGAAGAAGAAGATATTTCCGACGCCGAGAGTGAGGATATCGAGGATGAGAGTGATGACGAGGAGGACGACCTTGACGAAGACGAGGGTGGAGACGCCGACGAAGATGTCGAGATGGGCGATGATTCCGAACAAAAAGATACGAACAATGCCGCCGAGCATCACCATCAGCAGCCGGATATCATGGTGCACTAAGCCAGAACCACTCGATGGCCTCTCTTTTGGTTTACATCTCATCTCGCATGATTTTACGATTGTGTTGCAACGTTTACGACTGAAGCTTTTTGCTCGATCATGTTTGTTTGATTTTGCGGCATTTATTTACATGATATAGAAACAACATAATTTGAACACAGAACCACACCGCATCCCTATTTTCTTTAAGACAGGCCTCAAGCAAGGACCAAGCGAGGGATATGCATGGCTGTAATCCGCAGTTACACATTCATTCTACACTCTGCAAGACTGGCAGTGGCCCCAGCAACGCGTGCCTCGCCATGCTCCATGCAAGGCATGTCGACTTTTACCCTTGAATGATAGCCAGGTGGCGAGGGATTAGGCCTAGTGCGAATTCATTCAGTTTTGGCATTACAGAGTAGCTTTCATGAATTTGGGGTTTGAAATGAACTCTGTGTATTTGTACGGGGTGCCCATAGTTATATATCATCATAGTTCAAGAGTTCAAGGCGGGGAGTGTTCAGGAGGATCAGGCAATGAGTCGCTTTTTCTTGAGAAATTACTAGAGCCTGGCATGCTAGAGTCACTTGCAGAACGGTGGATATGTCTGTTCGAATGAACGCCAAAGAACTGGGTATGTATGTGGCTTTGGGAATAGAGACGTCTAACTATAATGTAATTTTCTGCTTTTCCAGGATCACAGCATCATAGACCAAATTTCGACCCAAGTGCTATAAGGACGTTAGTCAGGTTTGCTATCAAACACGATCAAGAAACTTACCACCAAGGATTGCTTTCTTCTTCTGGTTCTGCACGTATTTGTTGACATCACGGGCCCAGTTGCTGCTGTTCTCTTCCAGCCGGTCCATGCTGTCACTGGCAAGACCCAGGCGTTCTGTCCGCTCCTGCACTTGACGGCTCATATATGACCAGTAGCCTTCTTGACTTGCTGATGATTGAGACATATTGGAGTTAGTCCGTCCCTCCCGTGCGAGCTTCCGTCGCTCTTGATCGTCTAGGCGCATCTGTTCCTGCATTCGTTTTGATGGGGGACGATCCGGACCTCCAACTGTGATGGTTAGATAATTAGCATCTGATTCGAGCTGACCATGGAAAAAATGGAGTGGACGTACTCAGAATATCCATATCGGCGGGTGAAATGTATTGTGTGCCAGAAATCCATTGCATGTTAGTGATTGTAGGACGCGCGGGGATGGTTGCTTGCGGATTGAAGAGTTGGTTATCCGATGGTCGTCTACAGAAATCGTCAGCATACCACTCGTTCTGACCAAGAGATCGACATACAGGCCAGCACCAGATCCCCAAACATTAAAGGCCGCCACCTCTGAGGGACCAGTCCAGGCCAGGATACTTCCATTGGCGCAGACCGTAGACTCCGAGAGGCGTCTCATCTCGACAATCTGATCAATACTGGTACAACCGATCTCCTTGAGACCAGGGATCGAGAAAGCGCGAGCTTTGCCATCGCCAAAAAGACCAACCAGACTGTAGCCTCGAGCTTCCGTCTTCACGACAGCAGCAGCATCGCATAGATAGTCATCCCAGGACTTGTGAGCGCCCTTGGATGTAGCCGGTTTGAAGATCCTGCAACCAGAAACGGTTACAGCAATGACGACTCCATTAACCTTGCCGCCGGACCTAAGGCTTCCAACCAAATTTGGGTTAGCTACCGCAGGGCTGCCATTATCTGCATCAATGGGTATGATGTTAAGGACTCTGTCGTCGAGCTGGGTTACGCCAGCAAATTGAGCCATGTAAGCCCCATCGTTTCCTGGGAGAATCTTGAAAGTGGCCAAGTTGCCTCGGTTAGTTCCTACAAAGCAGCAAATGCTAGAATAGTCTGGGGAATTCTGTTAGCATGGACTGATGATCTTTCAGGCCCAATAGTAACCTACCTTCGTCATCCAATGTCAAGACACCAAATTCAATGCTTGTGGGCCATTCTGGACCAGCGCTCTCGGTTGCCCGATGCTTGAGGAAACTGCCACGTTTGCTTGTTTTGACGAAGTCAGACACATTGGCCGCGTGGATGACTGCTGGCCCACGAAGATCCAGAATAGTGAGGCTACCATTTTGGAAACCGGCCGCGACGAAGCCTACATGACTATGCTTCAGAGCAGTCACAGCACCCTGTTGCATGTTGAGCAGGGTGAGAGGAAGCATGCCTTGCTTGAGCCCCGGATCAGCTCGGTGACTGATTCGAGTCAGCTTCCCTGCTCCTTCATTGACACCTGGAGGTTCTTCATGGCCAAAGTTGCTGTTGCTGCCCCATCGGAACACCACAACTTCGCCGGTTTTCAACCCAACTGATAATTCGCCTGTAGACCCGCTGACAGACATTTCAGCCACTTCTACATCACTCACACGCCCTACAGCGCGAGACAAATTCACTTGGATAACGTCCGCATTTTCGATCTCGTCGTCATGACCGACGTCCCAGAGACGTATGGTTCCATCAGCGTGGGCAGTTGAGATGATGTTTCGATCCTCAAATCGTTTGAGCGATCTCTTTCCTTCTGCACCACCGATAGCGAATTTGGGGCCCTGAGATCTTCGTTCCCTTAGGCCCAGCCAAGCAGAACGGTCAATGGGAGTCATATTCATTTTGGTGACGAAAGGATGAACGAAAGAAAGGTAGGGGTGTATCATGTTAGAAGGTGTAATCGCATGGCCACTGGGAAAACTGAGAGTGATCAATTCGCCATAAGACGAGAGAGTAAGAAGAGCGATAGGATCGTGAGCACCAGCGTAGAAGGGCGACGCGCGCGGAATGAGGCAAAAGTCAACAACATCGACACCAGGAGGCGTTGGGATGTTGAGGATCTGCCTTGGATTCTCGAAATAGCTTGTGATCATTGGCCAGGTAGACGTCTGATAATTAGGAGTTCCGCCGAAGTCAATAAAGGTCAAGCCCTTGTTAGCTTCAGCTTTAGGCCGCCCACCTGCAATCAGCAGGCCACTATCCTCGCCATTGGCCTTGACACACCATGCAATCTGCTTAATGGGTTCCCTGAAAATGACATCGGCAGTTGAGAGGCGCCGGTTTGGACTGGCACCAGGTTCGTCGATGTGGGTAGCTTCCATCGTCCGAGCCAAGATCTTGCGGCCATCCTTTGAGTCCCAGAATACCAAGCTGTTGTCATCGTGAACAGTCAAGACAAAGATTCCGTTAGGGTGCCAAAGTGCCCTGGTTAGCTTAGGCCTGCGCGTATCCTGCGAAGGGACCTCTGAATTGCCGCCAACCGCACCCGCGGGCACTTCATACTCGAAGTATTTCTGGGCTATGTTCTGTTTGAAGGTAAACGTGACAGCTCCCTCGGGATACCCAACCAGGATCTTGCCAATATCACGAGGTGAGAAGGCCAGGGAGAGGACCGGACACAACCGTGCTCGCGGATTGCGCTGAGCCCAGAGGTTGGGGACTCTAAATGGTGTCAAAGTCTCTCGATCGAGATCGTAAGCGATGATGTCGCCTGCGCATAGCATTTAGTACCACGAAAGATTGTTTCTATAGGCACAGTCCTCAGTCTACGCACCATTCTGTAACCCAATAAAGGCATAGTCGAGACTAGGATCCGTCAATAACGCGGTGGCATGGCTCGGCGGCGCATATGACACCAATATTTTCTGGGCCTCGAGCGAATAGATAGTGACATCGCTCTTCGAATCAACAACGATCAGTTTGTCCGCGCAGAACTGGATGAGTTTGGCGGACGCCTTGCGCGGTAAAGCAAAGACGGCCGACACCCGGCGCTGTCCAAAGACATAGACCTGACCACTGCCAAACTGCGTATCGCTAGTCCCTGCAGCCAGCAGAGACTGGACAGGATCGTATGCAAATGCACTGATCTGGGAGTTCACACCACATCGAGCGTACTACAAGTAGAGCAATCGTCAATATGTTGGCTCAACGGGCAAAAAAATGTCGGTGCCTAGGGCAGCCAAGACATACATCATCAAGAACGAAGAAGTCCGGGGAGAGACCATCGGAGAAGTCTTTCTGGATTCCGCTTTGCTTCCCTCTTAAGAAGTGAGCCATTTTGACGGTATATACGGCCTCATAGATCAGTAGGAGAATGAAAAGGAGGGAAGGATTGAGAGAGAAGCATGAAGTAGATAGACTGTTCGATGATAGACCGCATCAAAGGGTGCGGAGTGGAAGCACCCCACCGCCCAGCAAAAGTGGCTTAATTGGGACTAGTTCGGGTCGACCGCGGAATTTCTGCTGACATCATCAGCCTTGAGGAAGGCTAGCCCCCGCTCTTGGCTGATCACATGAAAGGAACCCCAATTCTGGTCAACTGGCGAGCTATTATATTAATATTGGGATAGAAGTGAGGGCGAGAGTCAAGTTCAGACATCCTATTGAATAGCAATGGTGATGAGTACTAGAGTCCTCCCGGTGCTTCCGTTTGTTTTAAGAGAGAGAGTTTTGCACAGTCTATGTCACCAAACTGTTCTCATGTAGTGGTACCCGAACTATATACATTTAGTGACGACCAGACACAAACTGAAATGATGGGATCTCTTTTGAGAAACATCCCCGATCTCCTTGCTATGGACTGATGCAACGATGCCTTATTGCTCTAAATTCTATACCGAAACATACGTGCGCCCACCTAAACGCCGGAATGAGTTGCTAGATCAGGAACCTGCCTGAGTGTGGGCGACTTCAATGACAGCCATCTTTGCTATGACTCTAGTCAAGCGCCTCCTTGCTTCAATTTCTGCACTCGAGTCTCGGTTTCGATAGTACTGTACCGTAGTGTCGTGTATCGAACGATAGCAGGTATACCTTGGAAGAGGTCGGTGAGCGTCCTTCTTTCTTCGGTCGTATGTAGTTAGGAACGATGGGGTATACATACAATAACTGTCGAATCGAATGCGGCTCACTTCCTATATGTCGCGATGCAAACCCATCCAGCACGGCCGGGGATGGGTCTTCGAAGATTTGCGCCAGGTATACATCGCCCCAGAGTGCACTGCCGAGCCCCACAACCCCTAATAGTTTCTTTGAAACCGGGTCTAGTAGTACGGTCGAGGGTCGCCCAAAATCACATATCACGAGCCGTGGTACTTTGACGTCGTCTAAGACTGGGGACAACCGACAGATCTGATGTCGGATCTCTGCGTAGGGTAGATGAACAAAGACATCTTCCGAGTCACGAAGAATACTTTCGAACAGGGCAAGGAAGGCTTCCCGCCATGATCGTGTCCCTGTTCCCAAAGCGACCTGTTCAAGAGACCCGAAATTGTGGGCAATGTGTTGCCCGATCACATTTACTAAGAAGCCCAGTTGCCGGTCGATGTCCTGCCGACCCTGAGTGGTAAGCCGGCTTGCCATTTCGTCCAATGTTGGGCCAGGGAGGTATTGCCGCAGAAGGAAGGCCGGCCCAAGGCGGGTATTCTGCTGCTCATAATGAAGAAGTGAGGGAATGCATGGTACTGAGCTCTGCTTCAGAAGGCTCAGCACCCGTGCTTCTGTCCACAGCAGAGATTGTTCGCGTCGTAGAAGCGGGGTTGTTGATCTTGGAGCGCTTTTCAAAAGCAGCCGGGCACCGTTGGATAGTGTGAGGAGACGAAGAGAATGCAGGTGGCCATCCAAGGATTGAATGCTTCTCACGTTTACAGCTGGGGGCAGAAAATGTCCAAGAATCATGCTGAGCTTGTTTGGCGGTTCCACCCCAACAGGTGCTGGTAGCTCTCGGATCGGAGACATGGTAAATGAATTTCGTCTCTATGGTTCCTTCTGAAGTAGGATTCAATATCATTTTAACCTGACCTGACCCGACCCATTTTCTGAGTTCAAGGGCAATCAAGAAGACCGGAGCAACATCGATCTGACACAGCCCTGTATAGGGAAATGGATAGAGAATATGGTCGTGTCCTGACCTCTGGGACATGAACGGCGCGCAGATCTTCGTGACAAATCATCATTGATCTCCTTGTGTGGTCCACGCAATGTCACCAAAGCAACACCTCCATATGATTGAAGGGAGTGGGCTATTCGCTTCCACGTACGGAGTAATAATGTGAATGGCAATAACAAACGAGAAGAAGAGACAGCTCACGATCGCACCCCACTGGTGCAGTCACTGCGTCCAACAGTAGTGTGCCGTAGACGAGAAATGGAGTAAAGACCCTGACCTGAAGCATTCAGCCGGGGTTCTAGAAGCGGAAACTTAGCGACATATTGGCGATAGCGCCTTGATTTGGGCGGGTGGTGGAGGTATTGCCGTTCATACGTTGGCTGGCAATGCTGATGGATGGATAACTAAGTGATAACTAAAAGATGCGAAGAACCAGACAGAAGCTGGAACCACAAACAGAAGCTCGCTTCAGCGATCCACACGGCAGGAAGTTGCTCTTGGAGACGATCCGAGTGACATTGCGGACTGGGGTCTCGCCTAAGTCTCCCGCTCTGAGAAAGGCGCAATCTCGTTTACTTTATTCGGGCCAATCAGACAGCCGCTTTGCCGAACAAACGACGAACAAGACACAGGACCGCAAGTCCAGTACCTACTTAGGAGGATTCGAGTTTTTGGACGGACACCTACGAACCACGAGGAAATGGCACACTTTGGTCTGCTCGCTTATCTTATGATAGGTGTTGTGTTCCCTCGTACTTTCAGGGCGTTCGCATCACTTGTCGGTTATCTAGTAATAATACGAATTTACGAATGATCGCAAGCCTTTTCTTAATTTCCCGGTAGTGGTGTCCAAGAGTTGGGTAGTGGTTACTGGCTAATAGTTGTGGCTAAACCATACTAACCAGCCAGAGGTTGTGGGCTGAAGAGTTCTAGTATTGATTGGATTCTCAGTCGCTTGATCATACAGGCGACTGAGTCAAGTCAGGGTGTCAGAGAGACACCTGGGCAATTTGACATCTTCTAGAAACCTAGTCAAGCGATACAAATGATAAATAAGCTTGTGCCACTTTTCCAGCCAGCATGTGATGTCAGGAGATCCAACCAAATTGCCACCCATCCGCTTCTGTTTGCGCTAAGTGTGTGGCCGGAGAAACACCAGTCATGATTTTGATCATAATGATCGAGAAAATACTCAGTCGTAGTTGAACCGAGATTGTTGACGGAGGTGGCATATGCCTGTACCACAAGGAGCAGAGATGGGAGCGTATCGACATCTGCATTCCAGACGAGCCCATGATACCCCGTCTCCATCCAGGGGATGATCATCTCTCCAGTCTTATCAGGAGTTCGCACCCTCGGAGACCTGCGGGTTGGGCGTCGGGCTGTATAATTCAGCAAGGTTGTATCGTTTCAATTTATCGTAGTCGCTTGCTGCAACGCTTATACCGACAACATTCTGCATCGTGATTCGACGTGATTAGTGGATCGAAGAGGGACCCCATCGGGCGAGGCTGCACTGTAAGCGACTCACCTGAATCAAATGGACAAGGATAATCAAATCATAATTTTTCAGGTCAACTGGGTGCTCGGGGCCCACGACATCTGCAATGGTTTTGATAACCCCATCCCTGTTGAACTTGTTGTTTCCCCTCACAGTAGGCCGAATGGCATACTGCGTTGTGGGCGGTTAGCATCTACCTTCCCAGAAGTTGCACCGCAGTCACCACATACCTTCTTGGGAGGGCCCCCGGAGTGGAAGTGGGGCTTCAAGATCTCTTTTGCGAAAGCTTCTAGATCAACGCTGAGAGTCTTGCGGATGGATTTCACAGGGGTCATCCGTTGAACCCAGCGACATCGCTTCGTTTCCGGATTTGCGTGCGCATCGAGGCAGACTTCATGCACCAGCTTTTCAGGATCTATCGACTTGTCGAATCGGATGAAGGTCACTGCGATGGGTTAGCATGGGCGCTCTTCTCAGAGATTTTGACTCTAAACAGGATCAATTACGAACCACATGGCATCTCCATACGGATGGCCTGGAATTGGCGTGGTTTCGCTGATCCAGGCTTCAGGCCAGCGATTTCTTTTCTGATCTGGGCCTCAATATCACCGTCATCTTCTCCTTCATCTGAGCCGGAATCTCCGTCATTGTTTCCATCCCCTGCTGTTTCGACGTGCTAATAGACATTGCGCATCAGATTGAAAGACGCACGATTTTGCAGATGAGGGGGGATGTCTTGGGTCGGTACTGACCTGGGAGAAGAGGTCTAGAGCTTCTGCAATGCATTTACCTTCTCTCCCCATATCACACGTTACAAACACCCCCCAATCACCGCTTTCAATGATTGCCTTGTTGCTCTTTTGGTTCTGCCATTTGCCTGCCCCCTATTATTGTGTCAGCGATGTGTCAGATCATCTCATATAAAGATGATATAAAGATGTGGCATCATGATAACGATCAGATACCAATCGTATGATCGGCACCCTTAATCCAGATTGTCGCAAGGGAAAGCCAACCTTTCTCTTCTTGGAGGACCCAACGGATGTGTTATCAGGCATAGCTCGCTTTGCGGCTGGTCCAGCCATTCACGCTCTTGCTTAACAGATGATGGTGAGAAACTTGATTGTGACACCAGAAGCCCCCTGAGGTATTTCTTTGCCCTGTGGAGTCACCGCTTGATATCTAACTAATAATAGCTAACCGTCATGTATGATTCCCAGAAAAGATTTGCAGGCGAGGGGCTATCCATTATCGCCTCCTAATTATCCATTGGTGGTCCGAAGATCATAGAGGGGTTGTCTGTCTGGTCAAAAAGTTCCAGCGTGCCGAACTGGGACTAGCGCAACGGGCGTCTGGTGAGATATCTGTTCGGTTCTTCCGGCTTAGGTGATCTAGTTAGTATCTACTGGTTACTAGTAGTTACTAGTTCGTCTTCCCAAGTCCACATCCAACATGTCTGCTGTTGATCGGCTCATCTTCGGCCGAGAGTTTCGGGTTCGCCTTGGAACTTATATCGGGTACAACGGGTACAATGGACCAAGCTTTTCAACAATGGATAGTTACCACGATGATTGACATCTCGTGAAGTCTGAAGAGGGATTTGCTCGAGAGAGACCTGAAAAAGGCATTATGAACGCTACCTAGCTAGATGAGTCGGGGAGAGAGAGGGAGAGAGAGAGAGCGTACTCAAGAATTGAGCGGTCAATTGAGTTTCAGATCTTCGAGCTTGGGTGTTTCATCAACACCGGCTTCAACGGCTTCAACGGCCAACAGACGGCAACTGCCACCGCCGGTGAGCATCTACTCTCTAGTTGTAAAACTGGATAGTGCTATCTCGGCGCCGTCGCCTCTGCGACACCCGGGAAAGTCAGTAACACGACTATCAAATGGTCCCATCACTGCTGAATTAAGCACCAATGCCAGTAACACATGACATCACGTTGTCCTCATGACGTACACGACACCTCACTGGAAGATGGCACGACAGTCTGATATGACTATTTAATGATCCTGGCCTGGACCTTGGTCGACGGTTTATTCCCTTCAATATACTTTTCACTCAACAATCACACCCTTTTATTTTCATCGCTCATCATCCCCTTGAAACGTCGTAATGGCGACCGATATTGCTACCAGGGAGCTCCGGAAGCCCATGCCTGTCGCTGAATATCTGTTCCGGCGACTGTATGAGGTGGGGGTTCGGTCTGTGCACGGTGTTCCTGGTGAGCAGTTCTCTCTGATAAGAACGTTATTCGAATGGTAGATGCTGATGAAGCTCGCTCAAGGCGACTATAACCTGGCTGCTTTAGATCTTCTTCCCAAGTGTAATCTTCGCTGGGTTGGAAACTGTAACGAGCTCAATGCAGGTACGTGCTAACCCCTCGGTCGCAGAATGCCCTCCCCAGGAAATCCTCGCGTCTTAGACTTACACTTACCCAAACAGGCTATGCTGCTGATGGATATGCACGTGTCAACGGAATGGGCGCCTTGGTTACTACCTTTGGTGTTGGTGAACTCTCAGCCCTCAACGCTATTGCCGGCGCATACTCCGAATTCGTCCCCATTGTCCATATCGTTGGTCAACCGAACACCACATCGCAACGTGATGGGATGTTGCTCCACCACACTCTCGGCAATGGAGACTTCAATGTCTTCGCCAGAATGAGTGCCGGTATCTCGACGACCATCGGACGGCTGAACGAGGCCCACGAAGCGGCTACACTCATCGACAACGCTATCCGAGAATGCTGGCTTCGCAGCCGACCCGTCTACATCACATTGCCAACTGATATGATTCTGAAGGATATTGAAGGAGACCGACTCGACACTCCACTTGATCTCTCCTTGCCACCTAACGATCCTGAGAAGGAAGACTATGTGGTCGATGTCGTTCTCAAGTACCTTCACGCCGCAAAGAAGCCTGTTATCCTGGTTGATGCCTGTGCCATTCGTCATAGAGTGCTACCTGAAGTGCATGACTTGATGGAAGCTTCTGGTCTGCCTACATTCGTCGCACCCATGGGCAAGGGAGCAGTTAACGAGGCCCACAAGAATTACGGCGGTGTTTATGCTGGTGATGGATCCAATGCTGGCGTGCGCGAGCAGGTGGAGGAGTCCGATCTGATCCTCAGCATCGGTGCCATCAAATCGGATTTCAACACGGCTGGGTTCACGTATCGCATTGGGCAGCTGAACACCATTGACTTCCACAGTACTTATGTGCGAGTGCGATACTCGGAGTACCCCGACATCAACATGAAGGGTGTTTTGAGAAAGGTCATTCAGAGACTCGGTCATGTCAATGCTCTACCCGTGAACGTTGTCAGCAACACTATCCCCGTCGATGAGCAGGCATCGGGCAATGATGTCATCTCCCACAGATGGTTCTGGCCCAGGATTGGACAATGGTTGCAAGAGAACGATATCGTGATCACAGAAACCGGAACGGCGAACTTCGGCATCTGGGAGACTCGGTTCCCTGCCGGTGTTACGGCGATCAGCCAAGTCCTCTGGGGCAGCATTGGCTATTCAGTTGGCGCTTGTCAGGGAGCTGCATTGGCCGCCAAGGAGCAGGGCAATCGTCGTACCATCCTGTTGGTCGGTGACGGTAGCTTCCAGTTGACCGTGCAGGAGGTCAGCACCATGATCAGGAATAAGCTCAACCCCATCATGTAAGTCTTCAAAGTGAGGCATTTTAGAGTGGCACCAGGCTAACCCTAGATCTCAGCTTCGTGATCTGCAACCAAGGATATACCATCGAGCGGTACATTCACGGATGGGATGCCGGATACAACGATATCCAGGAATGGGACAACAAGAACATCCCCACCGTATTCGGAGGAGGCGACTTCTACAAGGGTTATGTGGTTAAGACCCAGGATGAGATGAACAAGCTCTTCGAGAACGAGGAATTCGCTTCCGCCCCATGCCTCCAGGTAAGCTAGCATGTTTGAACTGCAGTTGAATTGTTGAGGTACTGACATATATACACAGCTGGTCGAGCTCCATATGCCACGCGACGACGCCCCCTCGGCCCTCAAGCTGACCGCCGATGCCGCGGCCGCGCGCAACCGATAGAGTGTTTGCATGCAGACCCTACAGGGGAGAGAAGCACTGGTATTCACGATGGCAGTAATGACGAATATTGCAATGATATCTTCCCGGCAGTAGCCAATTAAATAATAATTAGGTAGTTAATGATCAACCACTTCAGGAGATAACTACGAGACCTATCCGACATCAAACTCGAGGATCAATGAATTCGGACTAGAGTGGACGATCGTAAGCAGGGTGCTTATCTGGTTGACCCGTTCATCCTCCTCGAACTAGTGGAAGAGTGGATCGCGTAATAGGGCTGAGGCCATTCACCGTTGTCGACAATTGGACATGAGTACTCCGTATGTAAGATGTTGGAAGTGTTGCGGAACGGGATCATAGAGCCACCACTTTTAATGGCTGAATCAAGGATTTCTGTGGGTTCAAACTGAGGGAAAGCGATAGACTAAGTTCTCCCTCGGATCTGATATTCCGCTCACCAGATTACTATAATTGTCTGTGTTGCAAAGCAAGGTAAACTTGTTGTAGTTCTTCAGTTAGTTGGATGGAATCGGAGGGCCACGTGATGACCGACGAGGCAGCAAGGCCGCAAGGCGCCAAGGCGTCCAGCGCATCAAAGCTCTCCATCAATAACAAAACCTTTTGGCTGGATCTCGATTACGATTGATCACTTCGGCATCAGAAAGACAAGGGAGAATGTTGTCCCTCATTACTCTCCCAATCTTTATCTAAACAATGTCAAAAATGACAAAATTGCCATGTTAATCCCATCCTACCGCCGCCAAGACTCTAGCCACTGCTATCTTTCCCTTCTCTAATCTTGAGTCTGCTGTCTACTGTCTAGCCTGTCTCCGTGCCATCTCTTGGTCTAGTCTCTCTATCTAGTATGTATCTAGTTTAGACTAGTAAGATACCTGGGCTTAGTCCTTTACTCCATATCTGCGCAAGGTATGTTTTCCCCCCCTGTCAACTAATTGAATCTTCCGTGACACTTGCTCCCCCTCCCCCTTCGATGCACAAGCACAAAGTTCAGCTCGGTCCTTGAGCCCAGGGTTTGTTTTCCTCCCATGCTGACAGCTGAATGCTCATCAAAGAAGATCTACATTGGTTCGGTCGAGGCTTCTCAGGCGCTGAATGCTGATCCTATTCTCCCCACACAGCGACATCTCTCGTCCATGCAATTATTCCTTGCCGCACATATCCTGCAACTTCTGATCCGTCCCTGACGACGTTGCGTAACAGTCCCCTCTCCTTCTCGAATCGAATTTCTATCCAGCAAACATATCTCGCTCCTTGTCATGCAGAAGAGATACCGTGACCTGGAATGAAACCTTGAATATTCTGTGCGGTCATGCTTGAGCGCCTCCCTCACCTTCAAATTTCGGACCGTCAATTCTAGTACAACACGCGCGACATTGCCAACTGCTGCCCCGATTTGTCTATACAACCACCCTAGGAGAGAATCAATGCCCGGTAGAGAGTGAGGCTCAACCCTGCGTGTACCATGGGATCTCGAGGCTTGTCTTAAGACGTCAATACAAGGATCCAGTTACACAGCAAGGACATAACCGCTGCGTGATTCCGTGCGAATCGGTAGTGTGCTGCCCTCTCTCCTTCCCACCGCGCGACATCCTATCGGCACATATTCATACAGTGGCAACGCGGATTCATTCATCATGGACAGTCAACGGCAGCAAGCATACATACCCGGCCCCCCGCCTTCAGCGACACAACCATCTCAGCCTCATATGATCCCTCTACCACCACCGCCACCCAGACATCCGCAAGCGCAACCTCAGGTCATGCCACCTCCGCCTCCAGGGCCGCCTCCAGGAGCTGGATATGGCACTTCGAAGCTGGCAAATCCTCAATTGCAGCATCAAAACAATATGGGTTGGCAACATAACTGGGCGAGGCAAGCGCTGCCTCAAGGCTTTCTTCCACCTCCACCACCTCCTCCCATGGTTCCAGCTAACCAAACGTTCGGTCGCCAACCGACTCTGTCCGTCCCCCCTAGCGATGGCCAGCCGATAACGTCTGCAACATATGTGCCCGGCGGCAATACGTTCGGTCCAGGCGTTGGGATCCCATCGTTGTTTGATGCTCACCCTCGCTCTGCATACGAGACCTACAGTACTATGGCGGCAACCGATAGACAAAGAGCTGCAGTCAATCAGTTATATGACAATCCAGGAGAAGTCCCGGCGTACAAGAGGGACGGGAATATTCCGCCTACCCCCTCGACTCGCACATTGCCCACGCCCTTGACTTCACATGCCAATGTTCAAGACACCGTCGCTCCTGCCGTCCCTGCCTCAACTGTTCAGAACCCCCAAGCCCAAACAAGCCACGCAGCTGAATTGACCAAATCCCCAAGTCATCGCCATAACAATAACAACACCCTACTTGGAGGCATGTCAGCGAGCGAGGCTGCTCTGCAGTGGCCACTTGATCGAGTACTGTTGTGGCTCGCGAAAAATGGCTTCTCTAAAGACTGGCAGGAGACCTTCAAAACTCTACAAATTGAGGGAGCCGATTTCCTTGATATCGGCCATGGAGCAAATGGTCGAGGCAATCTTAACAAAATGCATAACGAAGTCTATCCTCAACTCAGCAAGGATTGCGAAGCTAGTGGCACAGGATGGGATCCGGTACGCGAGCGGGAAGAAGGAAAACGTATGCGTAGATTAATTCGGCAAATTCATGATGATGGAAGCCACGAGGCTGCAGCTCCCATTTCAAAACGACGAGAATCGCAAGCTCCCTCCGAGGGCCATCCGGAGGCCTCACCCAAGATACCTCATGAGCCTCAATCTGCCGGTCCCAACACCGGAACGGTTGAGAATAGCCCTAACCTCAAAGCACCCCAATTAGCTCAGCCTCATCGAAATAGCATGCAGATGCGTTCTGTCACTTTACCCATCCCAAATACTTACGATAATGGATTAACGGATTTTGGCTTGAATGACAGCACAGGATTTCGATCAGATTATTCTCGAACAGTACTGGCTGGTCTCGGCGTTGACCATCGAAGGCAAAGCCCGTCAATGTCCAGTGACAACGGCAACTTTCCAGTACCATTTCGACCATATGAGGACAGCCCTAAAAGTGGGAGCCCAGCGACGCAGCACGCCACGCTGCACCAAGGCTTATCTTCATCGTCGGCAGGTGACTTGAGCGTGAAGTATGAACATTCTCGTGGTAATAGTTCCGATTCGGCAATGGGTCGGCGATATTACGAATCGCGCAAGGCGCAGGAGACTGTCCGTCCATCGCCACAAGAGACATATAACCGTCAATGGTCAGGCGAGAATTCTTCGTCATATTCGAAGGAGCATAAGGGACTCTTCAACTTCTTGAAAAAGCGAACAAAAGCCGGGGACTCCAACCATCCGTCACCTGAAGAACAGTACCTAGAGTCCCCGACAAGTCCGGTGCACCAACGCCAGAACGGTCCACATCTTCCATACGCCAAACCGAATTTCAATGCCAGTGATATGTCCCTGGGTGAGCGTCCATCGTCCGCCTCAATGTCAGACCAGGAACGGCTCGCTACACGAGGCAAGCCAGTACAGAAAGGGAAGAAATGGATATTCGTGACTCTGGACGGGTGGAATTATCGTTTAGTCGATATCACTGACATGGATTCTGTGGAAACACTGCGTGCGGCTATCTGCAATTATCTCGGAATCTCCGACTGGACTGGAGCGCAGATTTTCCTAACTGAGCCAGGCCAAACTGAACATGAGGAGCCGCTGAGCGATACCATGCTTGCTCTTTGTCGACGCACCAAATCCGACTCTATCGGTACCTTGAAACTGTTCGTGCGGGGGACACACTTCCAGCCAGCCCCAAACAGCTCTGCCACCTTCGCAGGCTTGGGGGTGTCCCTTCCGGAAAAGCATGCCGCATCGCCCACTCACCATGTACACCGTAAACCCCTGGATGACGAAGCACTAAGTAGGATTTCACCTAATGCACAGAACATACCTGCCTCGCCGCAATTAGTCACTCGTCAACCGCAGCTCAAGCCTTCTGTGGCGAACCTGTCAACCCGTGATCTCTCGCAAACTACGGGAACATCTCCCATTGAGGGTGATTCGAATGTCGGAATCACACCTGATTTGGATAAAGCCGACCTTTTGGCTCGCCATGAGGAACACAAACGCGAAGTCGAACGGAAGCAGAAGGCCTATCTCAGCTCCAAAGGACCCCCGCAACCGAGAAATGACACCTATGGAGAAACTGGCTATAGACGTGCCGGCGTCATTGATTTTGACGAACGCCGAATTTCTCCTTACGAAGACAAGAAGCCAGACACACTGGTTCCTCTTCGTAAACCTCCTTCGGCACCACAGGAGTCTTACACACTTACCAGGATCAACTCGTTGAGAAAGAAAGACGAAAGGCCAAGGGCCCCGCCAGCTGTGCAAACTCATGGTCTTGGAGCAATGTTGGCTAGCGTTGGCAGAATGACGAGTGCAATAGGTACACCAGCACCTTCAGTGCCAACGCCAACCAGCGCGGTCAATAAACCCCCTGGCTTTGGAGGTTTCAGTCAAACCCCACAAGGTATTTCATTTTTAGCTTTTTTTCCCTACGCACGATACATACTTTGATCCATTTGGCTGACCAAACATACCAGGTGACTCGAAGGGCGCACCTCAATCTTCCCCAGAAAAGGAAAGCCATGGCACTCCTGTTGTCCCTACCGAGCAATTCTCGGCGAAGAGCAGTGCCTCCGAAACTCCCAGGCCAGCGCTACAATCCCGCAAATCCTACGGGCCTGAATTCGATTTTGAAGAGACGGAAGTCTCTTTCCAACGATCACCCGTGCTCCAAGCTGAATCTGACGAAGATTCAGACGACGGTCTTTTTGCTATACCACTGGCAAATAAGAATCCTACTGCCAAGGTCAAGGCGCCCGACACGGTGCCTCCAGGGATACAGAAAAAGTATGAGAAGCCAGCTCTCACCCTCAATACCGAAACAAGGCATCAAAAGGGGCTTTCCGTGAGTTTCAGGTCACCGAGTGCCACTCGGGAAACTTTTGCCGACGCCGGTGTCGACTTGAGTAACCGGAATGAACCTTCCTTCGCCATGGCCATGTCACCTGAAGATGAGAGGCCCCCGCGAAGAGATTCTTTTGCCCGAGGCGATGTTTGGGCAAGCAGACCTCCGGTCGAAGGAGTTATCGATAATCTGGACGACTTCTTCCCCGATATCGACCTTGACGCGCCCTATCTTGATGGACAAGGCGCTTCTCCACCTGCATCCCCGGCAAATAAGATTGCAGCCGACAATGAATTGAATCGAAAGGAAAGCCAACCTAACTTGTCTTATTCGGGAGGAAAGGTTACCGACGCCGGAAATATTCTGGGCTCTGGCGAGCCAACATTGAAGGCACAAGGCGGTGATATCGTGGCTCGTCGCAACATTAACCGATCCGGAGGACTCACTCGAGGGAAGTCAATCCGAGAGGTCGCCAGGGGTGCCAACCAAGCGAGCAGGACTCGCAGTATCCATACTGGGAACCAAAAGTCTGGTGTGCTTCGCCGCACGAGTACCAAAATGTTCGGTGCGAAGATTATGCAGATCAGGCCAAAGCCTGGCAGTCGTCTCAGCCAACTTGACCCAATCCCTCAAAACAACACTTCATCAGGCGTTCCGCAGAGACAGCCAACTTTCCGTATCATTCGCGGTCAGTTGATCGGCAAGGGAACGTATGGTCGGGTCTACCTGGGAATGAATGCCGATACCGGTGAGGTCTTAGCGGTCAAGCAGGTGGAGATCAATCCGCGACTTGCAGGATCAGATACGGACCGGATTAAGGAAATGGTCGCTGCATTGGACCAGGAAATCGATACGATGCAGCACCTTGAACACCCGAATATCGTGCAATATCTTGGATGTGAGCGGGGCGAGTTCTCCATTTCCATCTACCTCGAGTACATCTCTGGAGGTTCCATCGGTAGCTGCCTGCGAAAACATGGCAAGTTCGAGGAGAGTGTCGTCAAGTCCTTGACTCGTCAAACACTGAGCGGATTGTCATACCTTCATGACCAAGGCATCTTGCACCGCGATTTAAAAGCGGACAACATCCTCCTTGATGTTGACGGTACCTGCAAGATCTCTGACTTTGGTATTTCTAAAAAAACGGATAACATTTACGGAAATGACTCGTCGAACTCCATGCAAGGGTCGGTGTTCTGGATGGCGCCGGAAGTCATCCAGTCTCAAGGACAGGGCTACAGCGCCAAAGTCGATATCTGGTCACTGGGTTGTGTGGTACTCGAGATGTTCGCCGGCCGCCGGCCCTGGAGCAAAGAGGAGGCGATCGGTGCCATCTTCAAACTCGGAAGCCTGAGCCAGGCACCCCCTATCCCGGACGACGTCTCGCTGAACATCAGTCCCGCAGCGCTGGCGTTCATGTATGACTGCTTCACAGTGTAAGTAGCCTCGTTTGCTCGCTTGGCCTCTGATAGTACTAACAGTAGTGTTCTAGGGACTCCGCCGAACGCCCGACAGCTCAGACTCTTTTGACCCGCCATCCCTTCTGCGAAGAAGACCCCAAGTACAACTTTCTCGACACCGAACTTTATGCCAAGATTCGCCATGTCCTTTAGACAAAACCAACACCCGCCGTACATATCCCAAAACTGTTCTCTTCCTGCCAATTTCAGAACGTGTGTACATAGTTGTTCGTATTTCAGCGATGCTCTGATTTCCTGCTGCATCATACCCCCTCTCCGAGTTGTGTTTGGCCTATCTTTCTGTGTGTGCTTTTTTTTATGCGCCAGAGATCCTCGGACTGCCATTGGAGTACTCTGGTGATTATTGAGAAGTGGACAATATAACACGGGACATCATGCAGTCCCTTCCGCTTATTGATACATGAGTGTAATCTCGAAATTCTGGCGGGCTGGCCAAAAATTAAAATTATTCCGGTATATGTACGGGAATCCACGCTCTATCCTATATACAATGGGTTGCGGCGCGCTCTGAGGCGATGAAAAACGAGCGCTCCCCTTACAAACTCCCGCTTCGACTCGGACTTCTGCTTGACATCTCGTCGTCCTCGTGCTCGGGAATACCGACCCGGAAGATATTCTCGCACCACTCCGCGAACGTCTCCACGTCCCACACCGCATCCTCGCGTCCCTTGCCCCTCTTCGAGACCGGCTGCCCCTTACTCTTCTCCGACGACGTATACCGCTCGAAAAAGTCCTCGTAGATCTGGATGACGCGATCCTGCACCGCGCCGACGAGCGTCTCCTTCATGCGGGGATCGTCGAGGTAATCGCCGAGGATGCGCCGGAGGTCGGGGACCTCCTTCTCGATGGTGCGGCAGGTGGGGTGGATGAGTTCGCCCTGCTGCAGGTTGCGTTTGTCGACGAACTTGGCGGGCAGTGAGGCGGTCATTTTGGCGGCGAACTCGCTGATGAAGTCGTTGATGACGGTGCGTAGGCGGCCGTCGAGCTCGACCTTGGCATCGAGCATGTTCTCGACGACGCGCGGGATAAGGCCGTGGCCGACGAGGCGCATGAGGTTGCGCGGGTTGAAGAGTCCGCCTCGCTCGCGGAGCTCCCAGAAGGTATTGGTCATGGCGGAGAAATCGAGTGAGACTTCCGGTGCGACGTATTCGATGTCGAAGGCGACAATTTGTTGCTTGAGGATGAGCAGGTGGCTCATGAGGAACAGGCTCCCATCTGCGGGTGACTTGGTGGTTGTGATCTGCATGCTCGCTTGGTGGAGGGAGAGGGTCGTTTGGTGGACGATTTGATGGGCTAGGTCGTCGAACACGGTCGACTGGAGGAGGTATTGTCAGCTTAGGCATGGTATCAGCGAGCTGAGATGGGGTGTCCTACATTCACGAGCCGGTATATCCTGCTAAGAAGCCAGATGGCTTTGCGGAGTGTGGGATACCATCCAGTCAGAGCGGCTTGTGATTCGGAATCCCACTTGGAATCGTGTTCTAAACCGGACTCAGAGTCATCCTCCGGCTGCTTAGATGCCTTTGCCAAGCTCAATGAGGCTTCAACTGGCGCGACCTTTCTGCCTGAGATCTGGTTCTCTGTGACCGTGATCGAAACCCCTTTGTTGCGTGCAGGGTAATCAAGGTCTTCCGGTCGAGGCTTGAAACGTTCAATCTCGTCGCGCAGAAATGCTTGCGCACGGAAGACCAAGCGAGTTTGAACATCTTCCAGAACAGGCTGTATCAGTAAGGAGAAATCCAATTGGTTAGTGTCAGGCTGTTCAACCTCCTCATCCTGATCAAGGAGATAACGCGTCTGCAAAAGCGTGCAGAGTTGACAGAGGTTGATGATCTTGTCCTCATGGATGATTCGGGGTTGCAAATGGTCATACAGGGGCTCACAGACCGTCTCGAGGAAATCATACAATCCTCCTTGGCCGTGGAACCATTCTCCCCATAGCTCAAACTCATCCAAGCACACGCCGCGAACGTAGCTGATGCTCGCGCGAGCAAAAGCAACCAAGTCCTTCGAGGTACTGGGAGCCTGTGCGATATCGTAGAGCTTTTTGCGCACTAGCGGTACAATCAATTTACCTCGCGTGGCTGAAAAGTTCGCGTGAAGTTCGTTCAGGAGGCTTTGATATTCGGCTTCATTGCCTTGCTCAGGATCTAGTGGTGGCACAGCTCTTTTCTGTATCTCGAGGCCGATTTGTTTCAGTTCAGGCGCACCAACCCGGAATTTAGCATATAACAGAGCAGACATGGTCGTGTCATTCTGTTGTTGATCTGCAACTTTTTTTGAGACGCTATTGTATGTATCTCGAAGCGCAGAGACAAAGTGCCCTCGAATCAATGTCAGAGCCCGTGTCATCAGTAGCCTGTACCTAGATCGATATACGCTAGCTTCTTTTTGTTCGGGCTATAGAGGGAAATTAGCAATCGCGCGAGTTCCAGTAGGAAATAATACTGACATGAGTCTCCATATAGTCCAGGCACTCGTCAAGCCGCCTGAGCATGTCTGAGAAATCCTGCCCCCGAACAGTATTCCCAGCGCCAGGGGCGTTGAGCCTCCGGGAGGCAGGGTCCAGGAAGTCATAGTATTCGAGGTTCTCTTGTATGTCTGCAGCTAGTTCCGTATCGCGATTCTGAGCAGACAGCAGCCCTTCACACTGTTTCTGGAAGTTAGAAGTCTGAGCTTCCACGGCCTTGAAGGATTCGGATAAGCTGGCTAGGAGGTCGAGAGTGGAGGATGTATCCGATAAAAGCGAATCCAGGTGCGATTTTGACATTTGAAGCTCTTGAAGACAGGATCTAGTAACAGGCGAGTGTTAGCACCTCGAAATTGAGGTCACCAAGCGATCTGATTCGGGCTGCCTTTCCACATACTGATACTCATCATAGCTGCTCTCGAGAAGACCGTCTTCCACTTCATTATACCATTGGATGAAATCAAGCTCATTTTTAATATCGGTGATAGACTCTATGCCCTCGGATACTGCTTCAACAACCTCTATGTTCTGAACCTTGAATTCTTTGGGTGGACCTGACGGCGCAGTCTGCCGTCGTGCTCGCTGTCCCGCAGCTGAACGAGGCATTGTGGGATTGAGCTCTGCGCCCTGCAATCAAGCACGCAGACTGAAATTGTCTGCGTCTGGAGAAGAAATGAGGTCAAAGGCAATCCATGAGCCAAGGAAGCCGAAAACAAAGAACCGGATGATTGAGCTTGTCGCTCTCAGAGACAAGACCATCCTCCGTGGCCGTTTCAATGCGGTATTCTGCCGCGTCAGACCGCTTACGGTCATTGACGCAACGGAGCTTCTAGAGCTGTATTATTATTGTCCAGAACCTTCCAGCTTCAAATAAGAAGTCAAACTTCGCAGGGTCCGGACTTGGCTATGCTGAGTTCTTATTGATAGCTTTTGGAACACCATGTCGATGAACAGGCTGCGGCAGCCCGTGGCGAACTTCGTCACACTTTCGTCTCGTCTTCCTAGGACCAGCCGATTAGTCGTGAGACCATGGAGAAGATCTTATGCTAGTAGCAATAACGAGGCGTCAGGACCATCCAGTTCTTCTTCAAGCTGGCTCCGCAACGCACTAGGCTTGGGTGGTACGGCCACCGCCGCCTTTCTGGCCTATACGTATGTAACGGCCGGAGGGGATCTTGAAAGTGCCATTGAAGCGAAGACCAAGACCACAAAGATCCCTGGGGACTTGGACTCGCAATATGTGCATGAAAGGAGAAGTTTGAAAAGCCCCGGTGTCTTTCTATGGGGCACAAACGCTTATCGCGTCGTTGATCCCAATTCAAAAGAGACAGTGATCAAGGCCCCTCGAAGCTTTGCTTATTTCGACGGTGAGGTGCTTCGAGACCTTAAACTTGGAGAGAAGTCCGGTGCGGCAATCACCGAGAAGGGTGATCTAGTGCAATGGGGCAAAGGATACTCGGACACCGATTTCAAACCTACTAGGACTTTGATTGGCAAGGACTTAACCTCAGTGTGCATGTCGAATGATCGCATACTCGCATTGGCATCAAACGGGAGTGTGTACTCTCTGCCTATCGCAAAAAATGATCAAGAATCTGGTCGGAAGCCCAAGGAAAGTTCTTGGCTACCTTTCCAATCCTTCGCCGCTGGTGTAAGCTACCGATTGCTCGAACCCGCCTTAAAGCTTGGTGAAAAGGTCACTGCAATTAGCGGTGGACTACAACATGCTCTTCTCCTTACCAGCTCTGGTCGAGTTTTCTCTGTCGCTTCTTCGACCGAGAGTTACCCCTCGTTTGGTCAACTGGGTGTACCAGGATTGACTTGGTCGACCCGACCTCAAGGCTCGGTTGATGCCTGTCATGAGGTAAAAGCGCTGGGCAACTCTAAGATCACTCAGATTGCCACCGGTGATTACCATTCTCTGGCTCTCAGCAAGGACGGTACCGTTTACGCGTTTGGTGACAACTCTTTTGGACAACTGGGCTCTGAATTCGACCCTGCTTCTCCATTTAATGACACCCCAACCCCTGTTCCGCTGAAGACCCTATATCCCGGCAATATATGGCTGCCCAAAGTGACTACGATTGCAGCAGGCGGCGCCAATAGCTTCTTCACCGTAGATGCTCAGCGGATCCTGGGTCCCGGCGAGGACCGTTTTGCTGTACGTGATTTGGGTCGAATCACAGCTGACACCTGGACTTGTGGAAGAGGCATCTGGGGTGCTCTTGGAAACGGCAGGTGGACCCATCTGCAGGACGTGCCCACCAAGGTGAAGACTTTGAGTGGTTTGTTCGAGTACAACGAACGTACCAAGGCACTCTCCCCTATTCGCTTACGCGAGATTTCAGTCGGCACGACGCACGCCTCGGCAGTCCTAGACAACACAGCCCACGTTGAGGCATCCGCCACAAGTTCCCTGGAAAAGCGTGACGACTGGGGCTATGATGCATTGTTCTGGGGTGGAAACGAGAATTTTCAGCTTGGCACAGGCAAGAGAAGCAACATGTCCAGGCCGACACATATCAACGCACCTCCGGAGCCGGGTGCAAAGGATGACAAGCAAGAGGCACGGCTTCAAATCATGCCTCGCCACAAGGCCAAAGTGGGTAGCCGCACTGTGAGCATGGAGCAGCGCATCGAGTGTGGCCGGCATATTTCTGGTATCTACTCAACTGTATGAGTACATTTGTGATCGTCCTCTTCAATCGATGTATTTTAAAATTCCAAAGCCTACAAGCACAAAAGCTACACTAATGTACAATACTTCCATTAATTCCGGGTATAGATTTGTATATGGGAATGCAAACAAGGCAAACAATTCCGCGATAATCAAAAGACGCACGGACCAACACCTTATCGTAAAATTTCCTGAACAGAAAAGAAGACAAAACTTCGATAGTAGTACCAACTGCACATTTCTAAAGTCAATCCATTATTCACCTTCGCCATGCCTCGCGAGAAGCAAAAGCGAGGTCGCCGGGCAGAAGATAAGTCCAAGAAGGACGCGGCCAAACGGAAACGCGATGAAGATCCTGAAGATCTAACGGCGAAGAGACTGAAACCTGCGACGGAGGCTGAAGTCGACCCCAACAACGAAATCACAGAAGGGGCGGATTATATTCCCTTCGAGGAGAATAGAGAAGATGGGCCTCCTAGCGACATGCCCTTCTATGGTCTTCTGGATAGCGAAGAACAAGAATACTTTTCAAGAGCCAACGAGGTGCTGGAATCGAATCAGTTTCAGGATGCGGAGGAGCGGAGGATATTCATCGACAGTGTCTACCGGGAGGCGAATGGCAAAGAGTTGAAGGTTGCTTGCAGTCAGTCATGCTCGCGGTTGATGGAGAAGTTGATTTCGCTATCCGACATGCGCCAGATCCGGAGACTATTCAACAAATTTATCGGGAACTTCCTCCATCTTGTACAACATCGGTTTGCGAGTCATTGTTGCGAGACATTATTTATGAATGCGGCGCCCGGAGTGACACAGAAGACTCCCAAAGCGAAGGAACATAACATGGAAGAGGGGGAGGATGACGAGCCGGAGCCCGAATTGTCATTGGCCGAAATGTTCATGAAAGTCGTTGAGGAGCTAGAAGGGAACTGGGGATACCTATTGACGGAGCGGTTCGCATCGCATACGATTAGAGTCTTGCTACTCGTGCTTGCTGGGGAGCCGGTTGATCTTTCATCAACTGATTCGGTCGTCGCGAGTCGCAAGAAGGAGAGGTTGGGAATCGTGACTTCCGACGCAAAGGAAGAGAAACCCGTCGCAGAGAGGCAGCCGATTCCAGAATCTTTTGAAGCTACATTGAAGAAGATCATGAGGGACATGGTCTCTGGACTCGACAATACCTATCTGAGAGCCCTGGCAACCCACCCTGTTGGAAATCCGGTTCTGCAAGTGCTGGTCTATTTAGAACTGTCGCACTTCGGCAAGTCCAGCGCCAAAGATCCCAATTCGATCATCAGGAGGCTGATTCCAGATGATGAGTTCGATGAGAACTCGGAAGGTGCCACTTTCGTTAGAGGTCTGCTCTACGACCCAGTAGGTTCTCGTCTTCTTGAGACCATCATCCGGTCCATGCCTGGTAAGCTTTTCAAGGGTCTCTACAAGAACGTCATTCGCGATCGCATCGGCTCGCTTGCGCGGAATACGACCGCTGGGTATGTGGTTCTCCGGACGCTCGAGAGACTGGGAAAGGACGATCTACAAAATGCCAAGGAATCTATCACTCCCGAGATTCCGGGTCTTTTGGAGCGATCCCGGCTGGTTGTTCCTAAAGTCCTAATTGAACGCTGCCTCGTGCGCGGGGTGGATACCTCATCGCTTGCGCAGGCTTTGGAGGCTGCATACGACAAGGATCCGGTGCGGAGACTGGAACAGATACTCAAGCTTGATCCTGTGCCCAGTGAAGAAGAGTCGGAGGAGAAGCAGAAGCAGTCGGGTGGTAATCAGACAGCCGCTGCAGAGAAGTTACATAGCTCTCTCCTCGCACAGACAATGCTCACGGCCCCTGGTGCCTTGAGCGGCCTTGTTTACTCGAGCCTGCTAGCTCAAAGTTCGGATTCGCTCCTCAGGATAGCTAAAGACCCCACTGCCTCCCGTGTCATTCAGCAGGCACTCACCGTCTCAACTTCAACTTCGCAGTTTCGTCGACAGTTCACGACCCGTTTCACCGGTCATCTCACAGAACTTGCTCTTGACAACAGTGGATCGCATGTCGTGGATGCGTTATGGCCAGCAACTCAGGATCTAGTCTTCATCAAGGAAAGGATGGCACAGGAGCTGCTCCAGGACGAATTAACTCTTCGGGACTCTTTTGTCGGCCGAGCAGTGTGGAGAAACTGGTCAATGGATCTTTACAAGAGACGCCGAGGAGAATGGAAGGCGAAAGCCAAGGGTATTGACAGTAACAATGAAGGCCAGGGTGAGCGGCCTAAATCCCGGATTGACTTGGCCCGTGCAAAGTTTGCAGCAAAGGCTGCAGAAGAGAGCAAGGCGCCAGTGGCTGCAAAGATATAGATAAAATCTTATCTGTGGTGTTTTATGTGTGTAGGAATTGTGGTGATACAGCATTTGTGCATGTGACTTGTCATTCATCTCGTCGATATCTTCAGCGATCCTGTTAGAATATTGTTTCCTTCACGCAGGGCTTGCCATAACATGAGTGAGCTCTCTTCCTCTAATGCCAATAAAAGCAATTCTCTTTTAATTAGTTGGTTTCGTCCCTCCCGAAGCCATAGATAAGTCCTTCCTTCTTTTCTGCCCCTCCAGCGCCTGCGGGGCAAACCTCACCATGAAGCATTTCTCTTCCCATCCTCCGTCGAAAGGGCAAAGCCTTTCATCGTCTGACCTGTCTCGGCGTCTGCTGCAAAGATCAGAATATTTCATGATCTGAAGACCAACAACAGCCTCGGTCCATGATGTTAGACAATCAGGCTTTGTCGCCATCACTGCGGATCCACCAACCGTTCCGGAAATGGCTCAGTCAAGCTTCAACGTTCTGCTAGAGGAACTGGCCGGCAGACCCATATTCATTCTCCATTGATTCAATATTTTCTGAGATTATCGCATATAGTTCCACGCATAGAATTTTCCTCCTGAAGAATCTCCTCAAAATAGCATCATAGATGTCGGTCACGTCACCACAGAGTCGCGCGGAAGAAGTGCGGAGTGTGAGTCAATAGCCTATTTTCTTTGAGCATTTGATGGTTCCTTTAGAGGCTTTCGAACACTTCGCCAAGTTTTTCTACGTTATACTTCCTTTCAGCATGTCACTAATCCAACTGATTTATAACAGCTTCTCGGCGCAGTCGAAGATCTCCTCATACCTTTCATTCAATCCGCGGATGACATTACTCTTGGTCATGCGCAACTGCAGAACGGCGACGATGGGACAAACGGCGTGAACGGACACAGCAAGAGCGGAACATCTCTAGTTGACTACAAGAAACCGGAAGAGCTTCGGGACATTTTGCAATTATCATTGCCGGAAAAGGGCGCCAGACAAGACGGCCTGATCGAGGTTCTTCGCAAAGTCCTGAAATACTCCGTCAACACATGGCATCAAGGCTTCCTTGACAAATTATATGCGTCAACGAACGCTCCCGGTGTAGCATCCGAGCTCATCTTGGCCGCTCTCAATACGAATGTGCATGTGTACCAAGTCTCACCGGCTTTGACCGTGATCGAAAAGTACACAGGACAGCAACTGGCTGCGTTATTTGGTCTGACGGGACCACGGGCTGGTGGAATCTCAGTACAAGGGGGTTCAGCGTCGAACACTACGTCGATTGTGATTGCGCGTAACAATTTATACCCGGATACGAAGAAAAATGGCAACGGCGATTACAAATTTGTGCTGTTTACTAGTGATCACGGTCACTACAGTATCGAGAAGGCGGCGCAAATGCTGGGTTTAGGAAGTAGCTCAGTGTGGCCGGTCCCTGTGGACAAGCAAGGACGCATGATTCCGGCGGAGCTAGAGAAACTGGTTGAGAAAGCGCTCCAGGAGAAGAGGACTCCATTTTATGTCAACGGGACTGCGGGCACGACGGTAATGGGCTCCTTTGACCCGTTTGACGAGATCGCCGCCATCTGCAAGAAATACAACCTCTGGTTCCACGTGGACGGTTCATGGGGTGGCTCATTCGTTTTCTCCAAACGCCAGAAGCACAAGCTCGCCGGTGCAGAAAAAGCAAACAGCATCGCCATCAATCCCCACAAAATGCTCGGCGTCCCAGTGACATGCTCCTTCCTCCTGGCGGCAGACCTCCGCCAATTCCACCGAGCCAACACCCTCCCGGCGGGCTACCTGTTCCACAACGAAGACACCGAATCACAGCCAGATAGTGATTCTATTTCTGCGGAGAACGAGCTTGGCGTTGATTCCCCGGAGGTCTGGGATCTGGCAGACCTTACTTTGCAGTGCGGACGACGCGCGGATTCGTTCAAGCTCTTCCTGGGCTGGACTTACTACGGCACGGAGGGCTATGAGCAGCAGATCGATACGGCCTGCGATCTCGCCGCGCACCTGGCCACGATCGTATCAAAAAATTCCAACTTCATTCTGGTCAGCGAGAACCCGCCGCCCTGTCTGCAGGTATGCTTCTACTACGCTCCAGGTGGACAGCTCGTCCATCCCCGTGGCATTGTGTCAAACGAGACCGAGCGTGCAAAGGCCAATAGCAAAGTCACGGAACAAGTGACCCACGCTTTAGTGCAAAGGGGCTTCATGGTTGACTTTGCGCCTCCGAGCGGCGATGATAATGCTGTCGGGAACGGCAAGTTCTTCCGCTGCGTGGTCAATGTCCAGACGACGCGTGAAACGGTCGAAGGTCTCGTGCGTGCCATCGAGGAGGTGGGCCCGGCTATTGTTGAGAAACTCAAGGCCGAGGCTGCGTCTTCGGCACCTAAGATCAAGCGGCGGCCTGGCGAGAGGGGCCATGGGCCGGTTGTTCACCATCCTTGATGGGACTACTTGTTATCCATGGCGTAGTGTAACGTTACCACGTATGTAAAGAGATAGGAGATTAGAAAAAATTCTATAGATTTGCTCGTGATCAATTGGTATTAGAATTGTCGTATGCGTTAGAGATTTGGAAATAATATACTGGAGCAATATCTGTCTTCTTAATCCCTACTACTCAAGAACCAATTTCCACTCGCCTCTCGAGCACAGATCTGGCCTCTGCCTCAGTCAAGGTTTCGATATCCAGCTCAGCAAGGACTTCGCGCGCACTTTCATTGTCCGTGAAGAGCCTCTTTTCTACCTCCCAGAGCCCAGTCTGTTTGTCTTTCTCAGCATCGGTGCCCTCCGATGGCGATGCACCATCCCTCGGAGTAGCAGCGTTCAAGCCCAATAGGAGAAGACCGTCACTGAGTTTCTTCATGGCTCTGATAGAGCCACCAGATTGGCCAGCGGGTCCTAATGCAACATCGACGACGTTGCAGAGATGATCAATATCGCTAATGAACTGAGATGCCCCCGCGGCTGAGAACTGGTGCCGCATGAGGACGTTACTCCACAGGTTGGTTTGAATGGAGAGAAGGACCTGGCGAATGATGCGGCGCAAAGGGGCGATACCCAGTGCACGCGAGAGGAACGAAATGCTGGTGGACAAGGTTCGCAAAGTGGGTGCAAGGTCGGCGGATGGTGGAAGCGAAGATCCCGCAGAGGCGGCGGTGGTCGAGACGGTAGCCCAAGTGGACGTGCGAGCATAGGGCTTGAGAGCTGTCTGGGTACTCGAGGTCAAGTTCGAGGTCAGAATGGTCTCTGAACGCAATCTAAGGCGGCGATATGCGGAAGCTGTTTCATCGAAAAGGGCGCCATCTGATGTTGTGCCTTGTTCTGCGGAGCTGGTGCCCCTAGCAACCGCCTGCGAGGTGCGCGAGGCGACGTCTGCCAGGGACATCTGACCTGCCACATTCTCCCCGCTGTCCTTGTTCTGTTTCACTCGTTCTTGCAGCTCAGACCACAGTTCCACGAAGAACACATCATTGCTCCAGTCTTCCATCTTCTTTTCGAGGTACTCAGCACTACCAAAAATCCTGCACAGCCGTTCCAATCCCGCCACGCCTTCCACACTAGCCTGTCCGTCAGCACCCTGTACTGTACGGCCAATAGTCGAGGTCATTGCGAGATAGGCCTCGAGTGCAGAATGCAAGCGCTCATGAAACTGATCAAAGATCGTAATCTGGATATCAATGAGGAAACGCAGCTTCTGGCTAAATGACGACAAAGGCTGATATCGTTCCGTAATCGTTTCAAGCAAATCGTTTACGCGGATAGCTGCTTTAGTCGGTTTAGACGCGGAGAGTTCGAAACCTTCATAGTCAATATGGCCACTGTCTGGTGCCTCTATGATCTCTTCATAGCGAGCCAATGCGAACTCCTTTTCAACCTGGAGCCAGCGATCGAACCAGCCTTCCTTGGTGAGCACTTCCCACGTCATTCCATTCCAATTTTCCATGGAATAAGGATCAGGAAGATAATTCCATGCCTCCCGGATCTCATTATCAAAGTTCATCAGCTCATGTACAAGATGGCTGAGCAGTTGTGGTTGTGCGGAAATGCTAGGAAGGAATGTAGCCAGCTTATGCCTTAGCATTGGCAGAAGTGCAGTGATAAAAGCGTGAGAGGCATTGTAGAAATTCCACTCCAGATTGGGACCCACGTCCTGAGCCTTTTGGTCAAAGATTGGTTGTAATGAAGAAGCGAAGAAGCCACCAAACTTGTTGACCAAGTCCACGACATGACTGAGAAAGTACTCAGGCTGTTTGTAAAGTCAGTCCATCTCTTTGATGTGGAGAGGGCGCGCATTACCTTGTCAAGTCTATTTGTTGGCTTGTCACCGCTGAAATGGTACTTGAAGCGAAGCTCTAGCGGGTGGACCATCACTTCCAGTGGTAACAGAATTTGCGGTTCAACAGCATGCCGCTTTAGAGTGATATCACGACCCTTAAGCTCACTGGAAGAAAGATTAGTAAAGAAAGAGGCGATCAAGAGAGGGTACATACGGTGTCTGCAGATCAAGCAGCAACTCAACGTTCTCAGCCCATTGTGCCTTCAACTCATCCGGCAGATGAAAATCTTTGGAGGGCCACTTCATTTGTTCTAACGTCGCTTGGAGCCGTTTAGTGAAGTTATCTTTCATTTGCTCTCTCAACCCAGTGGCCAGCTTCCCCACGTAGTCCACCAGATGAGAGGCCGCTCCTTCGGCTGCTGGTTGGGCATCCTGCAACGACTGAACAACGTTTCTCAGCCGCGTGTAGGGTTCTATTGCCAGGCGAGGCGATGACTGTATGTGGCCCAAAGCCTCCTTGCTGTTTTTTATTGCCTGTCTCAGCGATCGTGGCGCAATCGAAGGAGTATTCTGGGTCGCAGATACCTCAATTCTTCAGCTTCCCTCAGCAGGTTCACATAGCCCCTCGATATCTCCAGTCTGCGAAGTTTGTCCATGCTCACTTCGAACCGTTTTGCTGCCACATCGCTCGCATCCGATCCCGTAACCGCTTTCAATCGCTTATCGATATCCTCTTGTTGCTCCCCAAAGGCTTCGGCTCGTTGTCGTGTGGCTTCGGCATGGTCGTTGGAGGCTTTGGTGGCGTTCAACAGTGCTTGTTGTGCTTCTGCCAGCTGTATACAGAGGTAAGTGGTCGACCATATAAGAATAAATTATCGGAAGAGCACTACGTGCTTGACCATGAGCATACCTGCTTCCGTTGGAGCTCATGCTGAGCGCGTAAACTGGTCAACAGCGAATCAAGGCTTTCGAAGTCGGCAGATACTTGTATTTTATCATTGAGATAATCCTCGACCCTCGTTTTCTCATGCGACGACAGGGGAAATGTAGGTTTCGCCATGGTTGGCGTTTGGCTTGCAAGTCGGGGAGTGTGGGGGATGCTCATCGTCATTTAGTCTATCGCCAGGTGTTGCGATCGATCATGAACACCAACTCCGCCTTAGGATCTGTCAAGCTTCCGATGACACAATGCTCTTCATCCTTCCAACCCAGACACCATGTGAGTCTATTTGAGCTCAGCATAATCTGTAATTAAGCACACTCTTGTTCTTCTAGACCTAAAATGTCCAGCCCGGCTAAAAAGCGCAAAAGAGAGGTTCCGCAATCGAATCCCCAGCCTTTTCGGAGCATAGCGTCATTCTTCCAGGGCCAAGCCAGCAAACAAGCTGAAAAGACGCTGCAGAGTATTGATTCTGCTCCCGAAACTGTAGTGGAAGATGGACTTTCTGATGAAGCTCTTGCGCGCAAGCTTCAAGCTGAGTTTGATAAAGAGGATGCGCCAGCTGGGGGGATAGGCATTCCTAACAATGAGCCTAGCCTACCAGCTTCAAGCTCGACTGATAATGGTCTGGAGCCACCAAGAAAAGTGCCGAAGACGCATACGTTATCACTACAATCTTCTGTTGGCACAGAAGACACTATCTGCTCTGCGATACTGTTCGACCAGAGTCCGTTGACGTTTGACTCAACCAAATGCGCAGCAGAGCTAACGGTCCATTGGGTTGCCGAGGGGGGGAACGCCTCATACGCCCTGTTGACCCGAGCATTCGTATTGGCGAATTCAACTACAAGCCGGATCAAGATTGTTGATACGCTTGTCAACCTCCTTCGCGTGCTCATCGAAGGCGATCCGACAAGTGTTTTACCCGCCGTCTGGTTGGCTACGAACTCTATTTCTCCGCCTTATAAGGAAGTCGAGCTTGGCTTGGGTGGCTCTTCTATATCAAAGGCTTTGAAGAAGGTCTATGGGCTGAATCCGCAGGGTCTCAAAACGCTATATGATCGGTATGGGGATGCCGGCGATGTGGCATTCGAGGCAAAGAAAAGGCAGAGCTTTACATTAATGAAGCCGAAACCATTGACCATCAAGGGTGTCTATCAATCTTTGAGGAAGATTGCCACGAGTAAAGGCAGTGGAAGCCAGGAATCGAAACAAAGAATCGTGGAGAAGTTACTACAAGACACACGGGGTGCAGAGGAAAGCCGGTATATTGTGAGGACGCTCGTTCAAAACCTACGCATCGGGGCTGTGAAAACTACTATGCTGATTGCGCTTGCGCGAGCCTTTCTATACTCAAAACCGGAGGGAGCGGAGTTTCCAGTCCGATCCCAGCAGAATTTGGCACGTCTGAAGAAGGAAGAGCTCACCGAAGTCTACAACAATGCAGAGGAGATTGTGAAGGCCTCATATGCACGACATCCAAATTACAATGATTTGGTCACATGTCTTCTCGAGATCGGAGTTAGCGACGAACTCCTTCTCCGCTGCGGACTACAGCTACATATTCCGCTCAGACCGATGCTGGGCAGTATCACACGAGATTTGTCGGAGATGCTTACGAAGCTTCAAGGACGGGGTTTTAGCTGTGAATACAAGTATGACGGACAGCGAGCGCAGGTCCATTGTGACGACAAGGGGAAGGTATCAATATTCTCTCGCCACCTGGAGAACATGACGGAGAAATACCCGGATCTTGTGTCCCTTGTCCCGCAAATCCGAGGGGAAAGCGTGTCGAGCTTCATTCTAGAAGGGGAGGTCGTTGCGGTGGATAATGAAACCGGTGAACTCCAAACGTTCCAAGTCCTGACCAATCGAGCAAAGAAGAATGTGGATATCGGCGGCATCAGGATCAATGTCTGTCTTTTTGCGTTCGACTTGATGTATCTGAACGGCGAGCCGTTGCTGGATCGGCCTTTCCGCGAACGCAGGGAACTGCTCCGCAGCTTGTTTGTCGAGATCCCCAACCAGTTTACCTGGGTCAAGAGCTTGGACGCTACATCGGCCGATTCCGAGACCGTTCTGGAATTCTTCAAGGGCGCCCTCGACGCCAAGTGCGAAGGGATCATGGTCAAAGTGCTCGACAACGTGCCGAAAGCCAACATCAAGCAACCGCAAGGCGATTCCACGATGACCGATGGCATAGCAAACGCGGCAGGAGAAGCACCACCCGAAAAACCCTCCAAGGGCGCCCGGCGAAAAGCCCTCTTGTCAACCTACGAGCCCGACAAACGGCTCGAGTCCTGGCTCAAAGTCAAGAAAGACTACAGCACCTCCTCAGAGACGCTGGACCTAATCCCCGTGGCTGGGTGGCACGGCCAAGGCCGCAAGGCCAAGTGGTGGTCTCCGATCCTCATGGCCGTCCGCAACCCAGAATCCGGCAGCCTCGAAGCGGTCACGAAGTGCATGTCCGGCTTCACGGACAAATTCTACCAGGCCAACAAGGACAAATACGCCGAGGGCACGCCGAACGTCATCTCGCGCCCCGCGTACGTCGAGTACCACGGCGAGCCGGACGTGTGGTTTGAGCCGCAGGAGGTCTGGGAGATGGCGTTTGCGGATATCACGCTCAGCCCAACGTACACGGCGGCCCTCGGGCTGGTCAGCGACGAGCGCGGCCTGAGTTTGCGGTTCCCGCGGTTCCTCAAGGTCCGCGACGATAAGTCGATCGACGAGGCGACCACGTCAGACTACCTCGCTCTGCTGTGGAGGAAACAGGCAGAGCGGAAAATTGAGGAGGAGCAGCAGCAACCCGACAAGGCCGAGAGATTGGGCTGGCAGGAAGAGTGAAAGCCAAGTATCTACGACGACTGTCAAAAACGTAGGTCTTCCAAGCAATCTTATCCAAATATAAACCAGATAAGAATATACTTACCCATACTATCCTAACATCAACCCGCCTGCCCATCCTACATCGAGTACTCCGTATCAAATCCATGCCTCAGGCCAGTGACCACACTAATAACCCAAACAAGCCGAAGCAATCATCATCTAAATAGATAGTTGAACCTAACCCAAACAGGTTAGTTTAGACCCGGAAATCAGGACCTTGGCAACAGTCTAACCATATACAGCTTAGGGCCAGCGCGAAATCAACGCGTCCAAGCGGGGAAAGCACGCGTCGCGTCCGTTTTTTTCTTTTCTTTTTTTTTTAAAAAAATATTTTTATTTAAACTCTGTACATTTTTCCCCTCTCTTTAACCTTCGTGATCTTGTTGGTTGTTTGCGTCATCTTCTTATCCATTTTAGTATGTGATGACTGTAGATATGGTGGTCTGTATTACGGAGTGGATACTTCATAGAATGATTTGAATTGATGGATGTTGACATTCAATGGTCAGAAGTCAATTTGACGATTATTGGTTCCAGGTGGCACGGAATATATCATCCTGTGTGATAGAATCTTAAGCGAGACATTCAACGTTTATGCACATAATTCGAAGGAGATGGGTATGATTTCCATTTGCTTTACTACTCAGTTGTACAGCTGAAGAAGAGCCGGTAGCACAGAAAATCATAGAGAGTCAAGGAGAAGAGATTAGTCACACTTCATTGCATTAAACAAAGGAAATGAAAGAACTAATCAAAATGAACTGACATAGGAAAGGGGTATGTATGAACAGTTCGATGTCATGCAAGCTGTCTTGTACTGTGGGGATAAAATGGTTCCCAACAATGTACAGACAATATGAAGCCAAATATCACAGGACAAAGCAAGGGCATCAGAAGGTGAAGGAGTTATGGAGTTGTCATGTACATGGCATAGTCATCAGGAGTCGTTACAACAAAATCCGTAGAAGGGAGGAAGGAATAGAAAGGGAAAAGGTAGAACAGGTACGCGGCGATACTCTACGGTCGCAACTCTCCGCCCAACTGAAGAGCAAGGCCAAGCTCTTTCGGTCGGTTTTTCGGACTCTCTGCGCTTGGCGGTAATAAGTTATCGAAATTGGGCCGTTTTCTCCCGTCTCGGTTGGCCAGAGGAGTCCTCATAGGATTTCCCGGGGTGCGGCCGCCTCGCGCAGGTTGCGCTGGACTAGGAGTGACGTTCACAAAGTCGGCGAAATTGAAGTGCTGGCTTGGAGTGCCAAAATTGGGAAAGACCCCAGCAGCCCCAGGCGTCGGAGTCAATGATGGCAAGACAGCATGCTGAGTCGGTGGAGTGGAGGGTGGAAATTCTCGATTTTGAGTCTTGCCGGCGATACTGGCCGGGGTGGGCGAGTTTGCCAGGTACAGAAGCAAATCGGCACCGTCCTCATGGCGCAGGGTAGGATCATTGCGCGTCAGACGAGCATGTTTCGGTGGCGGCGTCCGGGGAGGTGAGGAGCCAACCATCGAGCTGGTATTCTGGAAACTGTGCACGGGTAGATCTGGATCATTGTCGTCGTCTGACTGGGGATGGTGTGCCGGCGACGAGAACTCAGGGATTGTCTCAGCCACGAGCGGCAGAGGCCGGTGCCGATGAGTAGGATGGCGGAACCCCGGTGAAGAAGCAGGCAGGTTGTATGAGCTTTTCCATGAGACCCGAGGTGCCTTGGCGGGAAGATCTGTGATGGAGTCGGACCGTACGCGTTTTCGACTGGCAGACAGCATGGGTTGCATGACCCGGGAATTGAAGGTTGCCGCATGTCTGTTCCGGGCCGACCTGGGCAGTTCCTTCGAATAGGTTGCGGTTCGTAGGGGAGGGGAGGTCATCGGGGTCTCGCAACGACAGTGAGATATCTCAGATGAGGAGTCGGACGGTTTGTCGCTTCCGAGGGAGATATGTCGACCTCCATTCTGATATGGTTGCTCGAGGACATGCAGACGATCATTTTGATATTTCACTTTGGCAAGGCCTAACCGATCCTGGAGGCTGAGAGATACCTGGTGGGAACCATTCAGATTAGCCCTCGTGGAATGAATCAATGAGAGCGTGGATAGAAGCGAGGGAGAGGATGGAGTTGACCTCGCAATTGGCACTTACCTGGGCTATGTCAATTTTGCGGATGGTCTTCTCCGAGTTTGTCGGGTGCAGACGAGCCATTGCGAAGGCTGATGGAGAGGGAAGAAAATCTATTCTTTCTAGGACAGAAAATCGAATGTTCCGTTTGTTTTTTTCTTTCTTCTTTCTTTTTTCTTTTTTTATTCTTCTCCCTCCTCCTCATACATAAGCCAAGGGAAATGATCGTAATGCGTGAGAATTGAGGAGACAAAAGGGCCTGGGGGGGAAGAGAAGGAAGCAAGGGCGGCTGAACCCAGTGAGCGGAGGGGGGAATAAAGGAAGACCAGACGGGTCAGGACTCAGCACTCAGGATCAAGAATGGAGCCGGTCTGGAATGAACAGCGGTTCGCTGGGCGACCCAACAGGGGAGGGCAACCGGTCGACAAGAAGGGATTTCGGGTGATAGATAGATAGCTCTATCTAGACTGGTTTGAATTGTGATTTCTGAGGGTTTTGAATATATCAGAATAGTGATCAGGAATTGGCTTGGAGTGCCGTCGTTCTACGAGACTAATAGCATCATATTTTAGTCCCTACTACTAGTAGTAGTATCATCTCTCTAGTACATAGATGGAGACAAAGACTCGTTCTTGATCGAATTAGACACCCTCGCAGAAAACAATATTAATGGCTTGTTTGGACCTGTGGCACAATTTGTCGCTATGCGCCCAGAGAAGGATCATGGCTCTGAACCTCGCAAGCTGAAAGGATAGCTGCAATTTCCTAGTCGAAGGAGACGGCTATCTTTACACCCTCTGCTCATAGCGAGTCTTCCTTCGATCAGAATTGACAATGACATACGTAACCCCAGTCTAGATTATCCTGCTCCATGCAGAATCTTCCATTTATATCGACCTGACAACCGAATATTGATCTAACATGCGAGGGGAGAAAAAAAACCTCCGATGCATTCCACATCCTCACTCGGCGTCTACTACTGGCGGCTTATCGGTCTTGACCTGCATGTCCAGTCGAGAGATACTTGACTCCTGCTGGCTGTACCTTTTCCGTCTTACTCTCCTGAGTCCTGACTATCTGCGAAACACGACGACGGGTCCACCCCTCAAAGAGTCGATTTGGTGGCTCGACCCTTGAAAAGGGCAAATGATATGGAACAGAGCATACCATGCCCAATGAATCTACTTCTTCTAACCATTATCGATTGCATGATTACTATTTTCGAGAGGAGGATCGACATCAAGCCTAGGCAAAGCCACGAATTCTTACTGAGAGACCCCAGCCCAATGATGCCCCGATCGCATTGCGGGCAGTTTCAGATTTGAGTCGAGATTTGGCTTCAAGAGGGTCGAGAAACGATTTGGAATGTCCCCCGGGTCGGAATTGATAGAACTAAGTTCAATCTGGCAGCCACTACAGGGCCAGAGTCTCAAGATCAATTTGTCTTCATTGCGCTGGTTCCCTTGGTTTTGGCTATTGATTTGCATCGATGAGGAACCAGGCAGATCAAATCGGACTCGACGGTTGCTGTGAATATTGTATATCTTTTGTATAATAAGGAGTACAGACAAGGAGATAGAACCTTGCGAATAATAGATCGCTCTGCGTCTGTCGTCACCTCCTGTCTTGCTTATTCTGTATGTGCTTTCCAGACCGTCAAGAGCTTCCGCTAAGCACTTGGCCTGATGATCGATTCTTCGGATATCCAAAGACAACGCTGAAACGAGGAAAGTTGAGTTAACGTTGAGTAGTAGTAGGCTAGGTAGTTGCTATTATCAATGTGACCAAGGGAACTTGGGTGACGTGGAATTGGCGATTCGCAGCTGCACCCGCAGCGTTCCCACTTCTTTATCATCGTATACAAGCAGTTTGGTCGGTATTACAACTTACGTAGCATAAACATAAACTAGATACGACTAACACCCGTCAGCACTTTGTACTCTGTACAACTGTGTCGCCTCAATTTTGAGAGAGAGAGAGAGAAAGAGAGAAAACTTGGATTGTAGGACGGAGGACGGAGTAGAAAGAGCAGCGAGAGGAGTAGAGTACCCTATGGTAGCAAGCAAACTCAGCAATCAGACTCACGGTGAAACTCATCAGTATTCAGCCTACGTAACGTTTCTTTAGTCGAAGCGCAAGTGGTGGGAATTGACCCACTCGGGCTGTAGCGATGATGACCTAGATATGTAGATACACTACCTCGATACTTGGTAGGAGTAGATTGAGGTATTGGTTTGGGGACTTCAATCATACTTGGTTTGATCCTTGATAGTTGTAGATGGATAGTCGTTATCATACTCATCTTCAGAAAGTCTCGACAGAATCCAGAGCTAGACTGACATATCGATGTCTCTATCAGTATCCAAGCCTCACCCACTTAGTTAATCAACAGGCATGATGGATACCAAGATTAAGACCAACAACTTACTTAGAGTTAGTTAAAGACCTAAAGTAGCTCCCTAGCTCCCTAGCTAACACTACTAGACTACCTGACTGAATAGTAACTTCCACGAGCTAATCATTTTACTGACTTCTAGGCAATATCTGTCTTGTTTCTTGTTTTTCGTCGGTTTTTTTTTTTTTTTTTTCTCCCACTGCTTTCTCTCATGCATACTCGGTTGGTTATCTTGTCTTGTTCCCATTATCAGGTTTTTCCTCTCATACTTCCTCTCTCTTTATTTCATTCTTGTCTCTCTTTTTCAATCCTCTTCTCCTTCTAATCTCTAAGCTCTCTCTCGCTCTCTTTTCCCTTTCGCTCTCTTCATGAGCCATCATCACCAGCATCAACAACCTCGTCTCCTAGGCTGATCTTAGATAAGAAGTCGGTTTTCCGCAGAACTCATGCGGGGTGGCTGATCGCCCACTGCCAATCGTTCGTCATCTGTAACCGCAAACGGTCGCTTCTTCTATCTGGTGGTAGTACCAAGTGGTAGGAAGACAGACAATCTACTTTGTACTGCTTGGCCTTGCTTAGGTTCTCCCCGATAAACGGACCTGCCACTCTTCGCAATTCCTGGCCAGCCCTATCCTCTCCTTCTTCGCCTTCTTCTATCTACGCGTCGGATTTGTGTTCCGGCGGTCGCTCGTTTTTCCTTGTTGAAGAGAAGGGGGAAGGGTCTTAAAAAGATACTTGAGTCAAAAGGGGGGCCAGAGAAAAAAAAGGGGGCGCGGCCACATCAGGGTCTACTGCGCGGCTGAGTACTGTATAGATAGCTACCTACTAAGGTATCTATCTGTCTCGATCTCTCTGGGGGACGAACCGCTCTTTCGTTCCTTCTGCAAATTGAACCCTAGGCTGCGGTCATAATTCTTCCACTGACGACTCTATCTGCTATTCGATAACTCATCAAACCCCTCTCCTCTTTTTTTTTTTTTTTTTTTGAAAGAAAAAAGGAACAAAAAAGTCGTTTCTGGGAGGTCCCTACAAAACATGCCGTTCTTTAAACCGTTGCGTCGCCGCTCCAAGGCCAGCTTCCAAACAAGCAAGTCAGCCGATTCCAAGTCCAACGAATCCCAGTCCAATGGCGAAATAACATCCGGGAAATCGTCCTCGACCCTCGACACAGCTTCTTATAGCTCCATCACCCCGCCATCTTCCATCAAACCCACTCTCTCCTCGCCCAATCTTCCCTCGTTGACGGAGATCAACAGCAATGTCAACGGCGTCAGCACCCCGCTTACGGTGCCTCCCCAGCGACCCAGTCTCGTTCCCCCCTCGCAGCGAAACAGCATGATCGTATGTGATACTGCTCTCTTCACCCGTTGCGTCTATCGCGACCACGGCCTACAATGGTCGCAGTGATGCTGACTTCCACAGGCCGGTTCCTCGGTATCCGTCCACAGCGGCTCACGATCACCTTCGCCTTCTTCTCCATACGCTCCCAGGATTATCTCCATCTCGGAAAACTCGTGGGTATGTGCTTGTGCGCTCACTCGTACCTTCAGTTGGAGCATCGGCTGTTGCATAGTCAGAAGAGACCGAGGCTGACATCTCTCGGCCGTCTTCTCACAGGTACATCAAAAAGCATTACTCGTCTATGGTCAGATTGGGGATCCAAGACAGCATCCGCTGGACGGAACTGTCACGGTATACCATCATCAGGATGGCTTTCCCTCAATCGGCTGGCCGGTCACCTCTTCTCATTTCAAAGCCCTGGTGCATCTAGTGCCAGGTCCCAATCGATTACGGTTCGACTTTGTCTCGACCAAGCTGTCATCGGGCAGCGCGCATCCCGCCATCCATTCCTCCTGGATTAACATCAACTACCTTCCCTTGGTCAATGCTCCTCCCTTACACCTCGTGATCTTGTTAGGCAAAGATTCGGACGGGACTTTCGATGCGGTCCCCGAGAGGCAGCAGCGCGAAGGAAATAACCTTGAAACCGCCATCCGGAAATATCGAATGGCGGCCTATCTGTGGCAGGCATTCACCGGAGAGCAGATGTTCCGCAATAACTTAGGACGCCGATGTTTCCGCTTCGAAGAGGAGTGGCAGACGGGCACCCTGAGTCGCCGCGATGCCGCCACTGGCATGATGCGAAATGAAGCCAAAGTTCACGTTGTCCGTACCGAAAAAACAGTCGCAGAACTCCGAGCTCTCGATCTTGCTCAGCAGCATGGGCCTGCCACCAAGAAAGACGAGCTGTTCAACATTGCCAAGGATGCGGTCAAGGACTACTTCCGTCTCCAGCCGGGGCAGAAGCAATACGTTTCGGTGTTGCTTCTCGATTCGCATTGGGATAAAGGCTCTCAAACTATCACCGGCCACGCCGCGCTGGGATCAAGTGGGGACAACATCAAGATGGCAATCTTCGGCTCCCACTGCCTCCAGAGCTACCCATCGTTCATGGAAGAAGTGGTAGATGCCTTCTCGGATTGTACGCGGACCAACACCGATTATGTTGCCAACGATTGCGGCGAGGCTGGATCAAACTGGGAGGCCGCGAACATCGGCATCGGTGCACATCTCCACGAAGTCGGGCATCTCTTCGGATGCCCCCATCAGGAGTCGGGCATCATGCTCCGTGACTACGTCCGGCTCAATCGGTCGTTCACCACTCGCGAACCCTTTTCCACACGAACCAAAACCCAGGGCCAGAAACTTTGTCTTCCTCAAGATGAATGCGGTTGGCATCGACTGGATGCCTTGCGATTCCGATTCCACCCGTGCTTCCGCCTGCCTGCAGATGCCCCAGTGAGCTCGGACGATAGTGTGCAGGTGTGGCCGGTTGAGAACGGAAAGATCCTTTTCACCGCTTCCTCAGGCATTGCCTTTATCGAACTGTATGCGGAGGGTGAGGATGTGTGCCGCAATTCCATCGAGTATCTCAACACCGAATCGAGCAGCAATGGACTTCCTAAGCAGGTCACTTTGACGGAGACCGAGCTACGGCAGCGCTTATTTGGGAGCGAGAAAGAAAAGAAGAAGAACATCCGACTGGCTGTCTATTCGGGGGCTCTTGGCAGCTATACCGTCGATTCCATCAGCTCCTTGAAGTCTAAATTGTCCCTGGTGAAACTGCCCAAGGGTCAATCTGGCTACAAAGGCGGGAAGCTCGGTTTGTCCCAGATGGACGGTAGTCAGCCGGAGCAGCTCCTGCTGGACTGCGCCTTTGTATCCACGAAACTCCTGACGTCCATTAAGGTCTACCATGGACTTGCGGTGGATGGATTGGAGTTTTGCTACGAGGACTCCACGAGTCAGCTGTTTGGCAAGCGAGGGGGCAAGCCCGGTGGTGATGAGTTTGTGCTGGGTAAGTAGCGCGCTGGCCCTTTTATTGTGATTCCCGCTAACTGAGCTTCTTTCAGACACCCGACGAGGCGAGATTCTGCTAGGTTTCTACGTCCGGGCTGGCGCCTGGATCGATGGAATTGAGATTCTGACCAGTCTTGGACGGAAATCGGGAGTCTTTGGTAATGCCCAGGGTGGCTCTGGGTACGTATTGCCGGTGGACATCCGTGACTCATTATAACATTGTCAAGCTAACCCGTCTGCTAGGCATACATTAATCCCGCCTTTAGGTTATAAGATTGCCGGTATATCAGGATCCAGCGGATCCTGGGTGGACGGCTTCTCCTTAATTATAATGCACTAATATTGCGTCGCTGGAATGGGACTCGCACGTACACCCATGCACAGCCTGCATCAGAATCGAGCAGTCCGTTCTAATTTAAGAGGGCCACGCAAAATGCAGCAGCCCTCTTGTCTTGTCGTTCGCGCGCTGCGAGGCCGGTTTAGAATCAGTGTGCAGCCAGTCATTTGACACCAGGGCCATCATTTTCAGCGGTGTACGCCATGATAGTGCCACACTTGTCTTTTCCTTTCTCCTTCCTTTCAATATTCGTTTCCTATTTTTCTTCTGATTCGTCGGTCAAGATCTACTGCGGCGACATTTGTCCGGGGATTGCGGGCAGTCATTCTGGGATACCATTGCATGTTCGATCATTACAGCACATTTTGTATTCGGCCACAGGGGCCACTTGTTCATATTTTACTTCGGTACACGTTCTTCGTTGATTCCAAGGGCGCTCAGGAGTTCAGGTCTTTGATGCATCGAAGGTCCGGTTTATGCTATGGGTAACCTGGGACACTAGGTTCACTTTTGGTTGCGTGTCATGGACAGAATGGTTCGGGTTGATAGAGGACGGGAATATATATATCGATGGTCACATAATGGATTGTTGATCAGACAGCCGAGAAGAACCTCATGATTCTCCGCTGTAGCATTATATTTTGAAGCCCTCTATTATTGCTTTCCCGGGTAGAACCCATTTCACTGCGAACCGATTGAGATATCTAATTCTACCCTCCTACTAGTACCCAGTTGCCCTCAACTGAATATTCACCATCCGGCGCGGCGGCGACCGATGACAAATCAGAGCACATACTCGGCACAGCCACACTGCCCTGGTCGACCGCTCCCAGTCCCAAAGGCACCGCCTCAGGATAAGTATGAATCACCTATCACCTCCAAGCACCATCATAATGAAGTAATTCTCATCAAGTAATAGCATACACAAGCAAATCAGAAATCAGCATACTCTCCATGAGACTGGGTCATCCCGCGCACGGCAAAGCGCAAAGTCGTCCATCTACATAGGTCATAGTAGTACATGTAGCTCACTAGGTAAAAGAAGAAAAAGTAAAAGGTAAGGTACTTTGGGAGTCGTCGCCCCTGTTGACCCCATTCTGCAGGTGATGGGGATCGTCAATGGGACACATGCATTTATCTAGATTCTGGTACTTACTCCTTAGTACGTACGGATGCGGAGGGCTATGGGGAGGGTAGTTTAGATTTTAGTTTAGATAAGTGAGTGGTAGTGCGTGGGTTGGGTAGTTAGTTGGCTTGATCGCTCTCGTTGTATGTATAATTGTATATAAACTTATACCTTAGTCTACTGCGGAAGAATAAGGTACTTCTGAAGACTTGAATTCCGCAAAAAATGCTGGATAAACGGACATATGAGCACTACGGAATATAGACTATCTACCTAGTATCAATCAATCTACTCAATCCGATCCATTCCCCTTTCCTTCCGTCACGTCTTACTGTTTCTCTCCTCGAGACCGATAGGATTCACACCTCCGGAGAATAGATACACAAGACCAGAGCTTCTAGACTCACTGCAGGTCTCACCATCGGGTCCGAGTGGGCTTTGATAAACCCCCGAGGATGGAGTCAGGTACTGAGATTTTGTTTTATTTTTAAGACATGGCGTGCTGGTGAGGCACCTCAACTTCCTCATCGATGCTCAGTTTTTGCGCTGCGGCTGATGAGTGGTGATTTGAGCGGGATCGATCGCGATCGGGGAGAGAAGAAGTGGGAATTGGAAACTGGAGGGATCCGAGACGGCTGGAGCGGTGACGTCGTTTTGAGGGACTATGGGCTAGACACTAGGCAGTAGATAGTAGATAGTAGTCTGTCATAATAAATGGAAACTGTTAGATAGAGTAAGAGTCCGCGCAACAGCAGACACGCTTTGACCCATGATCCGAAAAGTGTTCCTTCGGTACTCCGTAGTCAGTCCTGAGCCTTTTTGCCTCTTTAGTCATTGGTCACTTGGCGTGTCTCCCCGAGGGGCTCGAGGCTTTTGAGTCTTGACGCTCGAGTCCTCCATTGAGGGATTGAGAGGAAAAATGCGGGGCGGATAGGTGAGTCCCGACAAGCCTGAGAAGCGCGGATTGTGGCTGACGCCAAACGGTCGGCGCGGACGCCGTGGCGTTATGGGGCCGCCATGAGGTTTGCACTAGGATCGGTTAGTAACTTATTCCCGTACCAAAGTCAGTGTAGTGTCACTAGTGTGTACCCTTGTATTGTCATTTTGTCCGATGTATGTATGGTCAAAAATGAAGTATATTACGTCTGAGTTCCCCGGGACCATGGATCACTGGAAGGTATGGACGGGACTATGGAGTAAACCCGATAGTAAGCCAGACTCCGTAACACTAGATTGATTCAGACACCATCGCTATCTTCCAGTATCCACACACGGAAATATTTTGACCTTGCTGCTGATTCGCTGATCGCTTTTTCCATCTAGCGCCTGTCCCTCGCTAACCAGGGAACAATAATGAATAAATGACAATAGGGGACAGTACTCTAGTAGTCTAGCCTAGGTAGTTGATATTGGATATGGTATTGATAATACCCTTGGGGCTTTGTTCGGTTTCCCGTCTGTCAGCTCCATAGTTCGTACTTCGTAGAACCCGCCAATGACATTTGAGTCTTCTCATCACACAACCCGGAGGCATTCATTGGGAATGACCTAGGGAGTAGGACGGAGACTATGGAATGCTATAATTGGTACACTACTGGCTCAGAAACGTCGGAGAAATTCCCAATGGACTAGAGTTATCTATGCGCCATCCTCCGTATGTCCGCATGCTCCGGTGCTACTGGTCGGCAAGTAAAGCAGAAACGCAAAGGAAATTGACCCGGCATTCTTGCAAGTGAGCTACTACCGGGGACGAGACCATTGACGATGGAAGATCTGAGAGAGGAGATCGGTTATGCAAGTGTTCGGAGATATGGAATACCTGGAAGGGAGCCTGCGAGTGTCAGGGACTACACAGTACTGACCAGTATGGCAGCATCTTACTCTTCCGTAGGAATAAACTGCTTATGTCGAAAGGGATGGCACCTGGGCTATGGGATCGGCCTGCACCGCCTTCATTATGTAATAACATTGGGGTTGTACAAGCAATGATAATCGCTGTTTTGTGGCGTAGATAGTGGCAGACATAATTTACCCCCCTCATGTCTGCTTTCTATCGATCATGTGTGTCCCTTGCATTGTTCGAGTTTTGAATATCATATCAGATGTTTGATCCGTTGGGAAGCAATCAGACGCTATGGTCAGTTCAAAGCTTCAAAAGCGGATGGCCATTGCGTACGCCTGTATGCATGAGCGAGCTATGATGTAATCCTCATCGGTAGGGCTGACTTTTTTCTTTTTTTTTTTTTTTTTTTTTTAACCATTTTACCTAATTGCCATAAGTTTTGCTGTGGAGAAATGACAGCTTTTTGGTCCGTAACCAGTCAGAAACTGGTAAGTATCAACTAGGTTATTCTGGTATGTGCTAGACTACCTACGCTGTAGACTCGGTACCTACCTACCTAAGTAACCGAAGTCTCAGAGGTAATAGGAAAAAAAAAATTGTGGCATTTACTCAAGAGGTTGCATTTGCATCTCCGAATTCCCCGCAGAATGCCACTTTACATATTTGTTTACTGCCACAACCACTAGGCCCACCCCACCCAGTTATATGCAGTGTGGTCAAAGCAAAACAGAAAGTAAGAAGGTGTATCTATTAGCTATTTATCTACCCACTGGACTGCTGATGACCGACTGATATCTTTATTCGATGGAACAACCATCCAAGAAGTACATATCAGGCATCATTCATATCAGTTGTCTCCTGCCAAATGCAGTAAAACCGTAACACAGGGACCTACAGAGTAAGCTTCATTGCCCATCCTCTTCTCTTTGGTCGTTGTTGATCCTCCTCCTTCTTGGGCCTAATGTTCGGCCAATGTCCCATATCGTTGGGCCCAAGCCAATCAATGCGGAATGTCAGCATGTCGATCGGCCACGACTCACGCTAGATAAGATGAAGACCACAGAGTGTGACTTAGACCACCAAGAACCACTTTCTTGGACTATCAAGGCCCACTATCAAAAAAGATATCGATTTCTTTTGTGTTAGTACAGTTATCGAGCACCTCTACACCCAGACTACTGAGTACTGCTAGCCTCTGCCTACGACTTCTATTACTAGGTTGTTTATTCATGGATCACAGGATACTCGGTACCAAACAATCACTCAATGTGTAGTACCATCCGAATGTCCGAAGTCACTCGACAGAGGCGAAAGCGAGCGAGCGAGCGCGAAGACTCTTGGACACTGATGGAGATTATATTACTGACCTAGGACAGTCGATTGTGACACATCTGATTGGCGGGCTTGCCTAGTCAAAGGGAACAGCTCTCATTGGCGGACTTGGGATCTCTGCTCAATGCTGATTGGCGGGTACTTTAACCGGCCATTGACAGCTTTCATGCCTTAGGCATACAGCCATTACAGTACCTATTTAAGGATCCTCGTTCTTTACCGTACAGCATCCCCACTTTTAATTACCCATGCCGCAGTACAGTACCTATCGACGTACTACTCCCTACCTACGAAGTATGCTCTTGATAGAACCACATACTATCCACTATGGAGTAGGGACACATCATCACCGAAGTGACAGGACGGTTAAAATAGCGGTATATATAGAAGAAGCAGCATAGACCCCCGACAAATCAGTTAGGCGAGATTAGACAATTCAATGGACCGCGCCTAAGACCTACAACTCCCCGCCGGCGTAAAACTGATAAAAAAAAGCCTCCAATAGAGATAGACCTCTCCTCTGGTAACGTGCCAAATTGCCAGTCAATCGACGAGTATCTGATGTTGGATGGCTTCGCTGTCAATTGCCTAGATATCCTTGTTCCATGGACGCTCTGTGCCACCTTTAAGCACGTACGACTCGGTGTATCTGTGCCTGTTGTCAACCCTCTCGAGTGAATCGAGTCAGCTTCTGCCTACCTAAGTCTTGTAGAAGAGAATACAGATCAGTACTGTTGTCACTTGTCTATCGCCGTATCGCCACAACGGCAGCCATGCCAGATCCAGATAAGGTTGGCCGACGTTAATTCTTCTTGCTGAACCGATGCAGACCATGTCGCTACTGAATAATGATATCCGAAACAGTTAGGATGAACTCTTTTTTTTTTTGATTGGGGACTTCCAGAGATTACCCAATCTCCTGTCTGAATCGCCCCTCTCATTCTATCACATCATCAGTGCTTCCATAGTTCACCTCGCAAGCTATTCATGGTCTGATTCAAGCAGCGGGTGGCGTTCTTGTTTCCGGGGGATTCCCTATTCTCCTCGAGAATCCGACTGGTAGTACTTGGGAATGACAGTGAAGGGGGAAAAAAAAGGGCATCAGAAGCAGCAAAAGGCCACATCCTCACTTCTTATATGTACTACGGCTACACAGAAACAGTCAGCAGACATACGACCGAGCCAGCGGACTCCCCCATACATGAACCTGCTATGCACACTGTACTTGAGCGAGTGCGTCCATTTAGAGGGAATCCCCTTTCAAATACCTAGGTCTCATCGCATGTCTAGTTCAAAATGTACCTTTATCCGAAGATGCTCCTCCTACCAATAGTCCCATGGGAAGGGTGCCTGGAAGAGAACCGTTCTCTGTGTTGTACACAATAAATTACGGGTAGGTCCCCCATTTCTTCTTCTACCTCGTTCTCTGACAGCATTCGGAGGCTTGAAAGATTGGATGGTTGTGGATTGACATCTTCCCAGAGTCTCGGGTTGTTGTGACTTGTGATATGGAATCCATATAGATCAGTATGGAAGCTCGGGTCGTCCAGAGTTAACGGTCCACCAACGGATTCGGTCAGCATGGTAATTCAGCAGTGATGTCATAAGTGGTTCAGAAAACAGAATTTTTTTCAGTTCTGTCCAGAAGTCCAAATTGTTCATCAGTAATTTTTGCTTGTCAATGGCGGTTGTTTGATGTTTCCCATGGGTGAGCCAAGGTGACATAAAAATTGTAAATTACACTGATGCAGACAATACCAGGCCTAGTATCTACTGGTACGTTCTGGATGCATGTAATGTACCCAATCAACGGCTGAAATACCTGTACTGTACACATTGCATAAAGACACAGCGGAAGATCATTTTACAAATTACCGAGTCTCCACCCCTCTTGTCCTCTCCCCACCGATCCGGGTCATGTCTGTTTGACTCCGTCCCAAGAAGTGATCTAAGCGGTCGAAACCTTTTTTTCTTACATTATTTTTTTTTTATTTTTTTTTAAATGTTGCTTTCTTTTAGTGGATACACATACACAGTAGTTACCTAGGTAGTAGAAAAGAAAGGATTGAAGGAAAAGAAGCAAGAAGGAATTTATTAAAACGGACCAAAAAAAATATATGGGCTCTAGAAGCTTTCCTCCCTCTGCACAGGGCCACGACGACTCATTACTACTAATAATTGTTCTTTTCCTCCCCTCTCTTTCAATTCATTATCATCTCGACATCACCACGTTGTCCATGTGGCCCCTTTCTGTCTAATATCACATTCTTCTTCTCCTCCAACTCTCCTGGCCAGAAGAAGAGAGAGAGAGAGAGAGAAAATCTCTTTTCTTAATAATCCCCCTAGGCTGCTGAGCTTTCTCCTTCAGTAGTCAGTCCTCATTCTTCTGTCACTCCACAGCCCTGCCCGCCCGTCCATCTCATATTCCACTGTTATTGGGGGCTCTCGCTACCACCCACGATTCAGACTGTTCGCGCATTCGTCCGGTATAATTCCATTATCAAATCCATCTTTTGTTCGCCCCTCGTTATTCATAATCGCTCTGTGTGGATTGTGGAAAAGGATCTCCCCGCCATTGACGCGACCTCAGCTCAACACACATCATTCAACGCCTCTCTCCTCGATTTGCACCCTTTATATAAATCACTCATGGTTCTCGTGGTGTAATATCTCCGCGGTCTCTACCATCTGTCTCCTCCTTCGAGCAAGGAACGTTTCTGTTGCAACCCAACGTCTTTCCACATCCCGCATTTACAGACACACGCACACCACACACAGCACGCACTTGGATCCCTCGCTTTTTTCCCTCATGGACGCTTAAGCTTAGGCTACTCTCCTCACCCCCTCTCATCTTCGTCACGTTTCCGTTATCAAGTGGCGCCAAACGCGATTTCGACGATAGAAGCATCGATAGGGATCTTCATCAACTTAAGCCGGTCCTCCGTTTGATTGCAACTCGGTGCAAGCAGACTCCGGCCGAGTGTGATTTCTCACATAACTCTGCATCACAACCACCCACTCTCTCTCCCAAATATTAGGACCTCGCGCTTAATCCGAATGTGAGCCCTACTTGCGCTCCATCGTTCACGACTCCTTGATCTCTCAAACGACGACCCTGTGTGAACGATCAGATCCCCTCTCACATCAAATTTTCACTCCACAATGTTCCGTAACAGGTATGTCGGCGTTAATCCGCAGCCGACGCAACAGCCGATTGCGGTTTCTTGACTCGGAAATGGATACTCACCATAGTGCAGAAAAAACTCCCAGAAGCCCGATGAGGAGCTCATCCAGCGATTTCAGAAGACATTCTCCGATGTAGTCCCCTTGGACGCTCAACGCAATGGCCCGTCTTTTGTACAAATGCCGCCCAATCAACCCACCACGCCAGCGAGGTATGTGATTCCCTTTTGTGCTATGATTTTCTCCTGCCATTCTGGTCATCGGTGAACCTGTATCTTGTGACAATATCTAACTTGAATCGTGTTTGGCTGCCCAGGCTTATGGATAACGGTGGGTTGAAACTCAATGACACAACACCGCGCGCCCCACAAGACTTGCGATTTACGCCTTCTTTTGTCGATCCGAACTCGATATCATACATGAATTTCCATGGCCAACAAGCAGGCTATTATACACCGAACTCGGGTGGGTTTGGGCCATTGTTTCATAATCAAGCAGGCGACCTGCACACACCTGGCATGAGCATGATCACACCCCTCTCTCTTACCCACCAAGTCGCCCCAGCCATGAACAGCGGTGGCCCGACCTTTGGCCTCGATCACTTTGATCAGCAGTATATGCATTCACACTTTCACAACCCGCAATCGTTCGCCCCGCAAGCGTCATTTGCACCCAGCGCATTTGTACATCGTGATTCAGGCTACGATGCGATGGATGAATCTGTGGATGAATTGTCTCTAAATGATCTCGATATGCAGGGAAATCAATCGTCGCAGTTTGCCGCCTCGACTACTCATACTTCCGATCACTCAGCTACCCCAGGCCCCAGTGAGCAGTAAGTTTGTTGAACTCAGAGAGGGAAAAGAAATCAAGAGAAGCTAATGCAATTGTAACCAGGTTTCGTTATCATGTCACACTGCGTGCTCCTACTGCTATGGTGAAGCATCAAAACGAAATTCCCATTTCATATTTGAACAAAGGACAAGCCTATTCGGTATCTGTAATGGACTCGAACCCGCCACCAGCGAATGGACAGCCAGTGACATATCGCACGTTCATCCGTGTCTCATTCCAAGAAGAGGAGCAGAGATCGAAGCCTGGCGCCTGCTGGCAATTATGGAAGGAGGGACGTGGCTCGAGTGAGGCATATCAGCGAGGCGGTAAACTTCAGGCTGTCGAATATGTCGATCCGATCCAGGGCGGCATTGAGGATCCGAAGCAGCGCCAGATCCAGCTTGAGAGTGCTTCATTCGACGGATTCTGTGTGACATGGACGGCAAACCCCGCATCAGGATTGCCCGAGTGTTCAATCTCAGTCAGGTTCAATTTCCTGTCCACGGATTTCAGTCATTCCAAAGGTGTGAAGGGTATTCCTGTTCGATTATGCACCAAAACACAGATTGTCTCTCCGGAATACACCGATATGGCAAACGGCAACGATGCGGAAGTATGCTTCTGCAAAGTCAAACTTTTCCGTGACCATGGCGCTGAGCGGAAGCTATCTAACGACGTAGCCCATGTCAAAAAGACGATCGAGAAGCTGCGTCACCAGATTGCACAGGCCGAAATGGGCGCTGGCAACTATGGAAAGCGCAAACGGGCTGGCAACTCCACCTCCGTCAAGAACTCCGACCAGCGACCCTCCAAAATCTCGAAACATAAGAGAACCTGGTCAGTAAGCTCACAAGATGGCGAGAAACTCTCCCTAGAGGACGACCTCCACACAAAGCTGGCTACGATGCAGGATATGTTCACATCTACTCGGCCAGTGAGCATTCTGGGACTCCGGGGTGATGAACAAGATGATCCCGACCTATATCCTGTTGTATTGCCTGGCGACTCGTCCGATCAGATCAAAAAGGAGAACGCCCAGAAGCCCGGTGATCCCCGGCTGAGTATCGATGCCTCCGCATATACCCTCTCTCCGACGAGCAGTAATGTCTCGATTAACTCGCCCTGCCACCCCGCAAAGCTTCAGCAGCAAGGCCTCTTCTATGATTCAGGCTACCAAGGCTCGCTTGGAAACTCAAGGGAGAATTCACGTCCTGGCTCTGAATTTTCCGGAGAGAAGACCACCCTCAAGCATCCCATCAAAGTACAAAGACTATCGGGGAACTCGACCATGCCCATGGGATACATCGAAGCGGTGGACATCGATCCGACCTACAGGCCGCCTGCCGAGCGTGTCCCAAAGCCAAGTAAGTTAAACCCCAAAAGACAGCAATAACGATCCACACAATACTAACGGAGACTAGTTGCATGCTTCTATATTCGTTTCCCGGCACAGACCCAGAATAGTGACGATTACTATCGTGCTGTCTATCTGACCGAACGAACCGTTCGCGATTTGATGGAAAAGATCTCCATGAAGCAGAAGATTGACCCACAGCGCATTGTACGTGTCTTACACGTCAAGCAGAACGGGCTCAAGATCATGGTTGATGACGATGTCGTCCGTGAGCTGCCCGATGGCCAGGACATGGTTGTTGAGATCTCAGAAGCCACCGCCTTCGACAACGCTGTGGCGAACAGCAGCGAGAACCTGAGGCCAGGGGTTGAGGTTAAACTCAGCTACTGATCCTGACACCGGCCTTTTCCTTCTGCGTCTCATACTATTCCTACGGATTATCCCTCCATGTGGCCTCGAATATGATCGGCCAATGACCCTCTTAAATGGCGGAACAAACCGAAACAAAGATAAAAACTACAGAAATTTCAACAAAAATCGCCGGTCAACGATTCAGACTCCGCGTTGAGTCTGATCCCCCGCCTTTTCTTTTCTTTTCTTTTATACTTGGCGCCTGGTGCGTGAGCAAAGATATGATACTAATTGCAGGGTCCTGTCTCCTCAGCTCTGCGATGTCTTTGCTTTTGGTTTTTTCATTTCTAATCTCCTTTGTACTTTGTGGGCTTTGGGATGCCGGATTCTTTTTTTTGCCTTCTGATCTCATTTTAGGGCGTTGGTTGCGGGGATAATAAACGAGTTCCCGGGCAATGATACCCTGTCGCGATATGATTGATTGTTACGTCGTTATTTTTCCTCTTTATTTTCCTTCGTGTGCCATATCTTTCGTGCGAGCCTCATTTTCCTTACTTCAAAATTCCGCCATTTGTCTTCTTTGAGGTTCCTTACTACTATTTTCCTTTTCCTTCTCTGGATTGTGAGTTCAGGAATGTTGCTTGAGGGACGACGCACACGAGATAGATACCCTGTGCCATTCTGTCGCGGTTGTTTCGTTATCTCTAATTCTGTCAGAGCGCCATGTGGGCTTTTCTGGGCTTTAAATGGGGAGCATCTCCATTGCCGACTTGCTGTTGTGTTGGCAAAGTCGGTGGTGCACTCCTTTGTTTGCGATGGGACTTGACAATCGTCCCGCATGTCCAAGAGAGATTCGCTCCTCTGGATCTAAACGACGGTGGGCTGGTGAAATCCTCCTTGATCGGAATCATGGAGGTGAGTCTTTTCGTTGTTATGTTACATGGGCATAGGCACAGAATACGATTGCCTTTGCTGGCTGAGATAATACAGTCTGAAAACTTTTGCCGGAATTAGTACCTGGCAGTAGAGACGTCACAATCTCTCGAAGTGTCAGCAGAACACTACTTAGGTCTTAGAGCAGCACTCCGCCGAGGTCGAGATAGATCAGCTCAGTAGGAGGAGCCCTTTCAAAACTACGAGGGAGAGTATCGGTGAGCAGAGTCCAAAATGATCAATATGCAGGCGGCTTATTGTAACTCTGATTATTTACATGCCTGCAGAGCACATAGTAGAGACAAAGATGTTTAGTGTACTACGTATGTTGGAGTTAGGACTTAGGACGCCTGACTCGGGGCTGGGCGGGCTAGCAGGACCCGCCCAAGCACATTATAGTGGCTATGGTCTGTGACTGGCTGGGCCGCCTACCCATCTTCTCACAGTGCTCAATATCTCAAATTACACGGTCTGGTGCTGGTAATAATACAGCATGTATACTCTGTACCGTGGGTATTAGTTCGGCAACAACAAGCCATCCCCCTTTTTTTTTTTTCCTTTCCCCCTTTTTCCCCCCCCCGTTTACGTATTACGGAGTACCTCGGAGGACGATTCTGCAAGAGTGCACATGATGAGGCTTCTATTATATTACTCTTCCAGACCAAACAGCCCCGATAAATCTAAGAAGGGAAGTCTACGAATCATCCGATCGGTTTTTTTTTTTTTTTTTTCTATGATCTTGAATCGTCTTCTCAACAGATCTTCCTGATTGAGTTCGTTGACATCTCCCTTCGAACAGATTGTTCGACCCGAAATGAGTGTAGAGGAGACTCGTATCTTCCGTGTCCGGAAGTGGAGACCATCCACTACGGAGTATGTGTTCTCGACTTTCCACCGCTTTTACCACTTACGGGATTTGGCCGGCATTCCAGCCTTCCGGATTGCTGTTCGCTAAATAGAAGAAGGGGTTGGAAAGAAGCCTATCTCGTATCTACTGTGTCTGACTGTCCGTACTCTGTACTCTGGAGGTCCTTCTCTGGGCGAAATAAGCGAACATTTAGTGCTATCTTTTTCTTTTTTTCCCTTTTTGTTGTTGACTTGTTGTTGATCACAGTCTCACAGAGGAAGAGCTCCATTTTTTCCTCCCCCGGGACCTTTGCTTAATCGGGTAGAGTCTTCATGAATTTGTATATCTGATGGTCTGGCTGGGTCCTCTTTTTCTTTTTTTTTTTATTCTATGATAGTGTCCACTGTATGGACATTACATAGCTAGTCCGTAGATACAGTATCACACTTCGCTTCGTTGACGATATGTATAAAAGCCACTGTTCCACAAGACATCGGGAACTAGTGGGAAATGCAGTCTTCAAATTCTACCTGGCAGTCGAAGAAAAAGGGGTGGATGATCCAGATTCCAATGGTACGTAACCCATGGCTGGGCTAGTGGTTGTGCTCTCTGATATGACCTTCTCTTTCGATGGAAGCTTCTTCAACCAATCGGTGCGCGCTCTCTGGGATCATTGGAAGGGGGGTTTCCCTCCCCTACCGATCTTGCGGGATGGGCATTTGAAATCGAACTTGCTTCTGCTTGATAGCAATGATGGGCTGGGAAGTTGGTTGGGATATGTCGATTTGTTTTGTATCTCTTTTTCTCTCCTCCCTTTTGAGTTTTATGACTCTGTTGTCAATAGCGATCATCCTTGTCGTTTCGATCCTGAAGGATTAAGATTAAGGCCCAGGCCAGACCAGCACTCTCACTATCTAAGCGAGATTTCTAGTTCCCCCCCCCCCTCCAGCGCGATCCATGCAATATACAGAATTCCGAATGAGGAGCTCTCCGACCCTGGTCCTGGCCCTGGCCCGTGTCTTGCTCGTGACGTCACTCCATTCCACTAGTCTGGGCTCCCGCTGCATCCTGTACCTTGTCATGATGTCATTGCATTCTTTTTCATTCTCTGGAGTCTGGAGGAATGGTTTCCTCCACGCGGGTCGTGCCGGGGTGGAGCCCCGCTGGGAAAAGTAAATTACTTTATTACCATACGACTGTTTTACAGAACGCTTGTTTCTCATGCTTGGTGGTATTTGCCGTATGCGTAAAAAATGAGGTTATTGTATGGAGGATAATAGAGTACCTAGACTGGTATACCTGGGAGACCCTATCGTCGGGCTCTCCCTATCTGGCACGTTCTCTCTAGAGCTGCATGCTCACATACTCATATAGACTATCTAATGGTAAATCCTACTCGTCTCCTCAATATATGCTCTTCGCAGGTTACACACAGTTCGGAGATATATCCCAGTCAAATCGACTCACTGTCCGAAACGACACCTTTGTACAACATCAACGTACACTGTACACACCTACTTAGGTAATACTAGTGCAAGGTTTGTGCTATGGTAAAACCCGTCAAAGAATCTCAAAATCAAAGCCTCTCGGTCTTTCTTAAACAGCTTGGTATGGAATGATAGGCAGGGCAAATATGCTTAAATCTAAGGTCTGACTGCAGAAAATCGGATCATCGCCGCGCGGTTCTTTGTCATCTTTCGACTAGGCGGTTTGGCGATTGGATAGGCTTATTGAGATTTACTTTACTGGTCATGGAGCGGTAGCAATCAGATTATCCTATCCTGATTTATGCTGCAGATTAACAATATAGTAGATTGAGTCATGTATCTTCTAGCATTGTCGTCGTAGGCTGGATTCCTTTTGGTGCCACCACCCTTCTCGGTGATCTGATCACCTGCAACTTTTCTCAACGGCATAAGCATAGCTGGTACGGCTTCTTGTTTGACGACGCTTGTTCAAACTATCATTATACATGGTTATACATGTCCTCTAAGGGTAGAATTATTGGTGTTGTTATCTCACAGTGGTCGGCTCCCCTCTGTACGCAGTCATCCAAGGTGGTCTCATCATATATCTACCATCACCAACAGCAGTTGCGAAGGTCAAAAGGATAGGTGAGGCATGGTCCCCTTCTCTGTTCAGTCATGATGCTCAGTAGATACTTGTACAGGCGAGGTTATCCCTAGGCCACAAGGCACTTACTTCCCTTTCACAAGTGTGACTGCCTGAGGTTGCACCTTCCCTATGAACAAAGCAATTGTCTGCCTGAGCAACAACACTGAGTGCCACTCCTTCCTTCCTTTGCTGCTTCTGTCTTCTTCTTATTTCTCCCTCTCCTGTGTTTCTCTTCTTTTCCCTTCTTCTCTCCTCATAATCCTCTCCTGCTATCTTGAACTTCACTCAAACCTTTCTTTGACCAGGCGTTTACTCTCCACTTACCTCTCAAACACTGCTGTCTGAGCGTCGCTCTCTGAATCCAAAGTCCTTTCAAGTTCGAATCTGACCAAAATGTTGTTGATTACTTCCCTCAACGTCATGTTTTTGCTGGCTGTCTGGTCCTTCGCGGCCTTTGGCATCGCACATGGTAAGTATCTTTTTCATCATGAGGTCTGCTGGTCGTACAGACTCGAGATTCATGTCTGATATCTTTTAATAGACATAGATGGCCTCGATATTGTTGACAAGCGTTCGATTCTGAAGTTCACCGATGGTGGAGTTCCTGCCCACAATTGCGTTGACGACGTTGCTAATACCAGCATAGACATGGAAGCACCTGCTTTGCTTGACCTCAAGTATATTCCTCGTGCTGGTGAGTTCTTCAATCCTCTCTTTTTGCCATTAGGACCCCTGAGATAAACTGTCCATTTGCTAACATACCTCTAGAGCCTCTTACCGTCACCGTCACTGAGACCGTCTGCGAATTCGGAACCACTACTTCTGTCGAGGGGACCATCACTCTCTCCATTCCAGAGACCTCCACCGCCGCGAGCACCACTGAGACCACTACCTCCCAGCCTACTGTGGGGACCCCAGTCCCGTCTGCCACTCATACGGTTCCCACCACGGTGTCTCATGCAACTTCGTCTGCTTCTTCCACAGATCAGACCACCACCCGCCGTGCGAGCTCGACTGGTAGTAGCACTGTCTCTAGCCCCGCGTCTAGTGGTTCTCAGTCTCCCACTGCTCCTCCCCTGTCTGATGTCGCTGCTGGCCAAGAGAAGACACATATGGTCTTGCTGGCTTGCGGCTTAGTTTTGGCGGGTATCCTGAACGTCTAAGGCGGTGTTGCTCTTTCCACCCTTCTCATTCCGTTGCCTAGAAGGGTCAAGCTCTATCGATGGAAAGTCAGGTTGAAGCCCTCCTAGCAGCATCTGGTATGACTGGTCATGTTTTGTTTTAATCTGAAGAAGCTCACCTGGGACATGTTTTCTGTTTTAACGGCCGAGGGGAATGTGGCGGTGATTGGCCCCCTACTCCCACTAATACTCCATAATATTGATCGCTATGCAATGGCATTCAAGGCGGCTAGTTCCCGCTCTAAGTGATCGAGACGTGAACTCTTCAGTAATATTAGCATTGTAAATTGTTATTACCACGGGTATCGTCTAAGAAGCAAACACATATTGTCCAACTAGTCATATCGTGAACATGCAACACATCACTTTACCCATAGCCCAAGGTTATATAGCACTGAACGATGCGAGGTCTCTAGCGCCCAGTGTTTGTTCCACCAGCAGAGGCGCTGCGGTCTCAGAAGTCCCTGAGACTGGACACGGCGCCTGGGGCCTCAAACTCCTGCGATCGGGAAGTAGAATCGAGTATGAAGACGAGAGGCCAGGGACACCGGCTCTGACGACACTAGGCCTCCGAATCACCAATCGATTCAAGTTCTTTGGCGAGGACACAGATCCGACAGCCATTGCCTATCCGATCTCTCAGCAGCCGCGCGGTGGTCACCTTGGCGCCGACGGTACGGGAGGCTGACGACGAGATATCGTTGAGTGTCGGTGCACGGGATCCTGGGAATGGACGGGGGGTGTGGACTCCGGACTGGCTGCCGTCTGAGTCCGCGGAGGATGCAGGGGGGTGCACATGAGATAGATGGAAGACATGTCCGCATGCGAAGCCGACGAGAATTTCCTTTTCTGTGTGCGACCGATGAGGGTTAGTGTTGAGCGAAAAAGGGCCGCAGTGCGCGGGTGGAGAGGGAACAGAAGAAAGAGATTTACCGTTGGGCTGGAAAGGGAGATGGCATCCGGCACACCTCCCTGCTTGGGCCGCGGAAGGACTGGATGACGTTGCTGGTACCTCTGTGTCGGCATTGCTTTGCGTTTCGTCCTTGGCGGTCGTGACGGAGACCGAGGACTGTGGCCGCTTTGGTTCGGCAATGTTGAATTTGATGCCGCGCTGTTGGCCCTTGCGTAGTGTGTCCATACCGATGGCGACCTCGCTCTGGAGGACCTTGGCGGCCCCCTGGCTGATACTCGCCTGGAGATCGTGCTCTCGGATCATGCGGGTGAGACCTTCTCTCAGGCCCTCAATTTCCAGTCCGCTGGGTATGCGTCTGACGAGTTTGATCGGATCGATGGATGTTCCGGCTTCGACGAGAAGGCCGTGGATGAATCGGGGTTTGTCCATGGAGTAGTCGAGGAGATCTTCCCAGAGATCGGGATCGTCCTGCGATTTGGCGAATGATATCGCCTGCGAGACATCCTTGAGGTCGGAGAGTATCAGGTTCAGCGCCTTTTTGGTCTGTCCCATCTTCGATAGCAGGTAGATGAGCTCGGATGTAAAGCGGCGACTCTCGCAGACGGTCACCGCTGTGTCGAAGGAGTACGCGGTGCTGACCTGCAAGAACTCCATCAACAGGGAACGGTCGTAGTCGGCAAATAGCTCCACGGCTATATCGGCAAAATTGTCCACCAATGCCTTCCCTTCGTCGGCCGCCAGTTTGCTTGCCGCATCCCGAATGCGAGCTCCATGACCCCTGCGAGGTTTCGCAGCGTTGTGCGGTAGCGATTCTCCTCGCCAGAGAGCACGCAGGTAGAAGTAAAGGAAAACAAGCCGATTCGCCTCTTGCAGTTGCGTGACCACGGTCTCTGGCCGTACAATTCCAGTGTATGCTTCGCTTACGAGAAGCTTGATGGGCTCAGCAGTCATTTCTTCCAGCTCGGAGATGGGGGCCGTTTTCATCTGTTCTTTAGACACGCGAATCAAGATAAACGCAGGAATATCATCAGAAAGAGCATCCAGTAGACGGTGTTCTTTGATCAAAGTCATTGCCGTGTCGGCATCTTGAAGCCGTATATAACAATGTAACGCTTCGCTATAATGACCTCCCACCAAATAGAGCTTGGCAAGGCAATTCATCAGTATGCGCCAGTCTTCTGTCTCAGGTGCCACCAATTTGGAATCCAACTGTGCCTCGATTGCGGTTGTCACGCTTGTGACGTCAAACAGGGTGAAGGCCCATGTGGCTAAGAGTTCACTGAACCTGCGCCGGTCTCGAGACACATAGTGGCCCAGAATTTCCTCGTATATGTTCGAGGACAAAGGTGGATGAAAGTCAACTGGAATGACATGAGAAATCTCGTCAAATTTATCATTCTTGATGAATGTCCTTGCCCAATATTCCCATCTTGGCGCAGTTCGGATAGCTTTCGCGCAAACCGTAGCAGCCTCGTCCCATTTATCCTGGTCAAGTAACTGTTGGATCCATAGCTCCCCGATTCGGCGCTTCTCTTGATCAGCGGCCGGTGAAACAGCAGCTCGACCAATTGTCATGATAGAAGATCTGTCGTCAGTGAAAAAGTCGCCCAGGCTACTCTGAGATTTTGTTGAAGAACCGGGTGCATTCTCCAAGATCTCTTGCGTGGTCCCTGCGGCTTCCGGATGCTCCTCGAGAAGCGTCCATGCTTCCTGATATTTGTCATGCGCATCTAGCCACGCTAGGCGATCTGAAAGATCCCTTTTCACCGCAACAACGGAGTCATATGGGCTATGGATGAAGAGTTTGGGTCCGGCACTGCCCGCAAAATCCTGCACCTCCTTCGACAGAGGTTCTTCACTCGGAATGCGCTTCGCAGCGAGAATGCTCGATGCTCTGATAGAGCCTTTGTCGCCACTACTCGTTGTGCTTCGGATACTTGCAGCGGAGCTGAACAACCTTGCTGGATACATAGTTGCATCCCACAGCCCATTACCTAGTGTCTCCAAAGCGCCTCTCTGGGAAACAGGTACTGATGTTTTCCAAGGTGGTATAACGCACATGTGATAGTCGGACGAAGTAAGATTCTCATAGCGACTAATGGTGAGCGTGTCGGCGCTGAGCTCTTCCTTGCTTTCAATGTCGATGATGCGAAGTTCCGGTTCAAGGCCTTTGGGACGCCGACGTGGTCCAGGATGAAGCACTCCGTGCTTGGTCCGCTGATCCGAAGCATCCTCGTCGGCCTCAATATATGCTAGAACAGCTATGAGATTAGGTGTATATAATGAAATGCCAGATATAACACAATCGGTTCGTAAACTGTAATCAGTTAGTCAGCGAGTGCCTCTTGATGTAGCATAGCAAACTCACATCGTGGAAACTTCAACGGATCCTATTCGCAGGTCTTTGTTGCTCTTACTTGGCCGGTCGGGATAAACATTGATGATCCAGACCGTCCCTCCCCATCCGACTACCAGCTTCTCCATGTTCTCCTTGGCTGATATCACTTGCGGAGGGGTAGGAGTGGTAAGATGTGATTCATCGTCGGAAAACTTTACATTAACCTCCCAACGCAGAGCATCTTCATCGACCCATTCAGCTCGAGCCTTCCATACACTTGCCATTTCTTCCCATCCAGGGCCGTTCGGACGGTCGATGTGGCTGATTCGTTTCCAAGCGAGCTCCGAATCCGCCGAATCCAGGTGCAAGTTCGACCTCATGATTTTGATTCCTTCCTCGTTGACCCAAACGACATATTTCCCAGACCGTGACCACTTGATCATGCTAATAGCACCCTCTCCGCTATGTAATATGGTGTCCTTGCCTGCGTTACCTCCCAAACCAATCGAGCCAAGCCAGCTCGAGGCTGCTGCGGCAGCGCCTCCTCCCATAGTTGTCGAATTGGTACTGGCGCCCAGCCGCCCTCCAGTGGTGAGGATCAAATCACCTGCCCGTCCGCCTGACAGAAACGTCCGGTCACTTTTGTATTCGGGTGATAGTGCGACTGCCTGAACAGGTCGACCGAAATTCCGTAACATGATGTCTTTTGAGTCCACTAAGGACGAGACACATACATGCCCATCAATGGATGAAGTCGCAATGTGAATTGCATTGGAGGGGGTAGCAGGAACGGCTGTGTGATGACCTGGTTTGCTTTGGCCGCGAAGACTAGCCGTGCTGAAAGACGGCCGGGTAGGTGGAGTCTGATCATCCGTAAAGGTTCTGGCCAAGGTCTCTGGTCTGATATTCGGCAGAGGAGGAGGAAACGGGGAGACCGATATGGATGTTACGCTTGCCGAATGCGCGTGGTAAACGCGGAGAGGATGGCATAGAGGTAAGGAAAGCACATGCTACGAGCGGTCAGCGAGTACGCCCGTCAAACTATTAGTTAGGTAGACTTACAATATTGCCATTATGCGTTCCAATAATCTAAATGGATTCTTAGCCCAGTATACATAGTTTGGAAATCATTCGTGTGCCTACCATCTTATCACCAGCGGTCAAGAACGAGCTGGTCGCGTCCCCGTTGCGATACACCGCACCCAAATGCTTTGTGAGATACAAGTATTTGAGTTGTGGTTCCTCCTCCTCCTCGTCCTCATCATCTTGATCATCTTCATCATCTTCATCGTCTTCATTGTCCTCATCGCGTCCTGAGTCGTCGTTGCCATCATCATCCTTGTCCTCATCCTCATGCGCCGACTGGTCAGGGTCGGAGCTCTGGTCACTGGTAGTTCGTTTCACCGAGTTCGAATGTGCCGGGCTGTCCTGATGGGCATCCTCTGTTGGCTCAGTCGCGCCAGGCGCGTCCATGGCGAGAGCCTATTTCCGTACCTGAAGCTGTTCGACTATCAGCACTGGTGGGGGGAATCATGTCATTGCGAGTAGCTCATAGACCTGGGGTAAGTTGGGGAGATCCGATGACTAAGCGTCCTCAACGGCTGATACGCCGCGGATGGAAACACTAGTTATGCAACTACGTTTGATTTGCTACACTCGAATCTGCACGGTATCGAGTAAATTTTGTGCTCTTACTCAATGGCCGAGTCTGTTTGAGAACCGTTTCTTATCCAGTCTGGGACAATGTTTGCCAGACCGTACGTTTGTTCAATCTGCAAAAGGCCTGCAGTAGCTAGGCTCTTGAAACAACCGCAGAGTCAGTACCTACATGCGTCATATCCTTTGGGCCTTCCTCGGCGAAAGGATTTCTTTTCTTCCAATGCCTTCCTCACTCAAAAGCAAATCAATCCCGGCGACCCATCCCAAGAATCGCAGTTGGAGAATCAAAAACAGCGCCGAAGGGGGGCTAGAACCCCCGCAGCACCAACATCGCTTCGAAGAGTGGCAGTGGAGGCCCAGCGGTCGAAAGACGGATTCTTATCCAAGGCTCAAATAAGAGAGCAAGGGCTTTATCAAACTAAGGTTGCAACAGTTGCGAATCTAAGCGATTACTGGCCGCTAACTCTTGACTGAAAGGAAGTAACAGCTTATGCCGTAGCGGAGCAATTCGACATCCGCAGAGTTCGAGAAATTCTCCAAGAGAAAGGTTACGAACCAGACCCGTTCCACACAGGGCTATATCCCCAAGTCGTCCATATTCAGGTTCCCATAGATTCGATTCGGCGTGTGAGTAATCCAAGTGCGACCGACCTGTCCTCCGATGAAGTCGGCGACATATTCGTTTTTCCTTCAGGCACTGTCGTGGCCTGGGCACTGCCCGAAGGGTTCACCTCTTTCTTGGCAACGAGGACGCTCCTCCCGGCAGCAGAAGGTGCGCACATAGAGAAATTGGAGACGGAGGATCTGGAATACGTCGAAGACCCGCAACGGGAAAACAGCAGTATTAAAGGCGATACCATCATACTTGGCACCAAGTCCAGTCATGATAGCTCTGATTCGGGCATAGGGGGCCGGCAGTCTGTAGATACAGTGCTCACGAAGGTGGCATTCTCGTCAGGGCTGGCTCGGAGTACGAAACTGGCGGTGCTTGAATCGTTGCTAGCCGACTATTTCAAGTCGACTCGGAAGATTCCGACACTTCTGTCGCAAGGTTCCCGCTTGCCGTATACTAGAGATTTTATCCTCCGCAAGACCGGCCAGTTACTGAGTGTACGAGCTCAGCTAAATCTTTATTCCGAGCTCACAGACTCGTTGCCCGATCTTTTCTGGGACAGCCGACATGAGCTTGGTTTAGAGGGCTATTATGAACAGGTAGGGAGAGCACTCGATGTGGGCATTCGCATCAAACTTTTGAACGAGAAAATGGATTACGCACAGGAGATAGCAAGTGTTCTTCGAGAACGACTTAGTGAAACACATGGGCTCCGATTGGAGTGGATCATCATTCTGCTCATTGCCGTGGAGGTAGGCTTCGAAGTTCTGCGGCTTTGGAAGGAAAGGGCCCAAGAACATGAAGCACGTGTTGAGCAGGAGTCTGGAGCTTGATCTCTTAAAGTCGCTTTCTAACCCTGGTATATCCGGATGGTGAAATCTGAACTCCCCGTTGTCGCATGTGAGTCTAGAGCCTAGATAGCTAGTTCCAGGTCCAAATATGATACCCCCTCCACTCTTCGGAATCAAGCTCCACGAAGACAGGATCTGTACAAAAGCTATGCCTTGAATGGACAACCCGTGTCGAAATCACACTCTCTATCTGGATCGGGACTGAAAGACACTTTACACAGCCCTGATAAGGCTGCCTGACTGGATGCTTATCAGCTGATGTAGTCACATGTGACGATAAGATTAGTCATGCGCTCATGACGGGGGATTCACGTGGTCCCAACATCATCTGGAGCTGTAGCCTTTGCCATTGAGCTCGAAAGTATCCTTTTGCAAGAATTATAATCCCACAGTGTTACCGGGCTACTACACAGAATCTTTACAGCGTGCTGAGTATCGTGTGTTGACGTGGATGGAAACTGACACCAGCAACAGCATGTTTACTCCTAGTGCTATCGACTCCACCGGGGGCTCCATACCGTCCCTGATACTACAAAGTATACCAGGGCCACAGCAAATCTTGAAGGCTCTGGCTGGTTCCCTGAGCGTTTCAAACCTTTCAGGAACAGAGAACGAAGTTGAACAATCTTCATATCAACAATGCCCCAAGCCAGAATTGAGCTGCCATACTCAATTCCATGGCCAGAACACCTGCTGCTTCAACCACCCCGGCGGACAGATGCTACAGACCCAGTTTTGGGATGCAGACCCGGCCATTGGGCCCGTTGACTCATGGACTATTCATGGACTTTGGTGAGCTGTCCCATGGTGCTATCAGGATGGCCTAGGCTATGACACAGCCACAAAACGAATGTTCTGACTTCCAATCAGGCCGGACTATTGTGATGGCGGCTTTGACCAATACTGCGACTCGAAGAGGAAATACAGCAACATATCTCTGATCCTGGTCGATGCAGGTCGGGCTGACCTGCTCGATTACATGGGCGATTACTGGAAAGACTTCCGAGGCGATGACCAGGACCTCTGGGAGCACGAGTGGAACAAGCACGGCACCTGTATTAGCACGTTGGAAACCACCTGCTACAACGACTACTTACCCCAGCAGGAGGTCGTGGACTACTTCAACAAGACCGTGGAAATCTTCCAGAGATTGCCCACCTACGAAGTAAGTTTTCACATATCTGCCTGCATTAGAAACCAGGGGACTGACAATAACTTTTTCTAAAGACCCTCGCCAATGCCGGCATTCTCCCCTCCCATACGGAGACATACACTCTTGACAAGATCCAGGATACCCTGGCAAAAGCACATGGCGCCCCCGTCACCGTCCGATGCCGCAACCGCGCATTCAATGAAGTCTGGTACCACTTCAATGTCGCCGGCTCCCTGCAGATGGGAGACTTCGTCCCATCAGAACCAGGTCTGTACTTCCTTTCTTCCCTTCTTCTCCCCTAAAAAAGTAAGCAAACTTACATTGCGACCACAGACGGGCTCAAGTCCAATTGTCCCGCCACAGGAATCCACTATATCCCTAAGACACCCAGACGCGAACCCTCCCGCACCACAACCGGCCCATCCGAGCCAACAAGCACCGGCATCCCCTTCCAGGGTATGGGCAACCTCCTAGTCTCGAACTTGGGTAGCCAGCGGGGCTGCATCATCAGCCGCGGGAAGTGGTTCGCCTCGGGGACATGTGCCACTTTCAAGGCGAAGAGGGTGACGGGTATGTTTCGAGCAACCAGAACAGATTTTTCTGTCCGGATGGCAGAGCACTGACGACGAGCATAGATGGTAGATTCACGCTGCAATCCAGCAAGGGGATCTGTGCGTTTGAGCGTGATGCGCTCAGCTGCGGCCCGCATATTACTTCCCCGATGGAGTTTTCGGTATGTCCACGATCACATCTAGATATTTCTCTGCTATTGGCAGTCTGTTGGAAAATAGTTGCTCACAGCATGCAGGTCGAGGATGGAAAGCTCTCGTATCGTGGAAACACGACCTTTTTTGCGGATAAGGTGCCCAAGGGCCAGACGCAGAGTAAGGTCTTCGCGTCGCAGGATGATCATCCTCTCAGCCTGGCTATCACTTGGAAAGAGCGTCGGTGATTTTTGGATAGTAACCGCTTTGCTTTATTACATGGGTTTTGGGCTGTGATAGACAGATATTGACGTGCAATCTAGACTGTTGTTATTCATGATTGGTTAGCTTAACATTTGGGATGCCCATCGTTATTAGGAGTATCTTTGTGACAATAAACAGAATGATCAATTTGATTTAATCTCGATTCCCCACAGCATGAATCATGAAATCTATTGCTCAAGTAAAGTACAGGTCATGGAGACAACCAAGGATTAATATCTAACGGGGATGCAGCGCGCCAGGAAGAAAACAAATCCCATTTGGTACAGTCTCCGGGAAGAAGGAACATGAACGTCGTAATTAGGCTGGAGCAACGCTAAAGGATGAATAGAAGCAAGAGAAGGGCAGACCTGCAGAACTCCGTTGTTGAAGATCAATGTGTTTCTTGCAGATCCCGGGATAGAGTAAATGTGCGAACAAAAAAAAAGGAAGAAAAAAAGACCGAGATGTAAATGGGGGGGGTGAAGAATGAAAACCCGAAATTTTTGTCACAGATGTCATTCACAAAGGAAGATAAAAAATTTGTCGTGGAATGTGTCATTGAAATTGTACATGAGTCTCGTTGTGTCGTGGCATTCTAAAGGCGGTCGTTGTCATATATATGGTTCCAGTCGTTGAATTTATAGTCATGAGAAAGTAAATTTGCGCGTTGGTCGTGAGCCATAGCCGTTGCATCGTCATAATTCCGTTGGGCTAGTGGCTCCCTTGAGGCATGGAGGCTGATCGAATCAGTCGGCGAAGAACTCCTTGGCCATGACATCCAAGGGTTGGTCGTCAGCCTGGAATTGGAAGGAGAAGAAATCGTCATTCATTGAAGGAACAGTGGAGAAGTTCTTGCTTGAGAAGAGGTCCAGTCCGGCGTCGAAGGTAGAGGTATTCGTATAGTCAGGGAAAGCGGCCATGTCACTCAGCTCAGGGAATTCATGTTTGAAGTTCGCAGAGCTGTCAGGGCTGATGAAGATATCGAGATCAGAGCCGTGACATGAATCGGCCAAGGTAGGAGCGGTGTGTGGAGACGACAGATCAGCAGCAGAAGTGGCGATCTCAGTATAGAGATCTGCATGTTCGATATAAGGCAACCCCGACTCTTCGGCGATCCTCTCTAGAGGCCGCTTGATAGGCGACGAAGGCAGCATTTCATCTTCACTACTGGGCGTGAGAGACCGGTAACTCTGATTCGGTGATGGCCGGTTTCCAAGGTTGTGCCCTGGCGATGCAGGAGGCGTGAAGGTGAAAACAGAGGGTGGTAACGAGTAATCGGGCTGGTTGAACGCGGGCATCTCTTCTTTTGGGCTTGGATCCCCGTGTAGGCTCATGTTCTCAAGAACTTCGGATGGTGGTGAATTCGGCGCAACATCTGTCCCAGACAAGGAGTCAAAGGATGTCTTATCAGCGACTCGCTGGCGTGTTTTGGCGGCTTTGTCCTGCCTTTCATCCATCTCCGGCCGGTGTTTCTTAGGACGACCGCGTTTTGTTGTCTTGCGCACAATTCCCTTGTAACCACCGATGCACATGCCTCGCTGTCGGTGGCGGGTCAAAGCATCGTGTCTAGCGAAAACGTTCCCGCAAAGGCATTCGTACGGTTTGTCTCCAGTGTGGATCTTAGCATGACGCTTCAGGTCATGTCCGCGGACGAAACACTTGTTGCAATGGTCACATTTATACTGGCGATCTCCCAGATGTGTTTGGACGTGTGACTTGATGTTTTCTTTTCTTCCAAACCGCCGCTCGCAACCAGGGTGAATGCAAACCCACTTTCCATCCTCTGGATCCGGGCCGGAGATGTAGGAAGCAATCTCGTCAATGGTGACACCGGTCTCTTTGATTGAGGCGTGCACACGGGCATCGAGGTTCAGGTTGTCTATGGACGCCACTCTGGGAGAAAGCTTGGGTTTCGCCGGCGAAGTGCTAGCGGGAAGACTCAAAGTCTTCTTGTGACTGATACGGCTGGATACGGCTGGGAAGATGGGGATCTTGTGCGCCTTTTCGTTATGGTCCTCGGGGCTTGGCATGGCCGCTAGCTCTGGGGAGGATTGGAAGGATGACGTTGCTGACGACGAGGCATACTGGCCTTGCGACAAATTCTCTGACTCGGAAAATTCAAAAGTGGAACCCTGCTGACTGCCAAAAGTATTAAAACTCTCAATTTCAAACGAACCTGTGTTATGGGGGGAAAGCATCTCGATCTTTGGTTGAGAAAAGGTAGTTCCGGCCACGCCCTGAAGGGACTTGGCCCGCTGCATGTAGGCCGCCTGAGCGGCCGAAAAGCGTTGCTCCTTGGAGGGAGTTGTCTGGACGTCCGTGCTATACTGAGCAAGTTCGGCTGTTTTCTTGAAAGGAGTTGTTGCTGGGGTAATCGGGAAATATTCTGATTCCAGTCGTGAGTCGGGAGTTGATGGACTCAGGATTCGCCATGGAGAGACAGTGGACTTACGCGAATTCGTCTGCTTGGGCGTATGTGGCTGATGCGAGGGGCTTACATCCGAGTGAACTGACAATCGTCGTGTATCCACTGAAAGATTGTTTGTCTGGGGTCGAAGGCCATGCTGATAGATATTGAAAGCGCTGTTGTCGAGAATCTGGCCATCGAGCGCACTGTTTGCAATGATATGGGGATTGTGCAGTTGCTGCTGTTGAATCAGATTGAGGTTGCTGACCATGGGTCGGTTCCCAACGCAATGATTTCCGATGTTGACGAAGTCTGGAATCATATAAGCCATGTCCGGTTGATTCACGTTGATGCTCTGTCCGGACAACGCCTGCAACTCGTCGGAGGGAAACGACTGACATTCGGGCATCATAGGCATGGGGGTAAGTTGCTGGGGGAATTGCGACGATTGAGGGAATTGCTGATGAGGCGCTCCCCCGGCAACCATCTGGGGTTGCTGAGGCACTGCTGGGTTAGTAATGGAAGGACCACCATCTTGCATGGGACGAGATCGTTGGGCATGCACAGATCGCTGATCGAGACTCTGTCCCCGACGATGCGCCTGGATGCGCTGCAAAGCCTGCGCCGGGAGAGTAGGTACTTTGACGGCTTCCAGGACATTGGGGGTTGAGATCTGCCGGCGATGTTGTCGATACCGCTCGTGAAGGTTACTGTGCGGATTGGCAAACATGGTGGGCGAAGATCTTCGGAGTTCACTCGTGGCGAAGAAATGACCGATCTCGCGACTGGATCTATCATTTTGACCTGTAAGTCTCATGCAGGAACACCGCAGCAGATGTATAAGAAAACGTGCTGTACGAACCTCGGAGTAGCGCTAGCCGTGGCCGGGCCCAGCAGATGGGAAAAAACCACCCTGTTACAGTGTCAGTCGGTGTCCTGTTCAAGCAAGATCACAAACCGGAGTTTTTAAAGCGAAGAAAGGAACGAAAGCAGTAGTAGTAAGAAGTCTTAGAGTCCTTGTGCGCTAGTTTTCTAGTAAAGACCCGCGAGAATCAAGTCCGAGTTGACCGAAGGAAAGGCAAGATAGCTTCCCCGCGCGATGTCAATGGAAAGCTCTCGACGTGGAGTCTTTGAGAGAAGAAGAGGCAGAATGGGAGAAACAAAGGGTATTTTAATTCAAGGTCGGAACCAAGGATGGAGGGATAAGATGGGATGGGATGGATCGATAGCTGGATAGATAGCTCGAAGCTGGCTCCAGCGGCTCTCCCGATCTGCTCTGCAGCCCATGGTTCCGATCAACAATGGGTGGTGTTGGCCCAGCAACGCGGGCGGTTCAGGCGTCAGGGAAACCAACAACCCTCGGCATGGAGACTGTACAAGTCTGTAACCTTTAGTGGATCAGCGTTGGCTTGTGCCTTGGATCCAGTGCGGAAAAATCTAATCATTGGATCTAGAGCGAATCTCCGTAAGGCTTTGGATGATGCTGCAAGGAGCAGAGTGCAGACAGCGGCCCCCTCGCGGTTTTGAAGCCATACCGAGGGGCAATGGAAAGCCGCTGTGAGGGTTCGAAACATTAACTCTGACGGTTCTCCCTTCCTTTGCAAGGGCATCAGCATAGTTAGCATCAATTATAGGTTTGGTGTGGTCAATTATTTGATAGCAAGGACAAGACGCCCTGGTTGATGTTCATGTTTTTCTAAAGATAGTTAGATAGAAGTTGAGTGTTGCATCGTCCTTGAAAGTCTGGCGTCATCCTTGTCCGAGCGTTGATGCCTTAGATTCCAGGCCACGAGAAAGTGAGGTAATCGCCAAGTCTTCAGCCGCCTGTATCACATGACCCGAGTCCCCTCGGATACCGCAAGATAGTTAATCCTCAACTTCAACGCTACGCCGGAACAGGCAGGCTTTATCTCACGTGATCGCACAATCATTTTAACCGCACAAAGTCCTCCCACCTCACATATTTTCACGATCGCAACGAAGGTTGAGGAAGACAAGTCTTGTCGAGGTGAGTTCGCATCCCATACCCTGCTTCCTGTTCCATCGCCATGGGACACATGAATCTGCTATCTCATCTCGTTCCTGGTGCTTCGTTTGTACGAAGTATAAATCTGCACCGGAAGAGAGATGGGATGAATCCGCCAAAAGCCTCGATATCCTGAACAACCGATCTAACAACTTCATCTCTCCAGGCCTTCATTCAAGATGCAGATCTTCGTCAAGACCCTTACGGGTAAGACTATCACCCTCGAGGTGGAGTCTTCGGATACCATTGACAATGTCAAGTCCAAGATCCAGGGTACGTTCGCCCATCACTCGCTCAGAACTCTGCAGCCACGAAAAAAAAAAAAAAAAAAAGTGACCTCATTACTTACAAATCCGCACAGACAAGGAGGGAATTCCCCCAGACCAGCAGCGCCTGATCTTCGCCGGCAAGCAGCTCGAGGACGGCCGCACTCTCTCTGACTACAACATCCAGAAGGAGTCGACCCTGCACCTCGTGCTCCGCCTGCGTGGTGGTGGCAAGAAGCGCAAGAAGAAGGTCTACACCACCCCCAAGAAGATCAAGCACAAGCGCAAGAAGACCAAGCTCGCCGTCCTCAAGTACTACAAGGTTGACGGCGATGGCAAGATCGAGCGTCTCCGCCGCGAGTGCCCCTCCCCCGAGGTATGTGATTTTGTCTGTTTGCAGATGTGGTGACGACAGACACTGATTCGGAATGTTTAGTGCGGTGCTGGTATCTTCATGGCTGCTATGCACAACCGCCAGTACTGCGGCAAGTGCCACCTCACCTACGTCTTCGACGAGTCCAAGTAAATGGACTTGCCGTGAGAGTCATTCCGTCTCGAGGCTTTGGTTCGGTAGTGCGTGGTGATTGCCGGGTATTGTCGGGCTAGGTTGATAAGGAGGAATGGCGGTCGAGGTAGTAGCTTTACAATGAAAATTCAAATAAACATTGGAAACCTACCATAAAAGATTTTCCGTCCTTTTAGTCTCTTACCGTAGTCAATTATATAATCCGTAGAGTAATCTTACCAGCAGTCGCGTTTGATGCATGTTACTTGAGGCCACTCGTCTTGCACGACTATATCAAGATCAAAATCATTCCAAGTGTCGTTCATTATCAAGTCATAAGGTCCAGTAACTGGATGTCATGCTAAGTACATTCGTCTCAAAGATCTCCAAGAACATACCAAAAAGCTGCTCCTGGATCGAAGATTTCTCAAGCGAAGCCAGCCCGCAGGTTATCAAACCGAGACTCAGGGTACTCCAGCGCATTGGGAGACTGATCCAAAGCACCAATTCCGCCCACACCATCCACGAAAGTTCCAATCAGACTGCCATCAGCTTTCTGTGCCGCCTTGCCGCCCTTGTCCCCGGAGGACTCCCACCACATCGCACCTCCAAGCTGGTGCTGCTTGATGAAGTCGAGCTTTACCTCAGCCATCTGGACGGTGTCATACGAGACCATCATCCTGTTGGAGGGATCGTAGGACCAGGAAGCTCCAGTTGCATGGTCGAGGTTCTCCGTGGCTCCAGGCTTGGGGAGGGCTTTGTAGTCCCAAACACCTTGTTCCCAGCTACCCTCCCCAACCCCGGTGTACGGAGCGCCAGGACCATCGGTGTTCATGAAAGCACGACCGTAGAGAGGCATACCCAGAACGATCTTCGACGACGGCACGCCTCCGACTTGAGTGTAGTATTCAAGAGCCCGAATGGTGGAGAACGGAGTGGAGGCCGGATTGTTGTTCGAAGGGTAGAGGTTTGCCTGGTTTCCCGCGGCGCTGTCCCAGCTTCCAGCGTAATCGTATGCCATCAGATTGTAGAAATCAAGAAGTGGGGTCATTTCTTGGAGCTTGAGCTTGGAGTAATTGGTCGGACCTGGAGTTTTGGATTTGTTATTCAACATGAATGGTGAAATGTGTGAAGGAGCTGCAGCATCCTGTAACAGAGACTGTGCAGACAACATACCAGCAGGGCAGGCAATAGTCAAAAGAAATCTTCGGTTCGCATTGCCAGCACCGTCCAAAGTCTAGAATAGTCAGTTAGCATGGCGATTCCAGAGAAGATACATCCATTGAAGTAACTCACTTCACGACACTTCTGCAGAAGTAGCACAAAGTTCTGAGCTTGAGTTTCATCTGCACAAGGTCTCAGCATTCATTGATTGATTGATCGATTGTTCCCTTCACAAGAGAAAATAAAAGAGTGATTGTTTGACTGACCAGTAGGGTATTCCCAATCGATATCAATGCCATCGAAACCATAGTCAAGAACAAGCTTCAGAGCAGACTGTGCAAACAAAGTGCGTCCAGCATCTGTGCTGGCAGGCTGGGCAAAATTGGAAGAGTAGGTCCAACCTCCAATAGAGAGGAGAATCTTGAGCTTCCGGTTCTGCTTCTTGAGAAGAAATAGCTGCTTCACATTGCCGTAGACGTTTCTTGCTTGATCCTCCTGCCAGGAATCGCCGGGGTAGTGTATGTTCCGGTCAGACCATTCGTCGGTCAGGTACCTATCACCAAAGTCAGTCTGGCAGATCCATGATGGAGGTATAAAGCAGGCATTGCGTTGGTACTCACACTTCTCCCGAGTCGGGGCGGACATTGGCAAACGAATAAAGGACATGGGTCAACTTATCGGCAGGCAGATCCTGAGGAAAATGCTTGCGTCCATAGATGGCCTTTGATGGTTGTTAGAACACCGTGCTCAATTTGAAAACCAGGCGGGCACTCACCCAATTGACGAAGTAAACGACAGACTTGAATCCACCGGCACCCTGAAGCCAAACAGTGCCGTCTGCCACTGCCAAGTTGTTAGCAGGGGCCATCCAAGTAGTTCCATTGTCATGAACTCGAGGGAGTGCAAGAGGCATGGCAAGACCAAAAAAGACCACCAGCCAGACAAAAACACCACGAAGAAACGACATCCTTTCCACCAGGGAAAAGCGGCTTCAATTGAATGAACGAGAGAAGGATCAACCAGCAACTTGAGCTCTCTGTAGTAGTACAAGCGAATGGCGGGATGGGAGTGTAGAGGAGAGACCGAAGAGAAGGAGAAACAGCAGCAAAAGAGGGGAATTCTTATAATGGAGTGTTTGAAGCATTCTGGACTAAAACACGCGAGAGGAGAGTGAATACAGAAGAACTTACTTGGAATGAGTGTGAATGAATCTGAGCGATTTTCAGTATTGAGCAGGGAGTGGCAGGTATTAAGAAGAAGTAGAAGGCACCTAACAAGAGAGATTTGGTGTCGACAGTGAAGAACGCAGAGGGTCTAGACTGTGAGAGAATCAAACAGGAGAGAATAGGAACAAAGACACAAGAACAATCTTATATACTAAATTCACTTCCAAAGAAAAGAAAAAGAAAAGAAAAAGAAACCACTTGATTGATGAATGTAGATAGTATTCTGCCTCCTGACTGTTGGATGCTCTTCGAATTAGTCTATTATCGAACTGTATTTCTGCGCTTTTCTCCCGGTTGCCCGATTCGGGTACCGCCGCTTTTATGAGGACCGCGCGTGATCGATCCCGGCTTGCTCTTGGTACGTTCCGTGCCACTCACTGCTTGATCCCTGCGCACGCACCGATCGCTCCGAATGCTCCCAGATTGCTCTGAGCCTCCCAGAGCAATCCCAGACTAGCTATCTCCGCATTGTGATGACCATAATCACGTGACCAAACTATGGCCTTTAAACCGTGAGAGGCCAAGACATTTTGATCTAGATGTACATATCAGGTATAAATCAACAATTTCCCGAGGGCCTCCTAAGGGCAAGGGCTGGCGGATTTCGCCTGCTTATTCAACGTTGCCTTTAGTTCACCATGTGATGAGTGCTTCCACGAAGCTAGTCATGGAAATTTAGCTAGAACATTTCTCGTCCCAGGGTAAATATAAATACTAGCTATTCGCTTGGAGGATGTTCGCATCATTCAATCCCTCCTACACCCTTTTTACATCATATATTGTACTGTACTTCATACATATCTCGTTATATCCTCTCCCCTGCAAACAATGGCTAAACGCTCTCCCGAATGGAAGGCCAAGCAAGAAGAGAAAAGACGACAAGATCGCCGTGAGCGTCGTCAACAACGTGGATACAATCCCGAAGACCATAGACAGGAAGATTCCCAGCGCACGAGGAAAAGAGCGTCGAGAAAACAACGAGAGGTATCCAAGGGCTATGTTCGCAAATACGAAGAGTAAGGTTTTACCGTCCTCGACTTTGGGCCATTCTCATTGTGATCTGTTAGATTTCTTCAAGAGGAAAAGGGCTTGCCAAATGACTACAAGGTTGGCGAGGGACATCCAGTGCCGACGTTGGAGGAGCTTAAAGAGTTCATTCGCTGGTGGATTTCATCTACCAAGGGCAAAATTGCTCCGAATGGAAGACCTACTAGAGACTCGATCTTGAATGGGGCTCATAACTTCGTTCCTGGTTTCTTTCTCGCAACTGGGAATGAGATACCTTCCAATGATGCATCCGAGCTTTATAGCGTAAGCCCCCCTCCCTTTAACCAAACAGTGTCCTGACCACAACAGTTCATTGGGAATGACTTGGTTGACGATGGATACATCTCAGCAATCAAGAAACCACGATATAACTTCCAGCTTAAAAGTTTTGAGCGTGCTATTGTTGCTTTTTGGGGCACTGATGATGCCTTTTTTATGCCTGGGAGATATCGTGTTCAATTTCACTTCATAACTCTTCAGTTTCTATGCTCGGCTGCCAGAGTGTCTGCTCTTACTCCTGCATCAGAGGATAAATTCGAACGGGGGCTTCGTTACAAAGTGCGGAATATATTATACCCATGTCTTAAGCTTCGGATACTGACTGTAGCCAGGATATTCAACTTGTATTGTTCCGCACCGCAGATGTCACCGCAGATGATCCTTGAAGAATTGGATGGCGACTTGACCAACGGTTTGTCAAGGGTAATAAAGACCCGGAAAATACGATGTATACGGCCCATCCCATCTGCTTCTGCCCTCTAAATCTGCCCAAATGCTTACTATGACAGGTTCGGAACCGCTATCTGGGACTGTGATGAGCCCATTTACTCAGGGGCACTGTATATCCTAGCGCTGGCTCTTGCAGATGGCGCGCTCTGGGGATTCACTTATCCGGAAGAAGTTTTCGAGCAAAGAATCCCGGAAGGGGAGAATGAGCTAGTGCTCTCATGGAAGGATGAGGCAAGAGACCGATGTATCGTTAGAAGCGTCACAGCCAAAGGGGTCAGTGAAGATCCATTGGTAAAGGAGAAGTATCAATCAGACCTCCGCAAAATTTTGACCTGGATTAGCTTTTTCATTACAGCCACGGTACATGCTATGCGCCGCAAGCTAGGGAAGGCAGTTGCAGGTTGGTGACCCCTCCATTTTGTCCCATCTCTTTCTGAGCCCAGCTAAAGACCTGTGCAGCTAAATATGCCTCCACTCTTATAGCACAGGTACTTACACATGGCTCTAAGAAGATCTATAGAGACAACTACCTTGCCAACTATTCCAGTGTAGATGTGGTCAACACATTAAGGCGTAGGCCCACAGATCATACTCACCTTGAATATTTCTAAGGCTACAAACAATACCATGAGAACGGCCTTCCTCATCAGCTGCCTATGGAAGAGGAACAGAAGATCAACAAGCACCCAGATTTAGTTACCAAAGACCGGGAGATCAAAAATGCGCGGTCACCTGATGACATCAAAAAGTTACAGCAAGACCGTAGTGTCATTAGGCGAAAGCTCTATTCCAAAGCATTACAGGATTATCACACTCTATGGGTGCAGGGGCGACGTGACTGGAAAATTCTAACTTGAGGCCGAGAACGTCCTGATCATATTAACCCGGTGGCAGAAAAACAGGCTCTATGCAAGCTTATGCCTAAGTTAGGCCGCTTGGCGGCAATCATGTCGTCCAATGAGCCACTTTCTTTTCATGAGAAAGCAAGTGTGGTAAGGGATCTTTATACCCAATGTCTCCATGACTTTTCCATAGTATATCATCCAGGAGAAGAGCCTGTAAAAGGCCAGTGTCCAGTTACAAGTTGCAATAAAGACTTAAACATATAAGCAACCCTTTCTAATCCCATGAATTGCTCCCTTACTAATACATGACAGATTGCCAAGGCCCAGACAGAGCAATCATATTTCCGCTTCAACATGTAAAGTATTACTGGGAGTGCTTTACCTTCCATGATAGGAGGAGCAATAAGTTTAAGGAACATTATCAAGGTCACCTTCCATCAATGACAAGTTAGCACTATGAGGTGATAGTGTACCGCCATACTATCATACACATTAGATATTATATTAAATATATCTGGGATGACACAAAGCCAGCAGCCTGCAGGATGAGGGCTTTCAATAAAAGCCCTAAACTGAGAGAACATCTAGAGGATCACATTCAACTGAAAATGTGGCCATCAAAGTGTGTTAACCCGTCATGTAGCCACACCGCCACTGATGAGATGGACTACCATCGGCATCTTCATGGTGCACACCATTATCATAAAAATATCTGACTGCAGCCCGGGAAGAATTACAAATGATCCTCCTCTTCCCTAGATGAGACATCAACCTCAGACAGAAAGCAGCCTATAGAGCTGAAAGGACCCCACAAACATCAAAAAATCGCGTTGAAGCCATTACAAGGTGATAAGGGGTTAACATTCAAAATTTAGGAACCCCCTTTAACACAGCTAAGAGCTATGACACCTACAGTAACTAAGAAGAAAGATCAGGATGATCAATACACACAGCTTGTCAGGACAAGTGGCCAACCAATGTCCAAGCATCATTATGCGTGCTATATCCCAGGATGATAATCTTTCTCAATCAGCCTCAGTTAACCTCCCAGGACTGATGGATGATACAAGCACTTGCTCAAGCCATTCAGCAGCCTGTCCCACTCTGAGTGCAATCCCTATCAACCCACAGATCTTATAATCTACCCCCTTCATCATGTACCAATCAGTGCAATGAAATGAGGTGCACTGTACCTGTGATCCTGGCAAGTATGGAGAAAGTCACTGCGTTGGTGAACTAGCAGAGAGCAATATTTCCCATCAAACACCCCTGGCAAACCCTACACAGAGGGAAATTAATTGCCAAGACATTGCTTACTTACAAGCCAATAATATTCTCACTGATCACACAACGTCATCAACGCGGCTCAGCCGGTCAGATACTGCCCCGACAACCTACGAATCCAGACCGGCAATTAACTATTCCCACATGGTGCAGCAGGCTGCCAATATACATACCATCCAAAGCAAGAGGAAGGCTGTGAACTTTACAGGGCCCATTACAAGGGCCCGAACCAGGGCTCTAAGTAGGTCCTATCATAGGGGAACAGACCTACACACCTCATCTGCCAAAGCAAGAACCTACAGCCAGGAAGAGGACACCTTGCTGAAGTCGCTCATGCAGAAATTGGGTACACTCAATTCAGTAGCGCCAATGTTCCAAAAGCAGTTCCCTAACCAGTCTGCCATTTCCCTTCGAAAGCAGTGGTTGCTCATACGACCCTCACCTCGACATTCGACCAGGTCAAGGCTGATTTGAAAAGAAAAAAGACAAACAAATCCATTGTTTCTACAAGGTTGTGTGTTAACTATAATCCAGAATGGCCTAGTTCCATGTTATGATGTATCTTGCGCTGCTGAATCTTCAAAGACAGGTCTTCTACTGTTGGAAACATAGCGCACCCTTTTTGACCACTCAACATTGACAAGACAAGTGACCGCATATTGCACTGTATAATATAATAACAATTAGTTTTCACCTTATGTACAGTAGACATTGCATGGCTTACCGAACATCTTTTCCTTGAGGCTAAAACAGCAAACTGTTGGATAATAGATGAGGAATCCATCCTCCCTACTAGCTGCTGCGCGTCCAGCGTCTGCCATGTTCTTCTTTTAATGTAAACTGTATCGTCACACCCAACAATCGAGTCCAGATCTTCCCAATCGAGAGCTTTTGCTCAGCCCTAACCGATATGAGCCAGGCCGGAGAGAAGAGTTGGCCGCACCAGAGCCCGGCGATATGCCCTACGCTAAGTCTATCTGTGTAACTTCTGTGTTCATGCAGGGACCAAGCATTGGTACCAAGTTTGTTTCGACAGCTAAAGCTTTTGATCCCCTTTTGATCGAACCGCGTCTTTTCTCTGAGACGGAACCAATTGACAGAAGGGGCAATGATTCCCGCGAGTCTGTCAGTATAGCCTAAAAGAGAGGCCAGACTTGAACTATGCAAGCGCTACTATCCACCTTAGCATGAACGGTCGCATCTCGGATAAGATGTGCTCGACCTCCGAAGGGCCAAGTTGCATGGGGGCTGGCGACGGTACGTATACGCATCCTTGCTGAGTCTCTGAATCAGCCCCTGCCCAGCAAACAAGATTTTTGGTGAGATCTCCTGTGACTGGTGTACGCAAGACTTGTTGCGACGACACGTGCAGCACGATCACACAGGATCGGTGGCCCAGTGGCAAGGGCTAAGGCTAAGGACTAAGCGACATTGGTTAATGTATATAGTCAATTTGGCTATAATTTTAGCATCAGAAGCTCTGTGCTTACATTCCGTATATCTCTAGCCTCTCTATGGGGTCAGACGGCATCATGCATTGGGAATTTCATGCGCTTAATTCAGTAGTAGGCAATGGAACCTGGCATACATACTAACGTGTCGTTTAGTGGAGTACAGAGACTGCTACAGGAAATGTATACTTCCAACTTGAATCCAGAGAAAGGAGGCAGAAAAATCCCAGCTCTTCCCTGAAATTCGTATGGAGTATCTTGTCTAATGCAGCAGCCCTAGCCAAAGGAGATAGGTCTGGCATTTGAGCAAAGAGCGGCAACTTCATGCAGGGCCTAGGATAACCAGCCAATTGATTGAATCCCAAATAGCCATACAGCTTCGGCAGCGTCCATATTCGGCACGTCACACAGGTTCGGATAAATACATCCAGCGGAAGAAACCGTGCACTGGTTTGCCGTCAGCCGACTTGTTAAAAAGCGGAGCATGTCCTACTTGAAACATGTCAATGAATATTGAGTCGATTCTGAGCTTTTCTTTGTTATTACACTACCCTCTATCGAAACACGCCCTTCGCAAAAGCGTCTAGCAGGAATGCATTCACCGGTTAACTCAACCAGCTCCGCATTGCGCAGCCGCTGCGTCCATCTAGAGAGAAGAAACGAACGACGAGAGTATCGGTACGATCGCGCACTACGGCTTTTTGAAGAGTGAGAAGCCTTGAAGTTCGTAAATAGAGATGCGAAGCTGATGTCACCTTAGGTTTCTTGTCGAGACTGGCAAAGAGAGGGATGGGTTTCATGTCGAACATGACTTTCCTATACCGTCTCTCGCAGATTTTCAAGTGTTTATTTGATGGTATCTATTGTCAACTGCGGGAAGGAATGGGATACACCGCTTCCTCGGCCATACACTATCTCTTACACAACAGCTTCTTTTGGGGCTTGAGATTGTGTTGAACGAATCGAAAGTACGTTTCCTGCGGGCTAATGATGTCGCTCTTATAGCGGTAGTTAGGGCATAAGCTTAAGACTCGGGCGTCTTCATGTACAATATGTGTTTGGAAGCTACTGTATAAAGTCCATGTGCGATAACCAGAGACCGTTTATTGAGGCATGGAAAACTCAGACAGCCCAGATGGAATGTTGACTGATCGGAGGCATGGCTTATTTTGGGTTCATATATTAGCTTCCATGAACGCCAAATAGAGTTTGATGTCTGCTTGGTTGAGATTAAAGTAACGTCATATCCTTTCATGAGAAATGTGCTTCTGAATCATTTGCTTGAGTAGTTGTCATATAGTCCGTCTGTCGCGCTCTAAAGCACCACACGATCTCGCGTTATGGCTACCGGTCTTTTTATGCAACTTGTAGATTGAATTGGAATATCTCTTCGATGCGACTGGCTGGTGCCTATTACTAATCACGTGTCTTAGTGCAGTTTATACATACTTCATTGATGGCATTGTGATACCCGCCGCCCACAAGTCATCCGGTGCTTAGACTTTGAACTTTGACCGAGTATGAGCATGCATCCACTACCTGTATGAAGACTACATGCGGTATTTCCCCTACATTAGAATCTAGAAAAACAAAGCATTTCATTCTGCGGTCTCATTGTTTCCCTATCCAGGTGTTGCCGTATCAAGAGATTCGCTGCCGGCTGCTCTCATTCCGCAGAGACAACCACATTGACCACATTTCACAGTTTCGGGCCTCCATAATCATAGTATATCGATTATAATCTATCTAAGGGGAGTTAGATAGTTACTTCTATGTAAGGGAATGATAGACACACATAGGCACTATAATTTCTAGTCTGCCTGTAGTAGTAATACTCTGAAGGTAATGGGAATATATAGCACTAGATGCTATCACCAGGGAGGATTAAAGAAAAGTGCTTACTATATATAATGTATAAAAATCTCTGCATAGGCAAAAATAACTACAGAAGGGATATATCTTACTGTATAGACTAGGGAGGAGATCTTCTGCCTAAGTTAAGTATACCTAGGTTATCTATATTTCTATTAGCCCTGCTTGCAGTTGTGATTATGAGGAGATGTACTGGTTTTAAAAGCCTTATATATCTAGGATATAAATTAATAGATAAGGTTAGAATTATTATTTAGTCATTGAGCAGAAGCCCTTCTATTAATATAGCTAAGATGGCCATGAGGCCCTATAACATGTTGATACCTATTATGCTGGGATGAACCTGTGCTAAGAGTGCTACTTCTAATTAAGTGATGTATGATGCAGTCTGCTTAAGTATAGGAT